GGGGATTAGAACCAGCGACCTTTCGGTTACTGGCACAACACTCTTAACCACTAAGCTACCTGCCGCCATACCTTTGGAATCGTGACATTATGTACTTTCGAGGAAAATAGGCATACCCTGACTCTGAGAAGGGATTGTGTGACGATTAGCTTAGCAATCAAGTGATGCAGCATGATAACGTAAATGCAATGGGTCAACAGTCAGTTGGGTGGGGTGTTTCTCCATTCATTGCTCAATGGGATTCCTATCTCCTCCTTTCTGTAATATCTCTGTTTCCCACAGACACACAGGGCGCATTGCGACATGGTGCTTCAAGGAGAAACAGAGTTGAATAATTTGGTACACTGTTAGATTGAGCACATCTAAGCATAATATATACTTTGTCATACCGATATAAACGGATGGATGTGTTCTAGACAAGTAGATTCCATCTAAGAGGAAGATTTGAGTCAGTATTGCGATATCTAATATTTTCATACTAAAAAACCTCAGGGGAGCTGTTCTACAATTCTCAGTCCATTTCCACAGAATTAAGTTTAAGTTACAAGGAGAGGAGAGAGGAGACGTGTGTAGATGAATGTAGATCCTATATCTCGATGTAGATCTCATCAAATCTGTGATTAGACTGTTTCAGAAGAGGCAGTTTATGAGGATTTCCATCAGTGAAATGTTATGCAATGAGAAATGTAATGACATCATAACTCTTCATAGATTAAATGTCTCTGCACTGTAGCGAGAAATGTCAGATGCCACAAGATTAACTTCCATAAAATTAAAAGTGGTTCCCACTTCTGGACAAGTATGGCCTTACCATCTATTGGCTAATTTGGCAACCTGGAGTGAAGGTAATTGTTTTAAAAGCGTTATGAAATGTGATAGGGTGTTATCTCCAGTGAAGAGAATGATATACCTATGACGCATTCCTACACGATTTCCGTATTTCCACAGACGGACCACTTAGAAGTTAACTCATAAGGAAATGTTATATTTTAACCGCTGATAGAACATAGGCTTTCACCAAATTGTGTGGAGTTTCATGATTTTTATTTCTGGGGGTGGATTATCCCTTTAAACATTTCAAAATGTTACATTTGGAACAACTTTTCAGAAACATGGATGAATGTCTAATTCTGATGTGAAACTGTGAGAGGTTGTTGCTCCTCTACCTGCCTAATGATCACACTAATCACCAGGGAGCTCCTCATCTGCCTAATGATCACACTAATCACCAGGGAGCTTCTCTACCTGCCTAATGATCACACTAATCACCAGGGAGCTTCTCTACCTGCCTAATGATCACACTAATCACCAGGGAGCTTCTCTACCTGCCAAATGATCACACTAATCACCAGGGAGCTTCTCTACCTGCCTAATGATCACACTAATCACCAGGGAGCTCCTCTACCTGCCAAATGATCACACTAATCACCAGGGAGCTCCTCTACCTGCCAAATGATCACACTAATCACCAGGGAGCTTCTCTACCTGCCTAATGATCACACTAATCACCAGGGAGCTTCTCTACCTGCCTAATGATCACACTAATCACCAGGGAGCTTCTCTACCTGCCAAATGATCACACTAATCACCAGGGAGCTTATCTACCTGCCTAATGATCACACTAATCACCAGGGAGCTTCTCTAACTGTCTAATGATCACACTAATCACTAGGGAGCTCCTCTACAAATAATCCAGTCTGCAGAAGCTGCCTTCCTTGTATAACAGTCAGTCAGCCAGCCAGCCAGCCAGCCTGCAGAGAGAGAGAGAGAGAGAGAGAGAGAGAGAGAGAGAGAGAGAGAGAGAGAGAGAGAGAGAGAGAGAGAGAGAGAGAGAGAGAGAGAGAGAGAGAGAGAGAGAGAGAGAGAGAGAGAGAGACTGATCTTAGTAGACATTAGATCACTGACTTGGATACAAGCCAAGAGCTGGGATGAAAACTTCATGTTTCAAAGTAGATTCCATCTAAGAGGGAAATTTGAGTCAGTATTGCCATATCTAATATTTTCATACTAAAAAAACCTCAGGGGAGCTGTTCTACAATTCTCAGTCCATTTCCACAGACTTAAGTTTAAGTTACAAGGAGAGGAGAGAGGAGACGTGTGTAGATTAATGTAGATCCTATATCTCGATGTAGATCTCATCAAGTCTGTGATTAGACTATTTCATAAGAGGCAGCTTATGAGGATTTCCATCAGTGAAATGTTATGCAATGAGAAATATAATGACATCATAGCTCTTCATAGATTAAATATCTCTGCACTGTAGCGAGAAATATCAGATGCAACAAGATTAACGTCCATAAAATTAAAAGTGGTTCCCATTTCATGCAGCATTACAGCCTTATATGAAACTAAACTGTATTAAAAACATGTTATAAGATGAACATGTGATGAACATCATGTAATATGTTTAAAGGTATACATTCTCAGGTGGTGAGCCTGTTTTAGTCTAAACAGTGATGTAGGCTACTTTTTACCATAGAGTACCACTTTGGAAACAAGTGTTTTAATTAATACTTCTAAGTGCTATCCCCTGGGAATACAATGTACATCTTACTGTATATGTTTTTACCCAAATAAATTAAATTAACACCATCACCTGACAGAAGTCAGAGAGGTCATCACCTTACAGGACAGCACGGGATGTATAGCAAGGATCCATCTCAATAGTCTAACATGGCCTTCCTGGTTTCACCTGTCCAGCTCTTTCAAACCAGTGTAATGTACTTTTACTTAGGAAAGGAGATGAGAGGATGCCACATTAGACTATTGAGATGCAGCCATTAGTATCCTTCCAGACTGAGACATCCAGGTTGGTGACCTATGCCAGTATCTACAAAGCGTCTCAGAGTATTTCGCTACACCTGCAATAACATCTGCTAAATATGTGTACGTGACCAATATGATTTGATTTGATTTGAGTAGGCATGCTGATCTGGGATCAGGTTCCCATCTGTCCATATAGTCTTATTCATTATGATATAAAAGTCTAAACTGATCCTACACTCTTAGAAAAAAGGGTTCCAAAATGTTTCTATGGCTGTCCCCATAGGATAACCCTTTTTGTTCCAGGTAGAACCCTTTTTGGTTCCAGGTAGAACTGATTTTGATTCCACATAGAACCTTCTGTGTAAAGGGTGCTACATGGAACTCAAAAGGGTTCTACCTGGAACCAAAAAGGGTTCTTCAAAGAGTTATCCTACGGGGACAGACAAAAAAACACTTTTAGGTTCTAGATAGCGCCTTTTCTTCTAAGAGTGTAGATCAGCACTCCTACTCTGAGAGGCTTTGTGGATATGGATCTGTATTAGGTTACAATAGTAGCCTAGCAGGCAAACCGGTTTAACATATTATTCTGTGTTTGTTTATTTATTTGCATATTTGGATCTCCATTTGTTTTGCAGAAGCAGCAGCTACTCTTCCTGGGGTCCACAAAAAAAACACAAAACTCTGATACACTGATCGACAAGGGCAGTCACACAGTGTTGCTGCTACATGGTGTCACACCCATCATTGTGAGTAATAATCAAACTACGCACAACCCATCAGGTCAATACAAGTCTGCCTTGTACACGTAGACCTACTCTCTATAGGCTATCTATTTCCCAACTCAAAGTTTTTGTTTATTTTCCTTGCCTGAGAGTTCATTTTTACCCTCCATTTAATTTCATGCAAGATTTTCACCCAATTATGTTTGACTCAACTTAATTATTTGACCTGTGTAATCTATTGTAAAAACATGATAAAGATTGAGTCAAACATTTAGCCTGTTAAATTAATTAATGAATTAATTGGATATCAACATCAGGGGGCCTTTACTGGTTGTGGTGCCAAAATGCACCATGGCTCGCACGAGACACACATCAAACAATTAGGGTTCCTCAAAGGTTCTTGGGAAGGGTGATGGTTCTATGTAGAACCATACTGACTCAAAGAACCCTTTGAGCCCTTCAATGGTTCTTTGCAGTTCAAAAAAGGGTTCTTTCCTCTTTTAGTGATAATTATTAAGGTTAAAAGGTTAGTGCTATCCGGAATCCTTGGGACGTCTGTACCCTAAACCGTAACCCTATCCTTACCCTAACCTTAACATTAACCCTTACCGTTTTACATTTCAACTTCAATGGGATGAAGTCCCAAGGATCCCGTTTAGACTTTCCATAATTAAAATGTAGGGGCGGTGGCTCACTCTAATATTTTGGGTCATGGTTTGTTCACAGCTCTTTTTGTGCAACCGTGAGTGAGAGTGTCATTCCAGTTTTCTAACCTGTTGTGTTATGCTATTACATGGTATATGTGACTATGGCCAGTGATGGTGTCTTGTTAAAGACTCATGTATGGCTTTGAGTCAATTGAGAATGGTTGACTAATTAGTCAGTAGTTCTCAATTTTCTCCTTAGGGACCCCCAGCCATTCCAGAGTATCCAACTGTATGGTTCTACAAAGAACCTTTGCGATTTAGAAATGTTCTTTATAGTACAATTCTCCATAAAGGTTCTATAAACAACCATAAAAAAGGGTTCTTTATATAGCCCCAAAAGGGTTGTAACCATAGTGGAACACTTTTTTTGGTGCTATGGATCCTTTTTTGGGGGGTTATTTATAGAACCTTAGGAAAGGGTTATTTAGAGCACCATACAGGTTCCATTTAGAACCTTATGAGCATGGCTCTTTATAGAACCTTAAAAAAAAAAGGTTCAGTAAGCATCAAAAAGGGTTCTGCTATGGTTACAAGCCAAATAACCCTTATTTGGCACTATTTTATAGAACCATTTGTTTTTAGCGTGTAGCATGCCACAGGTGTCACACCTTTACAACTTTTAAAGACTGCGAACGTAAAAGTATGCTAATTGTTTCAATAATGTTCATATAATCTCAATACTCTCCATACCCATTAGGTTGTAACGACACAGATAAAGAGGGAGGGAGTAAAACACGGATAAACAAACATATTTCGTATGCCAGTCCCCGCCTACATGTATAAAACCAAGTAGCGCTCCTGCAGTCTGCATTGGATTACTGAAAGCACAGCGTTAGCGGAAGTAACCCGCCTAGCTCACTGTCAATCGCTAAGGAAGGCTCAGTCATCAAGGTATAGTAAAACTATTTCATAGTCTATATGCTTCAATTTGCGACCAATTTAACTTTAAAACAAATGCCATATCTTCAACTGGTATATTTGAGACCTAAATAGTTTCTATTCGGGGAATATAGTCGTTTAATATCGCGGCAAATATCTCGTAGGCTATTAGTAGACAACCTTTACCCTCTCGTATGGCGATAAGTCATATAGCTTGAATGCATTTGGTGAATGATTTACCGCATAGTTTTACCTGGAGACGCACAGGTGTGCCACTCGGGATATTATCATGCAGAATCTATGATTACGTATTTCGTCCGTTGGTGTTTTATGACATTCTATGACATTTTATTAGTTCAATGTTGATAGACAATGTGTTGGAACGAATCGTCCACTTGTGCAGGGTGCATTGATGCTTTGATTTATTAGGATCCCATGGGATCTGACAGATAAAGAAAAGCAGATTACAGTCAAAAGACTCTTGCGCTCATTTGAATGAGTTGCAATTTCAGTTTGTAGGATTTTGCAAACATGTTACATCGTGTTGTGTTATACAAGTGTTTAACATTAATTGAGCACTAATATAGATTACATTCGTTCATATTGAGGTCATAAAGTGAGTGCGCGGAAAGTAGCTTACAGTGGTTGTCCTCTTGCTCTTCCTGGTTCGTGGCACCTAATTAGCCCATTTGGCACCGGGTTGGGCGTTGGCCATGGTGGGACGAGGTGCGGGACAACATGTTCTGGCGCTCCAGTCCACTCAGTTGTATAGGCTTGAACTGTAAAGGCGAGGGAGTGAATTTGACAGTAATTTACAGGCAGCTCAGGGGCAAGTATGTTACTGTATTTCATATTGCCTTACATCTACTGTAATCTAAATATAGTACCAAAGCAAATGCTGTGTAACGACACACAGTACAATACCTAAGAAATAACTGTATTTATTGTAAAACACTTATTGCTAATCTTAATTAATGGATAAATGAATGAAATTCATTGAGATGAGGGGTTTGTATTTCACAGTATTTTACTGTAATTACATGGGATTGGTGCAAGCAGATGGCTGCTAGGTAACATGTTTACACATTAAAGCATATCAATGACTATTTTGTGTTTTATATCACTTGCTCTTGTAGAGGCCTTAACCAAGGCTTCCAAACGGGTAACAACTACAGGGCAAAACAGACCAAAAGCACATGGCAAAATGCTCAACCAGTAAGATTTAAGACTTGCTGACACTCCAATTTGATGGGGCACTATAACCACATAGGGGGTCAATTGGTAGATGACTCTCACTAACGGCTGGCCCAAATGTAGCCTCTTACAAGGCACACCTCAAAATATGTTAATGAGTCAGAAACAACAATACAACGCACCCACTAGTGGTCAAAAGGTTTTTGGCTCTCCAAAAAATACGGTACAGTACTGTATTCTGTAGGGTGGAATTACAGTACCATTAGAAATTCAGCAATTCTTTCCCCACTCACAACATTTCCCCACAATTCACCATAATTTACAGTATGATGCAGTAAAACGTTTCACAGTATTTTGATGCTGCTAATACCCCAAATTACTGTATAAATTACAGTTAAAAAAATTGTATTGTCACATACACCGGATAGGTGAAGTGAAATGTGTTGTTTTACAGGGTCAGCCATAGTAGTACGGCGCCACTGGAGCAAATTAGGATTAAGTGTCTTGCTCAAGGGCACATCGGCAGATTTTTCCTGTTACAGTGTGGCTACTTCTTGGCGTAGCCAGTAGGTAGCTATTTAAACGTAAAGAGGATTATGTGCATACTGTGCGACACAGTTCTGGTCATGTGATTTTGATGCGGGTGATTAGGTAGATTCCCTTCTGTCAGCGAGTCAAACACCTTACAGAGCATGACCGTTGGCAGACTTCAAATGCAAAGTTAGAGGGGTTACCTTGCAATGGGGATCCGGTGTGCGCAGTGTCTGTGTCTCCGTTCATGAGATTGTCCCGTGAATGGGTCGAGGGCCTCGGTACCGCGACTCCAAACCCAATGTGCCAAATGTGCCTAACAACCGTAAGTGACATTGTCTGCACTGATATTCAGTGTAATTTAACATTTTTGTCATTTAGCAGACACTCTTATCCAGAGCGACTTACAGTTAGTGAGTGCATACATTTTTCATACTGGCCCCCCGTGGGAAAAACCCCCACAACCCTGGCGTTGCAAGCGCCATGCTCTACCAACTGAGCTACACGGGGCCCTTTAATTTACTTTCTCTCTGTTCTCTATCCTCTGTCCCCACTCTCTCTTTCTTAACCCCCTCCCTCTCAATTCAATTTCAATTTAAAGGCTTTATTGGCATGGGAAATGTATGTTAACATTGCCAAAGCAAGTGAAGGAGATAGTAAACATTACACTCAGAAGTTCCACAAGAATAAAGACATTTAAAATGTCATATTATGTATATATACAGTGTTGTAACAATGTGCAAATAGTTAAAGTACAAATGGGAAAATAAATAAACATAAATATGGGTTGTTTGTTCTTCACTGGTTGCCCTTATTTTGTGGCAACAGGTCACAAATCTTGCTGCTGTGATGGCACACTGGTTTCTCACCCAGTAGATAAGGGAGTTTATCAAAATTGGGATTGTTTTCGAATTCTTTGTGGATCTCTGTAATCTGAGGGAAATATGTGTCTCTCTCTCTGTCTCATCACACTCTCCTCTGTCACTGTGTACCCTCTCTCTCTTCTCTCTTCTCTCTCCTCTGTCACTGTGTACCCCCCCCCCTCTCTCTCTCTCCTCTGTCACTGTGTACCTCTCTCTCTTCTCTCTCTGTCACTGTGTACCTCTCTCTCCCTCTCTCTCTATTTTCTCTCCTCATCACTGTGTACCTCTCTCTCTCCCTCCTTCTCTCTCTGTCACTGTGTACCTCTCTCTCTCTCTCTCTCTCTCTCTCTCTCTCTCTCTCTCTCTCCTCTCTCTCTCTCTACTATCCTTTTCTTCCATCCTTATAGCGCTATGTCGAACGAGGAGCGGACTTTCATTGCCATCAAGCCAGATGGAGTTCAGAGAAGGCTTGTCGGAGAGATCATCAAGAGATTTGAGCTAAAGGGCTTCAAAATGGTGGGGATGAAATTCATCCAGGTACGTTATTCTACTTACTGGAATGTCTTTTTATTTTTATGTAAGCTGTGTAGTCGTATGCACTTCAGAACATTATTAGACAAAATGGTATAGCCAATAAGTACGACTGAATGGCAGGCTGTCCATTATGTAAACAGGCTATCTGACAGATATACTTTAAAAAAACATGCATCTTAAACCATGACAAAAGTCAACTAAGCAAGAACTTGTGCCAATACACATTGATTGGACATACAATACAGTACAGTATGCTACAGTATAGTGCAGTAGGGTATAGTAGAGTACAGTAGTAGAATATATTACATTAGGGTACAGTAGGGTTCATTAGTACAGCAGAGTAACTATAAAAAATATATTCACGTCACCAAATAATTGATTAAAATGAAGGTCTACAGTAGCCTCAACAGCACTCTGTAGGGTAGCGCCATGGTGTAGCCGTAGGACACCTAGCTTCAGTTCTCCTCTTGGTACATTGACTTCAATAAAAAAAAAAAACCTAGGAGGCTCTTGATTCTCACCCCCTTTCATAGACTTACACAGTAATTATGACAACTTCCGGAGGATGTCCTCCAGAGAGAGAGATAGAGAGAGAGAGAGAGGAGAGAGAGAGAGAGAGAGAGAGAGAGAGAGATGGAGGAGAGGGAGGAAGGGGGAGGAGAGCGGGGGGGAAGAGAAGAGGGGAGAGAGGAGACAGTAGAGGAGGAGAGAGGGAGAGAGGGGGGAGGGGGGCCCTGAGTGAGAAATGGGTGAGAGGGGGGGAGAGGAGGGAGAGGGGGGAGAGGGGAGAGGGGGAGGGGAGGGATGAGAGGCCGGGGAGGGAGGAGGGAGAGAGCAGAGAGAGAGGAGGAGAGAGGGGGGTGATGAGAGAGGAGAGCGGGAGAGGGGAGAGAGATGAGACGGAGAGATGAGGAGAGGGAGGGCAGACTCAAGGAGAGGAGGGAGAGAGAGAGGGGGAGAGAGGAGGAGGGGAGGGGGGGGAGAAGGGAGGAGGGAAAGGGAGAGAGAGGAGCGGAGGGAGAGGAGGAGGAGAAGAGAGAGAGAGAGAGGGGGGAGAGAGAGAGAGGGGGGGACCGGGATGTAGGGGGCGGGGGGAGGGGGTGGCGAAGGTGGAGGGTGCGAGGGGAGAGGGGAGGAGGAGAGGAGTGGGGGGGAGGGAGGGAGGATGGGAAGAGAGGAAGGAGAGGAGATGAGGAGGGAGGAGAGAGACGAGAGAGAAGGGAGAGAGAGAAGGGAGAGAGAGAGTTGAGGAGGAGAGGAGAGAGGAGAGGGAGGATGTAGGAGAAGGAGAGGAGGAAGGAGGGAGGGGGAGGGACTGAGAGAGATGAGAGGAGAGGAGGAGAGTGATGGGATACGAAGGAAGGGGGTGGGAGGCGAGAGGAGAGAAGGGGGGAGGAGGGGAAGTGAAGGGGAGGAGGGGTCGGAGAGGAGAGAGAGAGAGAAGAGAGAGAGAGAGAGAGAGGAGAGAGAGAGAGGAGAAGAGAGAGAGAGAGAGAGAGAGAGAGAAGGGGGGTAGGAGTGGGATGGGATGAGAGAGAAGAGAGAGCGAGAGAGAGAGAGAGAGAGAGCGATGAGAGGGGGAGAGGGATGAGGAAGGGAGTGTGGAGGAGAGAGGGTGATGAGAGAGGAGGAGAGAGAGGAGAGAGGATGAGAGAGAAGAGAAAGAGGAGAGAGAGGAGGAGGAGAGAGTGAGGGAGGAGAGAGAGAGAGAGAACCTCGTGTGGGAGGTGAGAGGATAGGGGAGAGAGGGAGATAGAGGGAGGGGGAGGGAGAGAGAGGCCGAGAGGAGGAGGGGGAGGGCGGGAGGGCCGAAAGAGAGGGAGGGGAGCGCAGGAGGAGAGGAGAGAGCGGGGGCAAGGAGGAGGGGGAGGAGGGGGGCGGGAGGAAGGAGGGGAGGGGGAGAGGGAGGAGGGGAGAGAGAGGGAGAGGAGAGAGGAGAGGAGGAGGGGGAGGGGAGGAGAGAGGGGAGAAGGAGAGAGGAGGGAGGGGGAGGAGGAGAGAGGAGAGAGCAGAGAGGAGAGAGAGAGAGAGAGAGAGGAGAGAGAGAGAGAGAGAGAAAGAGAGAGAGAGAGAGAGGAGAGAGAGAGAGGGAGAGAGAGGAGAGGAGAGAGAGAGAGAGAGAGGGGAGAGAGAGAAGAGAGAGGAGAGAGAGGAGGTTTTGGGGGGTGTGTTTTTTTGGGAGAGAGAGAGGAGAGAGAGAGGAGAGATGAGAGAGGAGAGGAGAGCGAGACAAACACAAAGCGACAAACACGACCCGAGACGACCAGTGGAGGCTGCTGAGGGCTTTTCAAATGTTTCATTCCAGCCATTATTATGAGCCGTCCTCCCCTCAGCAGCCTCCACTAGGATAAACATACCAGAATTTCTCCAATACAAACTCTCGTTTCAAACTGTTGGACTAATGATGACACCCTACATCAGCTAGATGCAGGCAAGAGTGTGCAAGTTGGTATTGAATGTGTCACTGTCTGTCACCTTGATTACTCAAATTTCTCTCGACCTGTGCACCTACGCTATAGGGAACATGTGACTATCATGTAGTAGCCTAAACCTATCGCTGTTGCATTGAACTGGGAGAATGGAATATGAATGACAGTCATCCAATATGCTGTAATAGAAATAAGGCCATGCTCATAAAAAAAATAATCATACTGTCTCATCTTCAACGACACCAACTGCCACTGAGTACAGTAGGTTCAGTGCAGTATAGTACAGTAGTGTACAGTAAGAGTGGGCCAAAATTCCTCCACAGCGACGTGAGAGACTGATCAACAACTACAGGAAGCATTTGGTTGGAGTCATTGCAGCTAAAGGTGGCACAACCAGTTATTGAGTGTAAGGGGGCAATTACTTTTTCACACAGGGGAATTGGGTGTTGCATAACTTTGTTTATGAAATAAATATGTAATTGTTGTGTTATTTGTTCACTTATGTTCCCTTTATCTAATATTAGGTTTTGGTTGAAGATCTGATAACATTCAGTATCACAAATATGCAAAAGTACAGAACATTAGAAAGGGGGCAAATACTTTTTCATAGCACTGTATAAGCTCTGGTGACGTCCTGTGAATGTACAAAACATTAAGAACTCTTTCCATGGCATAGACTATCCAGGTGAAAGCTATGATCCCTTATTGATGTCACTTGTTAAATTCACTTCAATCTGTGTAGATGAAGGGGAGGAGACAGGTTAAAGAAGGATTTTTAAGCCTTGAGACAATTGAGACATGGATTGTGTATGTGTGTCATTCAGAGGGTGAATGGGCAAGACAAAATATTTCAGTGCGTTTGAACAGGGTATGGTGGTAGGTGTCAAGAACTGCAACGCTGCTGGGTTTTTCACGCTTAACAGTTTTCCGTATGTATCAAGAATGTTCCACTACCCAAAGGACATCCAGCAAACTTGACACAACTGTGGGAAGCATTGGAGTCAACGTGGGCCAGCATCCCTGTGGAACGCTTTCAACACCTTGTAGAGTCCATGCCCCGATGAATTGAGGCTGTTCTGAGGGCGCAACTCAATATTAGGAAGATGTTCCTAATGTTTTGTAAACTCAATGTACACTTGAGCTCTCCAGATCCAGGCTATAGCTTTACCAAACCCTTGTTGTATGGAGGGGGGGGAAAAAAGTATAGAATGCACTCATTACTGTACGTCGCTCTGGATAAGAGCGTCTGCGAAATGAAAGAATAAAACATTTGTAACAATGTTGCCGAGACATGATTGTTACAGGATCCTTTACTCCGATCGATTCTATGACTGATGTTCGACATAGCCCACTGTATTTTGCCGTGATATGCCTCGTGTGTGTCCCTGTGATGATGATGATGGGTTATTGATGGTTGTGACTGTTGTGTTGTCTGACTAACCCAGGCCCCAGAGTCTCTGCTGAGGGAGCACTATGCCGACCTGCAGGACAGACCCTTCTTCCCAGGCCTCGTCAGCTACATGACCTCAGGCCCAGTGGTGGCAATGGTAAGACAAACGCCCCTTGTTGTGTTCATTGATGGGATGTGATGGTCTAGTTTCTCCTACAAGAAGACGGAGAAGCCAACACCATTGTAATGCTGTGGTTCCTAATACCACCTGTAACATTGAACTGCACCATACATTTCACCATAAACGCATTCACTACCTGTACCAATGTCGGATCATAACTTTGAGCCTCCAGGCTTCAACGTATTAAGATTAGTACTCGTATTTTGAAATGTATTTGACCGCTGGGCATAGAAATGGAAAATCAGGAAAAAATACTGGGTTAATAAAGTGTTATCGCTCTGTGTGTGGTGGCAGGTGTGGGAAGGGTCCAACGTGGTGAAGACGGGCAGAGTGATGCTGGGAGAGACTAACCCTGCCGACTCCAAACCCGGCACCATCCGAGGAGACTACTGCATCCAAGTGGGCAGGTGAGAATCAATCGCAGGCCTGTACATGACATAACACAATGATCCTATAAGCTAAAGGTTCTATGAAGCCTCAACCTTATGATGGATAATAGGATTATCATCAGGCCAGGACGATACCAGTATCGCGATACTCGTTAGTATCGTGGCAAGGAAACAAAACTCGAATCGGATTTAGTTCTTTAGGAAAACAGCCATAATGTTGGAAACAAACATCATTATGTTGTCATCCAGAGTCACATTTATTTTCCAAGATATAGCACACCATGTTTTAATACAGCAGGTTTTTAAAGGACCAAAGGGTTTTGTCTGCTTTGGGGTTATAATGTTTGCAGCATTGTAACAAGTTCACTGACAATTTCAACTTATTGATGTGGACATTTAAAAACCTCTACAGAAAGGAAGGCTGAACATCAATTTTTTTATATATATATATATATATATATATATATATATATATATATACATACACTACCGGTCAAAAGTCTTAGAATACCTACTCATTCAAGGGTTTTTCTTTATTTTTACTATGTTCTACATTGTAGAATTATACTGAAGACTCAAAAATATGAAATAACACATATGGAATCTTTTGAAAACCCAAAAAGTGTTAAACAAATATATTTTATATTTGAGATTCTTCAAATAGCCACCCTTTGCTTGATGACAGCTTTGCACACTCTTGGCATTCTCTCAACCAGCTTCACCTGGAATGCTTTTCCAACAGTCTTGAAGGAGTTCCCACTTATGCTGAGCACTTGTTGGCTGCTTTTCCTTCACTCTGCGGTCCGACTCATCCCAAACCATCTCAATTTGGTTGAGGTCGGGGGATTGTGAAGGCCACACTCCATCACACTCCTTCTTGGTCAAATAGGCCTTACACAGCCTGGAGGTGTGTTGGGTCATTGTCCTGTTGAAAAACAAATGATAGTCCCATTAAGCACAAACCAGAAGGGATGGCGTATCGCTGCAGAATGCTGTGGGAGCCATGCTGTTTAAGTGTGCCTTGAATTCTAAATAAAACACAGACAGTGTCCCCAGCAAAGCACCCCCACACCATAACACCACCTCCTCCATGATTTACGGTGGGAAATACACATACAGAGATAATCCGTTCACCCATACCGCGTCTCACAAAGACAAGGCGGTTGGAACCAAAAATCTCAAATTTGGACTCCAGACCAAAGGACACATTTCCGCCGGTCTAATGTCCATTGCTCGTTTTTCTTGGCCCATGCAGGTCTCTTCTTCTTATTGGTGTCCTTTAGTAGTAGTTTCTTTGCAGCAATTCGACCATGAAGGCCTGATTCACGCAGTCTCTTCTGAACAGTTGATGTTGAGATATGTCTGTTACTTGAACTCTTTGAATCATGTATTTGGCCTGCAATTTCTGAGGCTGGTAACTCTAATGAACTTATCCTCTACAGCAGAGGTAACTCTGGGTCTTCCATTCCTGTGGCGGTCCTCATGAGAGCCAGTTTCATCATGGCGCTTGATGGTTTTTGCGACTGCACTTAAAGAAACTTTCAAAGTTCTTCACATTTTCCGTTTTGACTGACCTTCATGTCTCAAAGTAAATAATAATAATATGCCATTTAGCAGACGCTTTTATCCAAAGCGACTTACAGTCATGTGCACATACATTTTTACGTATGGTGATGATGGACTGTTGTTTCTCTTTGCTTATTTGAGCTGTCCTTGCCATAATATGGACTTGGTCTTTTACCAAATAGGGCTATCTTCTGTATACCCCCCTACCTTGTCACAACACAACTGATTGGCTCAAGAAGGAAATACATTCTACAAATTAACTTTTAAGAAGGCACACCTGTTAATTGAAATGCATTCCAGGTGACTACCTCATGAAGCTGGTTGAGATAATGCCAAGAGTATGCAAAGCTGTCATCAAGGCAAAGGGTGGCTATTTGAAGAATCTCAAATATAAAATATATTTTGATTTGTTTAACACTTTTTGGGTTACTACATGATTCCATATGTGTTATTTCATAGTTTTGATGTCTTCGCTATATTATTCTACAATAATGAAAATAGTAAAAATATAGAAAAACCCTTGAATGAGTAGGTGTTCTAAAACTACTGACTGGTAGTGTGTGTGTGTATGTGTATATACAGTGAGGGGAAAAAGGTATTTGATCCCCTGCTGATTTTGTACGTTTACCCACTGACAAAGAAATGATCAGTCTATAATTTTAATGGTAGGTTTATTTGAACAGTGAGAGAAAGAATAACAACAAAATCCAGAAAAACGCATGTCAAAAATGTTATAGATTCATTTGCATTTTAATGAGGGAAATAAGTATTTGACCCCCCTCTCAATCAGAAAGATTTCTGGCTCCCAGGTGTCTTTTATACAGGTAACGAGCTGAGATTAGGAGTGCTCCTAATCTCCGCTTGTTACCTGTATAAAAGACACCTGTCCACAGAAGCAATCAATCAATCAGATTCCAAACTCTCCACCATGGCCAAGACCAAAGAGCTCTCCAAGGATGTCAGGGACAAGATTGTAGACCTACACACGGCTGGAATGGGCTACAAGACCATCGCCAAGTAGCTTGGTGAGAAGGTGACAACAGTTGGTGCGATTATTCGCAAATGGAAGAAACACAAAAGACTGTCAATCTCCCTCGGCCTGAGATGTAAGTTCTCACATCGTGGAGTTGCAATGATCATGAGAACGGTGAGGAATCAGCCCAGAACTACACGGGAGGATCTTGTCAATGATCTCAAGGCAGCTGGGACCATAGTTGCCAAGAAAACAATTGGTAACACACTACGCCGTGAAGGACTGAAATCCTGCAGCGCCCGCAAGTTCCCCCTGCTCAAGAAAGCACATATACAGGGCCGTCTGAAGTTTGCCAATGAACATATGAATGATTCAGAGGAGAACTGGGTGAAAGTGTTGTGGTCAGATGAGACTAAAATTGAGCTCTTTGGCATCAACTCAACTCGCCGTGTTTGGAGGAGGAGGAATGCTGCCTATGACCCCAAGAACACCATCCCCACTGTCAAACATGGAGGTGGAAACATTATGCTTTGGGGGTGTTTTTCTGCTAAGGGGACAGGACAACTTCACTGCATCAAAGGGACGATGGACGGGGCCATGTACCGTCAAATCTTGGGTGAGAACCTCCTTCCCTCAGCCAGGGCATTGAAAATGGGTCGTGGATGGGTATTCCAGCATGACAATGACCCAAAACACACGGCCAAGGTAACAAAGGAGTGGTCAAGAAGAAGCACATTAAGGTCCTGGAGTGGCCTAGCCAGTCTCCAGACCTTAATCCCATAGAAAATCTGTGGAGGGAGCTGAAGGTTCGAGTTGCGAAACATCAGCCTCAACCTTAATGACTTGGAGAAGATCTGCAAAGAGGAGTGGGACAAAATCCCTCCTGAGATGTGTGCAAACCTGGTGGCCAACTACAAGAAACGTCTGACCTCTGTGATTGCCACCAAGTACTAAGTCATGTTTTGCAGAGGGGTCAAATACTTATTTCCCTCATTAAAATGCAAATCAATTTCTAACATTTTTGACATGCGTTTTTCTGGATTTTTGTTGTTGTTATTCTGTCTCTCACTGTTCAAATAAACCTACCATTAAAATTATAGACTGATCATGTCTTTGTCAGTGGGCAAACATACAAAATCAGCAGGGGATCAAATACTTTTTTCCCTCACTATATATACTTTCAGACTATCTATAGGCCCTAAAGATGAATGTGTCTGTTTCCGTATGCTATTAAATGCTAAGAATGGTTCTTTCCTTATTGTTTCAGGAACATCATCCATGGCAGTGACTCAGTAGAGAGTGCCAACACAGAGATCAAGCTGTGGTTCCAACCTGAGGAGTTGTGTAGTTATACAAGCTGCTCTAGCAGCTGGCTCTACTGAGGATCTGAAGGCTTCCAGTTGCCCCTAGGCACCATCCACCAACCCTTAACCATTAGCATTAGGAGGGGGGGGGGGTGTAAAACTGACCTTAGATCAGTGACGACTTCATCCTACTCTTCCTGGCGACTAAGGACCACACCACTCCCCTGTTCACCTTCTGTACCCGTCTGTGATTGGTCCATTCCTGGTTCCATTCATTCCTCTGGGCGTAGAGTTGTCATGGTGAAATAGTTTTTTATTGTCTGGTTTGTTCAACTTTCCAATAAATAAAAAAACTCACAACCCCATATTTTTCCTTGTTGCTGATCATAACACACATTTTTCTATTTTTTTTTTTATTGTACGTTACATCATAAAAAATAAACCAACTTTTCTTTCAACATCTGCCCCATGCAGTGTTCTTGACCTGACATGGTCTACAGTAGGTTGACAGGGTTTAATGGTGCATCAACATCTTGTGTGCCTCAGTCCTGTGGCCAGATTTACATTTGAAACATTAGCAGGCAGGCCTGGTCACTGCCAACATTAAGAGGGATTAGCCGGTTCCATAATCTCAGATTGGGATTAACTGTGGATCTGCTCAGGTGAGCTAACGGTCAACCTAATGGTGGGAGGAGCGGGTGGGACCTGGGATGACACTAAGGTTTTAAGCATCTCACACACACACACAGAGTATGCTTATTATAGTACTGGTGTCACTGCGAAGATTTGACCTGAGATGCCTATCACGTGTGTGTGTGTGTTGGAAGCACCGGAGCCCAGCAGGGTCTTAAAATCATCTGGCGGATCTCCGTAGTCAGTCTGATTGCAGGGGTCTCTAGAGACACACTGGGTCCACTGCAGGCTGCAGTGACCTCGGAGCTCCAATCCTCAGGTCTGGCGTTCTTCTCCAGGATGGTCCCCACAAGTCCAAACACCATCTTGTCGATCTTATCAGCAGGGATCTCTTGGGGCCGGGGCCATCTTCTCGTCGATGGCCTTCTCGGTGTTCTGCCGAACCGAATCAAACAAGTTAATGCAAGTGTCCATTTCTGATGGATTAATAATGACATGGGGCGATGCCGCGGTTTAAAAGGTTTTGGAGTGTGTGTAATACTATTACCTAATTCTACTTCATACGACTTTTAGACCACATTATCTTTTCCTGGCGTCTTTAATTTCCTGTGGTGTTTAAACCAGAGGAGGCTGGTGGGAGGAGCTATAGGAGAACGGGCTCATTGTAATGGCTGGAATGGAATAAATGGAACGGAGTCAACCGTGGTTTCCATATGTATGATACTGTTCCATTTATTCCATTACGATGAGCCTGTCCTCCTATATATCCTCCCACCAGCCTCCTCTGGTTTAAAGAGCGTAGAGGTGAAGATATATAGAAATACAAAGAGAAAAAAGAGGCAATGACAAATATTTTAATAAGCGTCAAAAATGTGTTCTTACAAAAATCATTAACAGATACCTTTTCACAGCCATGCGGAAACAGTTTGCAATACTTGTAAACAAAGAAACAAAAATAATACACCCAATATGTCCCCAAACATTTGGTTGATTTACAAATTCAAGGTATTGTCTATCAAACCTCGATCACAGCACAAAATGACCAGAAGAAAGATCAGAAAACTCATGTATCTAGATAGATGTACAAACCACATTGCAACCAAATATGTACCACAAGGGCCAGTGTTTATAATTTAAATATTATAATCGTTTTTTTTGTTTGTTTTTTTACAAATCATTTAGTTATTTGTATCCAAAATAAAACACCAAAACAACTTAAGCCCCTCCGTTAATAATTACAGTTCATGATAATTATTTCCCCAACAAAATAACTAATCACTTTATCAAATATATACGTAGCACCAATGATATATAACGGTCGAATATAGAGGGGTTGTCACATACAAAGAGACCCGTGTTAGTATTCAAAGAAGAAACACACCTCATTCTAGATGCTCTCCCCAGCCCGTACCTCCACTAGACCCTGTTAAGATCAGAAAGTTCTGGATAGGTGTAAGCAATATGGCTCAAATGCCACTAAGCCTATCAAAAGGGCAAAATGGAGCTAGTACCATTTTTCTCATACCTATCCAATCCTTTCGGATCTATAGGACACGTAGGGTTAGGGGTCGATTTAGAGTGGGTGGTAGCACGACCAAAGATCATAATAGCAAAACAAGCTCAGTGTAGGTCCACAGAAAGACCTTACTATTCTGCATGCACTCTAACTTGATTGATCCGGTCCCAAATCAGCCCCTCGCTCCTCCTCCTCAGCTCCACACACTTCCTGAATGGCCTCTGGTCAACCTACTGTAGGCCATGTCAGGTCAAGAGCCTATAATAGCATCCTGTTCTTTCAGATCTCTAAGGGGGGGATTCAGAAGTGTCTACAAGCAGAGGCGAGGTGTTGATTTTGGATTGGGCATCTCGGTGACATTGGGAGAAAGAGTCATAGCATCACTGAAGAATCTCTCTCCAAAATGTTTGATTGTGCATTAGGAATCATTTGGAAGGTAGCAGCAAAGTTAAGTCTATGAACAGTCATGTCTTTTTGTTTTTCTAAGATATGTCATTTGGTCAGTGAATTGGTTAAGATTTCCACAACCCTTTAATACTTTCTTAATTCTCATCTAGTTAGTCATAGTCTGTGCCAGATCTGATTTCTTTAAGTTAATCACAAACAAAAACCAAATCCTGAACACCAAACCCTTTTCACATCAGAGGATAGAGAGAAACTACATTTTATTACTCTGCTGGACATTGTATATAACCTTAATTAATATTAACAATTCAATCTAAATCAACAGAGAGACGAAATGGTAGAAACTATTAATCATACATCCTTTGGAAAAGGAACTACACATGGAAACTGATTGAGGGTAATACCTATGTACACAAAGCATGCCGTCAAACTGAATGCTGACCGAGGGTTCTTAATGCATTGTAATCGTTACCCATGAAGGGTTTATAAAATACCTCACCAATCAACAGAACAGTCATTATTGAACACAAGAAACAGGGGAGAAATCCACATTCAGACATGGACAAGAAGAAACATTAATTAATGAGCAGGTTATTCCATGAACTTTACGCAACGTAATTCTGTTTGATTTTGACTATAATGCACTTTGCTTGATCCTTGCAGCCAAGAAAAAAGTCTTAGAGAAAAATGCAAACATTTCCTGAGAAGTTAATTGTCAACCTTACTGGTATAGAAAGAGAGATTCTAGGTACAGTGGGGAAAAAAAGTATTTAGTCAGCCACCAATTGTGCAAGTTCTCCCACTTAAAAAGATGAGAGAGGCCTGTAATTTTCATCATAGGTACACGTCAACTATGACAGACAAATTGAGATTTTTTTTCTCCAGAAAATCACATTGTAGGATTTGTAATGAATTGATTTGCAAATTATGGTGGCAAATAAGTATTTGGTCACCTACAAACAAGCAAGATTTCTGGCTCTCACAGACCTGTAACTTCTTCTTTAAGAGGCTCCTCTGTCCTCCACTCGTTACCTGTATTAATGGCACCTGTTTGAACTTGTTATCAGTATAAAAGACACCTGTCCACAACCTCAAACAGTCACACTCCAAACTCCACTATGGCCAAGACCAAAGAGCTGTCAAAGGACACCAGAAACAAAATTGTAGACCTGCACCAGGCTGGGAAGACTGAATCTGCAATAGGTAAGCATCTTGGTTTGAAGAAATCAACTGTGGGAGCAATTATTAGGAAATGGAAGACATACAAAACCACTGATAATCTCCCTCGATCTGGGGCTCCACGCAAGATCTCACCCCGTGGGGTCAAAATGATCACAAGAACAGTGAGCAAAAATCCCAGAACCACACGGGGGGACCTAGTGAATGACCTGCAGAGAGCTGGGACCAAAGTAACAAAGCCTACCATCAGTAACACACTACGCCGCCAGGGACTCAAATCCTGCAGTGCCAGATGTGTCCCCCTGCTTAAGCCAGTACATGTCCAGGCCCGTCTGAAGTTTGCTAGAGTGCATTTGGATGATCCAGAAGAGGATTGGGAGTATGTCATATGGTCAGATGAAACCAAAATAGAACATTTTGGTAAAAACTCAACTCGTCGTGTTTGGAGGACAAAGAATGCTGAGTTGCATCCAAAGAACACCATACCTACTGTGAAGCATGGGGGTGGAAACATCATGCTTTGGGGCTGTTTTTCTGCAAAGGGACCAGGACGACTGATCCGTGTAAAGGAAAGAATGAATGGGGCCATGTATCGTGAGATTTTGAGTGAAAACCTCCTTCCATCAGCAAGGGCATTGAAGATGAAACGTGGCTGGGTCTTTCAGCATGACAATGATCCCAAACACACCGCCCGGGCAACGAAGGAGTGGCTTCGTAAGAAGCATTTCAAGGTCCTGGAGTGGCCTAGCCAGTCTCCAGATCTCAACCCCATAGAAAATCTTTGGAGGGAGTTGAAAGTCCGTGTTGCCCAGCGACAGCCCCAAAACATCACTGCTCTAGAGGAGATCTGCATGGAGGAATGGGCCAAAATACCAGCAACAGTGTGTGAAAACCTTGTGAAGACTTACAGAAAACGTTTGACCTGTGTCATTGCCAACAAAGGGTATATAACAAAGTATTGAGAAACTTTTGTTATTGACCAAATACTTATTTTCCACCATAATTTGCAAATAAAATCATTAAAAAATCCTACAATGTGATTTTCTGGAGAAAAAAAGTAATCATTTTGTCTGTCATAGTTGACGTGTACCTATGATGAAAATTACAGGCCTCTCATCTTTTTAAGTGGGAGAACTTGCACAATTGGTGGCTGACTAAATACTTTTTTTCCCCACTGTAATTCCACATCCACTGCAACGATAACTGAGCTAGATCAACTTTTCTGTACTATTCTATTTCTATATAGTGGGTTCAAATAACATTATTCTGATTATAGACCATAGTTCACATAGTTGCCATAGTTATGCAATAGAATTTAGGTAAATTGATGCAAGTATAATATATTGTATGTACCTTAATATAACTTTAGGGGGTTATAGTTCATCAATCTGACATAGCAAAATACAGAAAACATTATTGCATATTATTCCATTTCGAGGACTACCTCAAATGTGCTATGTTACAAATATCTGTGTTCGGTGTCTAGTCAAACATATGAGGATATCATTATTTTATTTGCATATGGTATATCAAGTTGCCCAAACCTGCATCTCAGATTAGAGACACATTATTACGATGTCACAATGACCCCCCAACCCTGTCTCTATTTGACTGCCAAGCTCATCAGGAGGTAGTACAAAGAAAGGGAGTCTACATACAATTGTCACCACTCACTACCAGCTACAACACACAAGCAGATTCAGGAAGTCGGGAGGATCTCCAACCAATCAGGAATCTGGCAAAAATGTATGCGGTCTAATTGGTGAATAAAGAAGCCAATGGGAAAGGTTTTCTCCATGCTATAGCCTACTCCAATCAGATCCCATTGGTTTTGTGAAAGTACACCTACAGTGAGGGAAAAAAGTATTTGATCCCCTGCTGATTTTGTACATTTGCCCACTGACAAAGACATGATCAGTCTATAATTGTAATGGTAGGTTTATTTGAACAGTGAGAGACAGAATAACAACCAAAAAATCCAGAAAAACGCATGTCAAAAATGTTATAAATTGATTTGCATTTTAATGAGGGAAATAAGTATTTGACCCCTCTGCAAAACATGATTTAGTACTTGGTGGCAAAACCCTTGTTGGCAATCACAGAGGTCAGACGTTTCTTGTAGTTGACCACCAGGTTTGCACACATCTCAGGAGGGATTCTGTCCCACTCCTCTTTGCAGATCTTCTCCAAGTCATTAAGGTTTCGAGGCTGACGTTTGGCAACTCGAACCTTCAGCTCCCTCCACAGATTTTCTATGGGTATTTGACCCCCTCTCAATCAGAAAGATTTCTGGCTCCCAGGTGTCTTTTATACAGGTAACGAGCTGAGATTAGGTGCACACTCTTAAAGGGAGTGCTCCTAATCTCAGCTTGTTACCTGTATAAAAGACACCTGTCCACAGAAGCAATCAATCAATCAGATTCCAAACTCTCCACCAAGGCCAAGACCGAAGAGCTCTCCAAGGAAGTCAGGGACAAGATTGTAGACCTACACACGGCTGGAATGGGCTACAAGACCATCGCCAAGCAGCTTGGTGAGAAGGTGACAACAGTTGGTGCGATTATTCGCAAATGGAAGAAACACAAAAGACTGTCAATCTCCCTCAGCCTGGGGCTCCATGCAAGATCTCACATCGTGTAGTTGCAATGATCATGAGAACGGTGAGGAATCAGCCCAGAACTACACGGGAGGATCTTGTCAATGATCTCAAGGCAGCTGGGACCATAGTCACCAAGAAAACAATTGGTAACACACTACGCTGTGAAGGACTGAAATCCTGCAGCGCCCGCAAGGTCCCTCTGCTCAAGAAAGCACATATACAGGCCGGTCTGAAGTTTGCCAATGAACATCTGAATGATTCAGAGGAGAACTGGGTGAAAGTGTTGTGGTCAGATGAGACCAAAATCGAGCTCTTTGGCATCAACTCAACTCGCCGTGTTTGGAGGAGGAGGAATGCTGCCTATGACCCCAAGAACACCATCCCCACCGTCAAACATGGAGGTGGAAACATTATGCTTTGGGGGTGTTTTTCTGCTAAGGGGACAAGACAACTTCACCGCATCAAAGGGACGATGGACAGGGCCATGTACCGTCAAATACTGGGTGAGAACCTCCTTCCCTCAGCCAGGGCATTGAAAATGGGTAGTGGATGGGTATTCCAGCATGACAATGACCCAAAACACACGGCCAAGGCAACAAAGGAGTGGCTCAAGAAGAAGCACATTAAGGTCCTGGAGTGGCCTAGCCAGTCTCCAGACCTTAATCCCATAGAAAATCTGTGGAGGGAGCTGAAGGTTCGAGTTGCCAAACGTCAGCCTCGAAACCTTAATGACTTGGAGAAGATCTGCAAAGAGGAGTGGGACAAAATCCCTCCTGAGATGTGTGCAAACCTGGTGGTCAACTACAAGAAACGTCTGACCTCTGATTGCCAACAAGGGTTTTGCCACCAAGTACTAAATCATGTTTTGCAGAGGGGTCAAATACTTATTTCCCTCATTAAAATGCAAATCAATTTATAACAATTTTGACATGCGTTTTTCTGGATTTTGTTGTTGTTATTCTGTCTCTCACTGTTCAAATAAACCTACCATTAAAATTATAGACTGATCATGTCTTTGTCAGTGGGCAAACGTACAAAATCAGCAGGGGATCAAAAACTTTTTCCCCTCACTGTACAAAGGCTATCAACAAAGCAATGTTTAATAAATGAAGACATTAACACCGACAATAAAATTGTTATCCAGTGGCTCAGTTGAATACTTAACCAGTACGCATCCATTTGGCAGTGAACAAAATAATTACCCATAAACAAGAGGGGGGGGGGGGGGGTTTAACGGTTTTTCATACCTCGATGTCATCCTTGACATGTAACCTACATTGTTTTTATTTCTGATTGACATCATTTTAGGATTACATTTTGCTCTCTTTTAGGGACAGATTTATGAAGAGTTTGCAATTGTTTTCTTAGAAGAAAATAGGTTATGACAAGGAATAAGACTTTACGGTTGAGTGTAATAAAGAGTATCTCGTGTGGTTTAGCTTTGTTTCTGAAGTTGTTTCCCTAGATCAATCAGGACCTTCTATTCTAAAGCTGCTGACATGCAAGAGGTAAGGGTGGGTTCAACAAGCCAGAGAGTCTGGCTGTTTGTTCCTGTAGTGCAATCTGTGACAGTGTTAATCTAGTGTATCCCAATAGAGACACTAGCACACTTCCTAGTATGCATTGCCAATCCTAAATAGTATGTCAGTTAACCTATTGGGGCACAAATCCCATCTAGTCTAAGAGATTCAGTCCTATCACAAGGTTTCAGATTTCTACAACATCTATTGAAAACCCACTCTGGTCAAATCACAATCATTAATATCTATATAGTTCTATATTGAATAGGTCTCGTCTATGGATATGTATCCTTACTATAATATCCATACCACTCGACCCCCCCCCCCCCCCCCCCAAAAATAACAACCCTCCAATTTAAAGTACAAAAACAGAAACTTTACCAAAACTTCAAGTACTATTAACAAATCAAAGCAAGTCCACCTGGCAAAATTGTTGGAAAAAAAGATTCCTGTTTTATATAGCTCCCTCCCGTGCTTGCTTTCAAGACCGCGTGAAATAAAATCAATCCCTCCCGTGCTCTCTCTCAAGACCAAGTGAAATTCAATCCCTCCCCCCTCCTTAGCTCTCTTACCTGAAAGAAATAAACCAAAGACCTATCTATCTGTCCCAGTTAGTGCAGGTTTCTGTGTGTGTGTCCCCGAGTTGTGTCAGAGGTCCTGCCTGGCCTAGGGCAGGGTGGTGGAAGAGACACCAGACTACCCAGAGGACAGGCTTCTGTTGTGGGCATCCAGAGCTCCAAGGCCCCGTCTAGATGCATTTATGGAGGAAGACAGAAAGCCACAGTCGTATCCAATCATTCAGGGAAGTGGGATTTTGATCAGGTTGTTCAGGTATCAGAAGCAGCCTCTTCCGGGCCGGAGGCTTTAGGAAGTGTCCAGTTACCCGTTGTTTATATGGTATGTTTACATGGTATGTCAGTCTCACTGAATGAGTGACTGTCCATCAGGGCTCTAGGGTTTAATGTTGTAGCTGCTCAGAAGGGTTCTTCTCCCCTGGATGGTTTTGGGGAGCCCCAAGTAGCACCCCGTCTTGATTTGTGGGGTGAGGGTTTGGGTTTCAGGGCATGTAGTCAATTAGTGTTTTTGTGGTAGCAAGTCACCCAGCAGCATTCTCCCCCGATTGCGATGTTAGAGGCTGTCTTTTCTGGATGAGTTTTTTTTTATTTTTTTTTTGAGCTCTCCATGCTCCCTGCCCTCTTGCTCTTCTCTTGGTTTAGGGGTGTGTCTTGTCCTAGTTGGGGGTTGTAGGCAGTGTCTCTCTGGATGTTGGATTTTAGGGGGTTCTATTGTCCTGCTCCCCCTACCCTCCCAGGCTTAGCCCCGGTCCCTGTCAACAGGGCTCCTGTTTAATGTAGTAGCTGCCCGAGCCGTTGCTCTCCTGGTCTGAGACACCCTGGGAGAAGGTGAACTCATCCACCTCAGCCTGTTCCTCCTTAGGACGCAACAGAGACTCTGGAGAGAGGGAGAGAGGGAGGGGGAGAGGGAGGGAGGGGGAGCAAGGAGGGAGAGAGAGGTGAGGGGAGAGAGAGGGCGGCAGAGAGAAGGGGGAGAGAGGAATGGAGGGTAGGGGAGGAGAGAGGGGAGAGAGAAGAGAGGGAGGGGAGAGAGCGAGAGAGGAGGGGGAGAGGAGAGGAGAGGGGAGAGAGAGAGCGTGAGGGGATGGAGAGAGAGCAGAGAGAGGCGGGACGCAAGAGGAGAGCGACGTTGGGGTACGAGACGAGTGCCACCGTCGAGATTGAGGGGGAGAGAGATAGAGAGTAGAGAGGGAGGGGTGGAGAGATGCAGAGATACGACGAGAGGGAGGGGAGAGAGAGAGACGAGCCACGACTGCACGAGTCACGGGACGACGAGGGGGGGGGGGGGCGTGGGAGAGAGAGAACTGAGGAGAGAGAGGGAGCCCGGCTCCCCGGAGCGAGAGAGAGAGAGAGAGACGCCAGAGAGAGGTGAGGGGGTGGGAGAGAGCGATCCGATGCAGACGAGTCAGGAGATGAGAGCAGCCGAGAGAACACTGAGGGCATTCTGTGTACGAGGCAGCGGAGCAAGACGACGATCCACCGGAGAGAGATCAGACGTGCTCCCGAGAGAGCCGGAACCAGAGAGGGGCAGAGCCAGATGAAACGAACCTGAACAGAGCACGAGGGACCTGGGCAGTGATGACTGATGAGAAGTACGGACTGCCCGAGATGATTCGAAGCCATTCATGACCGATCACGGTAGATTGACCGTGACAGAAGGTCGAGAGAGAGAGGGAGGAGGCGAGAGAGGCAGAGACGAATCCCCCTCTATCCCACCTCCTCCCCCCCTCAAAGGGGCGGAGAGGAGAGAGAGATGAGAGAGAGAAGGGATGAGGAAGGTCGTGGAGAGATGAGAGAGCTGGGCAGAGAGAGGGATAAGGAGAGAAAGGGGATAACAGCAGGAGAGACAGTTTTGGGGATTGAGAGATGAGACACGGAGAGAGGAGGAAGAGAGAGAGAGAGGAGAGAGATGAGAGAGCCCAGATCAAGGGAGAGAGAGAGACCGAAGGCCTATTAGGGCCCAGGTTTAGGAAAGACGAGAAGAAGTGGAGAGAAAGCAGACCGCGGAGGAGAGACGCCACTTGAGGAGAGTGACATGTGAGACTGAGAGTCCAGTCCATCTTACCAGGGAAACGATCCAATGCACAAGTCTCGCACTCGATCATACGAAAAGTGCAGAGATGACGCCAGACCGCCGATCACCGATGCACAGCAGCGGGGAGAGGCGCAGCGCTAGCTTGCGCAGATGTAGGGAGCAGAGATAACCCTGAGAGATGGGGACTAGACGTGTAACCCCGGCTAAGCCTAGCGCAACGAAGAACGATCCAAGAGCGAGCTTGCATTGGAGAGGGAGGAGACCCCGGCTCACGCGAGAACCGACGAGATTCCGTCCCACTGCATGCATCGTCTGCTAGTCTATGGCAGTCCTCGACTTACAGAGCAGAGAAACCCCCAGAGACCAGCATCTCGACCGAGACCGGCAGCCTGCGCTTGGAGAGAGAGAGGCAGAAGACGCATTGATGCAGACGGAGATGGGCCGGATGAGAGAGATGAGCACACGCAGGAACCCCAGAAAGAGCAGAGACGAGAGGAGAGGGAGGGCACCAGACAGGGATGCGACATTCTCCCGAACGCGTCCAGATAGTAGATTGAATGAGAGATTCCCCAGGTAGACGGACGTCGCAGGTGAGAGGGGAGAACGACGGGGGCAAGCGCACCTCTGCAGAGAGCGAGGATAGAGAGGGAGAAGAACGAGAGGGACGAGAGAAGAGGAGAGGGAGAGAGGAGAGAGAGGAAGAGGAGGAGGATGAGAGAGAGAGAGAGAGAGGAGGGTGGGAGAGAGAGAGAGAGAGAGAGAGAGGAGAGAGAGAGAGAGGAGAGAGAGAGAGAGAGAGGAGAGAGCGTTAGCAAAATAGAGGGTTACATAAACCTCAAAATTCGTGGCGAAAACCCTGTCCAGCATACCAGACAGATAATAAATGTTTAACACCAAGACAGAACAAAATAGCTATAAAAAAAAAATCCTAGGGGGTAAACAACCAATTTTAGTCACAAAACGCTTTTCAGCACAGGAACAGCTGTCCTTGTTAATACCTAGCCCTCCATACGAGTCTGCAGTTCCTGTAATGCAACCAGACTTCTACAGTATATCATATCACCACCTTTCCTCCTTCCTGCAGATGTCCTGCTCACGTAGTACGCATCATGAGGTGAGAGGAGAAATGGACATTTCTCACATTAATAATTTCACTTCAATAACATGACACAGAAACATGAACTTTCTTTCATGCAGGTGTATCCGACACCGAGCGATCGCACAGCAGGGTCAGCACCTACAGCGGCTGAGGACTGGCCCCTGTTAGCACCCTCTGTCTGTGTGGAGGTCTCAGTGGTTATTTATTGTTAGCGTTACCTGGTTTGTGGGTGTGGTGGTAGTGGTGGTGGGTGCGGGACCGGGGGGCCAGAGTGGGGCCTTGGCTGGAGTAAGGGGGCGGACTCTGTTCTTCCTCCTCCCCTGATAGGCTCCTCCTCCTGCCTGCCTGACTGAAGGGCCGTCGACCAACCGGAACCTTCCGCTCTAGACACCAAGTCATACTCAGGTAAGCTACCAAGGGTGTTTTCAGATGGCTAGCGCTCCCAACAGTGTAGATTTGAATGTTCGGTTGCATAGTGTTACTTTATATGTATTTTGAATAATCAAATAAATGCATTAACTTATTCATTCATTAATTATAGATCATATTGTGTGTGTATATAAGGTAAATGGCCTAATTGCATGCTTTAATGAAATTATATAGCATGCACATATTCAAGTTCTTTCATTCTGTTTAAATAAAATATTTCAAAAACACCAATCATCACCAGCCCCCAATTAATTGTTACGTTTCAAACGGTTCAGAAGAATGACCTCTGATCCATTGTGAAATGTTCTGAAACATATTCTGAATACACCCCAGGTAAGCTACCAGGTAAGCCAGACTCAAGTAAACCGCTAGCGTTGCTGTGTGCCCACGTGTCTGCACATAGCCCTGCTAAACCACTCCCTAAGACGTGGAACAAGCTGTTTGGAACATAGAAGTAGAAAGAGGTCTCTAGATGGATAGGACCAGTTTTAGCATGGACATTGCCATCGAGGGCTTCCACCATTTTAAAGTGGTCAACTGGGTGGGGTTCCTATGGGTTGGGAGTGATCAGCCAAAGATCAGAGCATCGTCTTCTTCAAATTGGGTTGCCTATGGTTTGTAAAAAATATTTTTTAAATGTATTTAAGCTATATCACCGCCATTTAGTGGCCACAAATGAATAACACACAAGATTTGGTTCAGGACTCCAGCACGGCAGGTGGCGATAAATCACCAATACTATCTTTATGCTTTTTCAAACACAACAGAAGAAGAAAATGTACTACTTTAAAATGGAGATGACCTCAATGGTGCTGCCCATGCTGTCACAGACACTATAATGGCTCAGATACAAAGACAGTCCTCTTTTTATCTCTATGGTTTGGACCATCACACCTGGTGTTACAACACCCTCGCCACCTTTTTGGCACTCACCCAGAGTACCACAGCTTCCTGTCATGGGACTCATGCCAACCAATCAGATCCCAAGGAACAGACAAGAAAGAAAAAACGAAACAATAAGAGAAATGCTAGGCAAGATAGATTTCCCCCCCACCAGAGTGTGGACCAGTGGAGGCTGGTGGGAGGAGCTATAGGAGGACAGGCTCATTGTAATGCCTGGAATGGAATCAATGGAACGGTATCAAACATATGGAAACCACATGTTAGACTCAGTTCCATTGAATCCATTCCAGCCATTACAATGTGCCCATCCTCCTATTGCTCCTCCCACCAGCCTCCACTGGTGTGGACCAATGAAAGGAGAAAAAGAGGAAAGGGTGGAAACGACTGAAGATGGAAGAGAAGAGAACTCACTTTTCTTTTGTCCTTTGTACTGTTGGGCTTTCTTCTTGTGCTTAGGTACAGCTGCTGCGATTTCTCTGGCCACTGAAATGACATAAAATAGGAGGTTAAAAAAACAGTGGCGTATTGTTTTACACAAATGTACATTTCTGCCTGTTAGTTTGGGACTCCAATCGCACGTTATCAAGTAAATGGTCACGTATAGCTGGAACCTAATCAAATCCATCAATGAGAGCCTAAGGGTAGTTGTTTGGTTTATGATTGTGCATGTTAGTGTGTTATATTTGGGTAGAACTGTGGTGTTTGATCTCACTCTGTGCAGCAGGGGGCTGTAGCTGGTAGCCGGTTAGCTGACACCAGCCCACGGGGTAGAGGTCAGGTGACTGACAGTCCACCCATTGGTCGTACTCGTCCTCCCAGCCGTCAAAGTGGATGCGCAACAGGCGGTGGACGATCCGAGTCACCGTGGCAACACACACCAGCCTGGGCTCCATCAGGTCCACGGCCTCCAGCTTCATACCCTGACGGAACCCGTGGTTTGGAACATCCTGGGCAGGGGCAACAAGATGGTGGAGGCAAAGAGAAGAGACATTTTTATGTTCATGGTCAATACAGTCTTTTTTCTATTACAATTTTCTTACATCAAACATGTATGTAAGCGAAACATATCAAAATAAATTTGCCTTGTAGGTAACGCCTGCTTGTAGTCGTTTTTATTTGATCATAGAAGAACAAAAAGTATGTTGGCATGGCTTTGTCATCACACAGAACTACAGGACCGCGCTTAACAACAAAACAACACAGCCACGATGTCAGGAACCAGTCCTACCTTGTTAAAGAGCTTCACAGGAGCAGCTATTGAACTCGTTTCTCTGAGGTAGTCAAACCATTTAAATGGCAGTTTAGTGTACCCTGTGGGGCAGAGTCAGTGGTAAGGCTGTGTTAACACATAACCCTTGACCAGAGAGGCCAAAGAGGAGAGAGAAAGAAAGAAAGAAAAAGAAAGAAAACAACCTTCAACAATTGGGACAAAGAGATACTATCTCAATGAGACTATCCTTAATTAAATAAACAATGGTTGAAAATATATAAATCACCCTGAGTGAGGGAATGTTGTAGTCTGTAAAAGAAGGAAAAGAAAGAGAGGGTTAGAAGTGTACCTCTAGGGGGCGTGAGTTCAATGTTGTTGATTTCACAGAAGCCGGCAGGGAAGATGGAGGGAGAGGTGGAGTGGTAGCAGAACCAGTCTGAGCCGTCCGCCACCTCCGACCCATCGACGCCGATCATGAGGTACCCGTCTGCCAACACCTGGAACACACAGCATAGACCAATGTATACAACTCAAAACCTTAACAGGAAGTAAGAAGAGGGAAACCCCAATCCAGGGGAGCCAACAGTAGAGTAGTATGACCCTTGAATGTTCCCATGGTAACAACCCAAACTGTTGCCATGCCTTTCTTACAGTGGCTACACCTATAGCTGAGAGGTCAGACAGTTACCTTCCTTACAGTGGCTACACTTATAGCTGAGAGGTTTAGAGGGTCGATGGCCTCTAGTTTCATCCTGTCCTTGAACCATTCACCACTCTGGTCCACGTCTTTCACCTGAGGAGGCATCACAGACACATTCATTATTCTGGATCCATACATTGGAAAATATCAATACAAACCACAGAGGTACAAAGACTTGGGGCATTGTAAACACGTGGTGTATTATATTACCTTGGCAAACAGCTGGGCAGGGGCGTCCATCTGACCATCGATTTTCTTTGACACATCTGGGAAACAAACATTGTCACCAGAGTCCGAAAACAAACACATTGGACTATCTAACTACCTAGGCCTAACTCACTAACAAAATGAACTACCCAAACCAACTAACTTGACTGACCGGATCGTTTGAAGCGGTGTCCGATACTCCGGGACCATCCGATGGAGTGTATGAGCGGGGAGTACATGTGACACCAGAAGTCGTCGGAGCCGTCGAAGCTCTCCTCGTAGACGAGCCTCAGCCGCCCCCCGATCACCTGCTCCACCAGAGCCACCCGCGTCCGGCACAGGTGGCTCTTATCCACCACCTCCACACGCATCAGCTTCTTAAAGGGGAACTGCATGTTCTCATGGACCTGGGTAGAGAGGGGGGAAATGGAAGGAAGTGCTAAGAGTGGGTGCTTTTAGAGATCTAGGTGGAGTTTAAGCTTTCATCCTTACCAGTGTTTACCTCTGCGGCTCAAAATTATGAAATCTTACCTTGGTGGCAAAGTCTGATGGCAGTGTTTTGGCTCCAGTGAGTCGCTTCACAAGAAAAGCTTTCCAGTTAGAGTACTTCTGCTGTATCGCTAAGAGAGAACACAAAACATAATCCACCATCAGTCTATCAATCTGTTTTCCATCTTCTGTTAAGCTCAAAGGCATGTTAAAAAGAAAGCGTATTACTATGATCAACATTATGATTATTGAGTGATGTTTACATTTGGGAGGTACGAGGGGTTTCCCGCTGGATGCGCACCACCCTACGTGGTGAATCTCGGGAACACAGAGGTTACACCAGAAATCCCTGCTGGTGTCGTTGTCAAAACCCTCGTACCGCAGCAGAGCCTTGAACCCTGGGGAAGAGAACAGAGACCATTCATGGGACGTCTTTACAACCCTATTACTGCACATTCGTCTAAGAGGAATAAGAATAGTCTTATTAAAACACAACACTTCTAAAAATGTTAAGAATTGTTTGGTCACAAGGATAAAATCCTCCAAGTGGTTAGATGTGTTCTTACCTGACAGTTTGACGATCCCTGCTATCCAGTAGACATTAGTAGAGAGGTTAGTATCGGAGTTGAGCACCTCCACCCTCACTCCTTCAGCTAGGTCTCCCCAGCACGTACCCATAGGGACCTGAGACACCGAGGAATATCGAAATGTAACAGGAGTTCATATTATATCCCACAAGGTACAATTGTGTTGATCAAAACAGGGTGGATTTACAGATGTATAACCTTAGCATCTGCAATAGACTTCAATACAGGACAATTTGAATGCGTGGCTGTTGTTTAAACGTACGTGCTTGAAGCAGCTGACTGGTGCTCCAACTAAGTTATTGCTACAGATGTATCGCCCCCAGTCAAAGCCTTCAACAGGAACCACTGTAGGGGAGAAGGAACAAGGTCAACATCACGTTCACTATACTGGGTCAGGAAAATACAGAGAATGTGTGTTCTTATGACTAAAACGACCTTCCATTCAAGGCCATTCTTCTGCATAACAACAATGTGAGAGACTGTATGTTCTGTCTATAATATAATACATGTCATCTTGTAGATGCTTTTATCCTTAAGCGACTTAGTCATGAACGCATACATTTTTCATATAATAATAAACCCACTATCCTGCCGTTGAAGCGCCATGCTCTACCAATTGAGCTACAGGTGGACTCGCCTGCTTTTGACTTCGCCTGGTTCTGTTGTTGTTGACTTGCTTGGTACTGGGCGTAAGCTGCCAACTTCGCCATGAGAGGCTGCTTCTGTAAGACCTTGGCCTTTTTCGTAGGCGGTTTACCCTTCGGTAAAAAACACAACACATTGACAGTGAGATTAGGTTAAAGAAACAAAAGAAGAACATATGTCCGCACTTTTGACCGTTTATGTTCTCTCGTAGTTACAATTCTACCCTCTGGCTACAACGAATAAAATAGAGAACATAGTAGGGGCAAAATTGCTCGTCCTAATATTTATATGTTTCTTAATTCCATTCTTTTACTTTTAGATTTGTGTGTATTGTTAGATACTACTGCACTGTTGCTAAATATGTGAATGTGACCAATAAAATGACATTTGGTTACCTGGAGTCTAGCCAAGATGCTGGCTTTTTTCGAGTTGGAGGAGTAACTTCTAGAGCAGGAGACGCTGCAGAAGCGTTTGGTTTTAGAGTAGAAGGCATCTCGCACACCAACCATCCCACACATCTCACAGGTGGCTGGAGAACAAGGCAACACATAAACATTTCCCCGAAACTCAGAATAAAGCAGAAAAGTAAGAAAATCACTCAAAGTCATGTATTTTTCTTTCAGACGTTATTTTTCTCAAATATATTGTACGAAATTACGGGATAACTATGACAGTTTCAGGCCGAGATCCATGTCAATCACAGGCAGCCGCTTAATTCACACACTCCACCCTCTTCCACGCTCAATCCCCAACCGGCTTTGTGCGATCACCCCAGAGACACTGACTGACCATTAGAGATTCTTAACTGATTTATATCTATAGATTCTATATCCATATTTCTCTGTACTGACCCATGCCGGTCTTGCCGTCGGGATAGGTGTAGACCTGTCCATTGTTCTTGATGATGGGCAGGCTGGCGGGGATGGAGGGCACCTCGTCCTCACTGTCTTCAGAGCTGGAGCTACTTGTGCTCTCCTCACTGCAGCTGTCGTACCGGTCAAACATCCCGAACGAGTCCTGACGCTTACGCTCCGAACGCGGGGTGCGCTCAGCCTGGAAGGAGCAGAGAGAGGGAGTGAATGACACCAATTGTACAGTGAGAGGGAAGGTGGGTGAGTGAGCATATAATGCTGAGCTAGATCTTGATGAAGAGGTATATAATTCATTACTGTGACTTCTGTTTTTCTTTCAACAAGTGAGTAATCATAACTTCAGTCACCACGTTTTATTATGGCATATTAGTCAAAATAGAAGATCTTGGAAACTGAGTATGGTAGACAATGTGATACAACAGTCACACTGATGTGACAGATATAACTACCATGGCAAAGCATATGTACATGGCTACAGACAATGAGATGAGAAACATCCATACCAATTAAATTACTAGCATCGGATAACAAAATTTAACTGAGCAATAACTGAGTCTTACATAGTATATATATATATACACATGCATAATACCAGTTCCCTTGCTATACAACCACAAAGCCTTCTAAGAGTATTTATTTATTTACCACCTCTGCATATGATAGTAGCTGGTAGCTAACGCTAGCTTGCTAGTTAGCCGTCTGGAGAAACACCTCCAGCTAAACGATCCTTTCTCCATAATCTCATTCGCACTAACGTTACTGGCTAGCTAGCTATTTATAATGTGATCGCTAACACACTTAGCTAGCTAACGTTGTTAAAACGGATTGTGCAGAATGAATGTGAAAGAGCTGGGCTGGGCCTTAGCTAGCAAACCTGTTATTCCAGTTCTAGCGTTAGTTAGGCTAGCTGACCTAGCATAGCTAGCTAACGTTAGTTACGAGACACCGCTTGCAATAAATTATTTAAATAAACGAGTAGCCCTTTAGCATGTAAAAACCGAATAAAGCATCCACATATTCACTTTCCAATAAAATAATGGCTGTTGGATATTGCTATTTTGTAGTTTCGGGAATTTAATCAGCTGTTACTACAATCCGAAAACGAAGGGGGGGGGGGGCGCTAGCTAGCTAAACCTAAGGTTAGCTAGCTTGCTACACAACAAATCGGAAGCGGACGTTCCATATCGGGAATATTAACTCACCAAATCCCTTGTGTTCTCCATCAGCCCTTCATATAGTTAGTATGTTATTGTCTCAATTATAATAGTAAACCCCCCCAAAGAAGGGGGTTTATTAGCTTGAGAAAGCTAAACTCAGAGCACCGAAAGGAACTCAAGCAGGATATCAACAAAAATACAATGTATCAAATGCGCATGCGCGACCGTAACCCACATCGCTCTGATTGGTCAGTGCTGAACGACAAGACGCAGAAACAAAACATTGTGTGTAAATAGTTTACCCTGCTTTAAATGGATTACTAAATTACCACAATTTTCGATCGTAAAAGTACAAATCGAAGTGAACTGGCAAAAGGTTCAGATTCAATATACTGTAAAAGGCATTTGTAGAGTGAAACAGCCAACGCACAGCTATTCTTTGAAATTAAATCAGCAAAGCATTCTCACATTTAAATATTTAAGTGTAATATATCTTTATTCTTACAACATAAACATCTGAAGCACAACATTACAGAGGCTTAGATTTTAATTTACAGATAGAACATAACCAAACATCAGCCACAATCACCTTCTAATATACGGCTCCAATGGCTCATATCACAGTGCTTTATTCATTTAAACAATACTGGCATTCGGCGTCTTTCTCTTCTCCTCAGAAACTTTAAAATAAACACATAGCAGCACAAGGCATAACATAACTGCATGAAAGGCGTAAGGGAATAATCTAAATCAACCCATTTGGGGAGAGACAACAGTACAACGAAATTGGCTGGGAAAACTGCTGCACAGTCTGCATTCCAAATCGACCTCTAACCCTTCCTGCAGATCTGTAATGATCGGATAGGTTCAGGCCATATGGTAAGTGGTTCACCTTGCCCACTGAGGTTTCTTCAAATTGTTTCAGATACACAGAAAACGCCACGAGGATGGGGCTAATGGTCGATTTGGGATTCAGCATTAGTCAAGTAAGGCTTCTTGAAGAGGGCGGTGGGGAGGTGTCCACTTCATAACATGGAGTTGATGCAGAGAGTGGATGGTCAGTGCTGAAATAAATCTAAGGTGAGAGGAAAAGAGAAAATCCAATGTTAGTGCAAGACAAATCCCACTACACACCTCCAATATCAATAAAGATCTGTTAACATAGTAAATTGTTTTGAATTTGTATCCATTCATCATAAATAAAAAATAAAATACATTGATAAATTACTTCAGTGCATATGTAACAAGAAATAAAAATAAATAAAATAAACATTCCACACTACAAAAACCAGGGAAGGGTATATACGGAACTTGACATGTCTGTCTCTTCGGTCTCAGACGAACTCGTCCTCTAGAACATCATCAACGCTTCCTGAGATTGAGGCCACTTCTGAAACACAAAAATATAAAAACACACATTAGGTTAACTATTAAGCAGTCATTCTGGTTTCAAATTCAAGCCTCAAGTTAGAAACTATCACTGAAAACAGCATTCGAATGTGTGTGAACCATCCACTTAATTTTATTCAACACCACATCTCAGTGAATTGTCCAGACAGTGTTCAGTGCCACCCCTGACAAATGACAGGAAGCGCATTGGTGATTCAGAGGAGTGACGAAGGCCCAAAGACACACAATAGCCATGTGACAAACCAATCCTCGTTGTGAACAGTGGAGTCCCTCTGAAATTCAGCTTTACCTCTGTTTGGGATAGACTTCTTCATAGGTCATAATTCCCGAGGGCTTGCTCTCCAGTCATCTGCTTCAGTGCAGTTGGGCTCTTCATTGAATTTCTCTGTGGTTTGCAGACCACTCCTCTGATGCGGTGGCAGCTCTGCAATACCCAATCTTTCACGCTCTGTCCCAACCTCCTCTGGTGAATGGAATCCCACTGAAGGTTCTGTCCTCTGTTCAGACCCTGCCTCCTTCCCAAACGGACTCTTCACTTCCTTCATCTTGTGTTCGTCCAGTCTGTTTCTCTGTTCCTCAGTCTCCTCATCCATTCCAGCTTGGCTTTCCAGGGTATTCACCAGGTCCATTGCCTCATCAGAGAAGTGGAGTGGCTGGCTTCTTGCTTGTCTCTTTCTCTGGGAGTCTTGTCTGTTGCCACCATCATCCTTCGGGCAGGATACAGCCTGACCCTTCTCCCAAGCAGGCTCCACTGACCCCATATAGATAATATCACTCCCACTGCTGCTACACCCACTGAAACTACTACTGCCAACCACAACCACACTAGGCATTTCAGTGCCACCACCACCACGCCTGACCTCTCCCAGACACGCCTGCTTCTGTGTGGGGGAGGTAGGAGTCAAACTGATGCTGATGGCTCCCTTACCGCTACGCTCCTCGTCCGCTTCCTCCTCCAGACTGTCACCTCTATTCGACGACCAAGTTGAGTTTCCCCCAGTTGTCTCCACTTCTCCAGAAGACGAGGTTACGTCACATTCCTCATCCCCATCATAACTGGACCCCTCCAGGAAGACATTGTCACTCAGCGTAACCGAACCCAGCGCAGAGGTCACGACCTCCAGAGGCGACGAGGAAGTAGACGATGAGGTGGTACAGGAGGACACAGGAAGTGTGTGTGTGAGCTGCAGCTGGGGAACCGAGAAGCTGTAGAGGTTGGTGGTTCGGTTGAGCGTGTGATAGCGCTGGCCCGGGACCTGGTGGTCTGGGGAGAGGGGGTGTTCAGAGGGGCTGGGGGACTCCAGGATGTGGGAGACCAGGTCCACCAGGGCTCGCTGGGCTGGGGTGGAGTGGGTCAGCCCAAAGCCAAACCCAGAGGAGGGGCTGTCGTCAACGTCAGCCCGCTGCAGCTCCAGAGAACTCAGAGAGCCTGAGGATGATGGTGTGACCAGGCCTAATACCCACTCTTCATTCTGATGGTCTGTACCTTAAGATGTGCCGCCAAAAGGAGTTAGTCATACAGCAGCTAGAGAAAACACCTGGACACAACTGTTTGATTTTCTAGGGTCATGTTCAATAGAGCATAAAAGTGAGAAAATGCATTGAAAAGGAAAAATGAAAGTAAGTTATTTCATTCATTCAGGTATGCCTGATGAAGACCTAAGGGTGGAAACATTGTTATAAATAAAGATCACCTGGGAGCATGAGCAGCGTTTTCCTTTCTGTTTTTCACTCATTTAGGTAGAACATAATCCATTCTTCCATTTCAAAAAATATTGTCGATTTCCCTAATGAAGGGAACCCTCAGTGTAAACTCACCTGATAAGCTGATGCAGGACATGCTTAGCTCCGAGGTGGCTCCCGTCACATCATCCTAAAGGAACACAGACAGTTACAAGTCATATATAGTTATATACTTGAAATCGTCATCTGTAATTGATGGTCCCTCTCCTCTTCCTGGGGGTATTTACCAGCATCCTCTGTAGCGTTCCAGGGTCGTCCCTGTCGCCACTCCCGTTCCCATTATCCTGGCTAAGCACAGCATGGCCCAGACTCACCAACACATCACCTATATCCACAGCCTGACAGAGAGAGATCAGTCAGACACACATAGGAGGAGAAAATTATCACACATAGGAGGAGAAAAATGATCACACACAGAGAGAGAGACTGGGCCTGTAAGACCCTGCAAGAGAGAGAGAGCGTGTGAGTGAATGCGTAAGAGATAGGCGAGAGCCTTTTCCCCATCCCAGTACGGACCTTGCCCTCTGTGTTGTCGTAAAGCTGTACACTAGGCCAGGAGGAGACCTCAGAGTGGGTGTAGCTGCACAGTTTGGCCAGCAGGGGTCTCCACTCGGCAACATACGTCAGGCGGTCAAAGTCGTCCAGGGCTTCATCGCTCCACACCTCGCCTGCCGGGTTGACTCCAGCTAAGCTGCACTCGATGGCTTGGAATGGTAGGCTGAGGAAGTCACTCCTAAAAAAAAAGGGGCATGAGAAAAGACAAGACCTAACATTAGCCAAATAGCTAAGAACCATTAGAGAACACTTCATCTACTATTATTACGTTCTAAATACAACGAGGAGTGCTGGACTGTATTGTCCTGCTCTTTCTGACCCCGACCTCTCACCTCATACTCCGTAGACTGTCCCTGGGTAGTTCTCCATTGTCTCCAAAGTCAACATAATAGAGGTCCACCAAGCCAGAGCCCATCACCCCCAGGACCCTCGCCCTGTTCCAGGTGCCATAGTCCCGGTACGGAGCAGCCACGATGTCCCCCACCACGATGGTCTCCACTCGCTGCTCCTGGCAGAGTCACAACAAGGGGCTCAACACTACAGACAATCCTATAGAAACAGTGTAAAAAAGACACTTTTCTCTGCAATGTAGAATAAAATGATAGAATGGTGTCTCGAGCTGACTATTTCAATGGTTTATCGTAGGTGGAATCTAGACAGTTGTGTTCATTAGGGCACGCAACGGAAATCAAAAATGTGCGTGTCTTATTGGGCAAGACAAAAGAGTCCCTTCCAGTTTCAGTCAGATTTCACCTGTTTGGTGTAAAGAACACAAGCAATGTATGACTGACCTGCAGGGTTCCGTTGCTATAGAAGCGGCTCATCTCTGCAGTAAGTTTGTCCAGCTGGAGGGAGCGGACCCCCAGGATCTGGATCCAGAAGTGGTGGGGGTTCTCTGATGCTGACACATACACCTCCAGGTGCTCATCTGGCTGGAAGCTCAGGTCTGGACTGGGGACTGGACAAGAGAACGGGAGATATATTTGAGAGAAAATATGAACATGCACACCATTGCAGTGTCTCCATGTGTTGCAGAGAATAGGAAAAGTCATTCCGTAATCAATGATTTAGGAAATTAGCAGTGTCAACGGGAGAGCACCTGTATTCATCTCAGTATTGTACAGCCAATTTCAAATGGGTACAACTATCCAAAAAGTCAGTCAGAACATCAAAACTTACTTTCAAATTTGGAAACCTCTGATAGGGAGTCAGGCGACACAATATCCTCCTCCTCCTCCTCCTCCTCCTCTCGTGCCTCTCTAGCCAGCTGTACCTCCTCTCCTGTAGCGTGGCCAGGGTCTCCCACGGCAGTCTGGACACCGTTAGCATGGACTAGCCGCCCTTCCTCCACCCGGAGAGACAGTGGAGCCTCCTCTGGCTTCAGCTCCTGTGTGAGTTTGATCTCAGTGACCTCTGAACTTTGTAGTGACAGTAGAGTCCATACAGCCAGATGCTCTAATACAGGGTTCTTCAATTCCGGTCCTGGAGGGCCGAAACACCTCTGTTTTTCATCCTCTCCTTCTAATCAGGGGCCAATTCAGACCTGGGACACCAGGTGAGTGCAATTAACTACCAGGTAGAAATAAAAAACAGAAGTGTTTCGGCCCTCCAGGACCGGAATTGAAGAACCCTGCTCTAATAGATCCCTATATAGGTTAACCATTAAAAGGCATGTGTTGGAGCATCAGTGTTTATGGGCCACTACATGACTACTATAGAAGGACTTCTGCAGTCCAGAAAAGTGATGTTTGACCTTTGTTTACCTCTGACCTTTGACCCTGGGGCTCGAAGGTTCTTCGTTTCTGGCGCAGGGCGGAGGACTGGGTAATCCTCCTCCTCACCGCCTCGTCCTCAAATACCTTTTCCAGGATCAACTCCTGTAGGAAGAATAAACATGACATTGTTTAAGTGTTAAGTACATGAGTAAAGGTACACCAGTAAGGCAGCCCATAGCTGGTTATAACACTGCAGCAGATAAGTATTCTTGTCCTCACCTTGGCCTGTCTGACCTCCAGTCTTGTCCCCGTGACTGACACCTTGCCCTTCTCCTCTAGGCCCCGCCCCCTCTCCCTGGGACACACGACTCTGGCGCCTGTTGTCCTGGTGATGAGCTTCAGAGACTCCCCTCCACGTCCTGAAGCACACAGCAATATAATTAAATCAATCATTCATACAATTTATATCTATCAAAAGGTGAGAAATGGAACATAAGTCTTTTGAAACTACAGTCACTTTTTTTGAACTGACAAGAAGAAAATCCTCTCCCTTTACCTATGATGCGTCCGAAGGCAGTCTGGGGCACCTCCATGACGTCAGTGGTGGTCTCACAGTCTGTGGCCAGGTTCTCCAGAGCACACTTGGCCAGCAGCACCTGCTGAGGTGAGCCCTGCAGCAGGAAACACACCGTCGTCTGGGAACTCTGCTCCCCCTCCCCTGCCTGCGAAGACTCAGAGAGCACCCTCACGTGGGCTCCGGACTTTTGCATCACCTGGATGAAGGGAGAAAGAGGGACAGGTGAGAAACTGAAGAAAAAAAAAATCCTCCACACAGTGTTTCAGGCAAAGCCTGACAACATTAAATAGTAAGACAATGGGCCAGACTGGGTAGTTGGACACTGACCAGGTCCAGGAAGGAGGTCTGGTACTTGGTAATGTTCCTGTACACCTCCAGAGGTACTGACATCCTGGACTGTTCTGTGTTGGCCATCGGCGCTATAAATGAAAACACACACCACTTCCGTAATCCACACTGTAACAGGGAGGGATAGTGGGTCATCTAGTAGCAACGACACAGGAGACTCACAGCTGGTGCTTCTGATTTGTCGGTAGACGATGTATCCCACCGTCGCTCCTACAGACAGCCCCGCTGCCAGAGCCACCATTTTCCCAGAGCTCAGGGAGCTCTTAGGCCCATCCCTCACTGCCTCCATCACACGACGCGTGCCCAGGGAGACACTCCACCTACACAACGGATGTTACATCAGACACCACCTTGACAAGTACAACACTTCATAATTCAGACTACCTAGACAGGCACAACATCAGATTCCACCTGAAAAGGTAAAACACGTGTTGGATTTCCTCCTGACAGTGGCACCCATTCCTACATGACACATTTGTTGTTGGAAACGGCACAACCTGAAAGCTCCATAGAAGCCATGCAGTGAAAATGTGAGCGCACAAGCCAGTTGGCTAAAAGATTCTTACCGTTGAAATTAGTTAAATCAAGTTGTTCTTCCAAAGCAAGAGACCAGGGAATAACACTCTTTTCCTCAACGTCTATACCGTCAAGAGAGGAATGTGAAGCTATGGCCCCACTAATCTGATCCCCGATGTAGGCTACTGCATTATTTCAGCTCAAACCAAAACACACAATAGTAACCTATGTGATTAGCTGCTGAGCACAAAACACAAAGCACTGTTCAGCCTAGGGCAGAGAGCATAACTGCCTTTGCCTCAGCCCAGAGTGGGGGGGGCTGCAGAGAAAAGCTAGCGCAGACGCGCCGTTAGCGGCGCAACAACACACACCACAGTTTGGCCAGCTCAAGTCCTACCATTAATGTTATTTGCTGCTTATGATGGAATAGGACAGGACTGGGGAGACTTTACTGTAGAACTGAAAGTTTGGGGCATATGTAACCCAACAGCGTGGTGTATTATGCCCACTCAGGCCTGAGGCAGCTATAGCGGTCACACCATGCAGACTGAGGCGTGTGTGTTGGTCTCACTGTGACAGGATGGCCCGGGGGCTGTAGTTGAGGAACACCTGGGACTGAGAGATCCCCAGGTTCCCCACGTCCATCTTGGCAACCCAAACAATGTCACTCCTCTAGAATTTGGGCTCTTTTGTGTTCACCAACCAGGAGAATTGACAGACAGGTAAAGAGAGGTTATCGGTGAGTAGCTCATTTTACAGAAAATGAAAGAATGGATTTGGCACCGTCTAGAGACGTAGATACCTGCTTGCAACTGTGGAAAGGACCAAGTTTGATCATATGCTCATGCTGAGCTGGACCATCGGTTGAAATTTGGCTGAATGTCAGTGACCCTGTTGTATGCAGGAAGCTAGCTTGCCTAATAAAATTACCAGACTGCTGGTAATTATTGGTATATTGTCTGAAACAAAGCACCTACAATCCAGAACGTTGAAGGAAATGACATTTGAACTTACTCCACTGGTTCTCTGTAGGGTTGGTCGTTCAGCTGGTCGAAATCTGAGAATATCCACAGGAAATTATTATTTACCCAACTTTTTAGAGCACATTTTTACATTTACATTTTAGTCATTTAGCAGACACTCTTATCCAGAGCGACTTACAGTTAGTGAGTGCATACATTTTTCACACTGGCCCCCCGTGCGAAACGAATCCACAACCCTGGCGTTGCAAGCGCCATGCTCTACCAACTGAGCAACAGGAGGGCCTGTACTGGTGTTGAAATGTCTATCACCTGACATGTGCAATACCATGTACACACCTGCGACACTTATTTTAGTATGCCTCACCTGTATGTGCTTCAAACTTGTGCACTAGGTCATGAGCAAACATCTTGATCGCCACACAGAGACCCGCATATTGAAGTCAGGCCGACCCCACGGACAATCGGCAGAGTATGTTCAAATATAATTTTATTCAGACTTAAAGAAAAATAACTAAAACGTACCTTGTCTATGTAAATGTGCGTGGCTATGCTGTACAGGCAATGGAAAGCATCGCCACAGCCGGGACTAGGTAGGTATACCACGGCAGCGATTAATCTGTAGTACTCAAATGTACTGCGTCGTTTAAGACAATTAGCTAGCCTCTTCGCTCCGGAGACCACAAGCGAAGAGGCTAGCGTAGAGAAACCGGTTTTCAACCAGGACGTTCAAAATAAGCAAACATTCTTGACATTTCCTTTGAGACATATGGTCAAGTTACATGCGGATGTGCTACGTAACCTTGAGATGCAACGATGTATTTGCTTTAAGGCGGAAGTCATTCATTGTCAATGGAGAAGTCCGCACTAGGCTGCGGTGCGTTCTGTGTACCACATGCGTTCAATATTTAAAACTCGTGCGTTGCTTTACGGTGTGGTGGTACAAACGGAAATACACAGACTCCAACTAGCTAACTTTTAACTAGTTGAAACGCGAAACACATGTGCGACAAGTACGGAAAATGCGGACTAGACATCCCGCAAAACAAAACGCATATGCATCTGGTGAACATCGGGCAGTGACAGTTTAGAAAGCAGTGCACCGACGTTCGCTAGCTATAACGTTAGCTAGCTTCTGCTATTGGTGGTTGCCTTGAGATAGCGAACTGGCTTGCTAAACGGTTACGGACTCTGACAAGACATCATTTCCATTGTGCATGTTTTCGTAAATGACAATGATGCAGTTTTCATTATCAGCAATCTAGTCACGACACCGGGTAACAGGCTCGAGAGACGTTTCAGGTGCACGATCTTGTTCGCTCGCTCAGAATGAGGTCCCAAGTCATTTGGTACAAGCGGAGTCGCCGTGACATTGACTAGCAGCCCTCGCCATGTCAAACATGATCATCAATGTCAAATACATTAAAAGCAATCCAAAAGAGTGTTAGTTATCGTTGACACTTACAAAAACACCTTCTCTCACCGTTTGACCGCCCTGCAAAAAATCTTCCCCGTTCCAAATCGACGGACGTAAGTAATGTTCTTTCAACGCAAACTCAATGCTTTTGACTGGTTGGTTAAGAATCTGAATACTGGTGATTTCAGCCAATCACAGCGGATGTTCTCGGTTTATCAGGCTTTGGGGGAAGAGCTGCGGCCTAAAATACCCCCAAACCAATCAGATTGTCGAATTGTCCTCAAGAACGTGAATTGATGTTGCAGAAAAACCAATGAAATATCTTGTAAATACTGCGCACACTGTTGCACGTGTACAGTCAGTTCCAAAATTATTGCCAACCTTGATAAAGATGAGCAAAAAAGAGCGTATTAAATAACACAAATACTGAGCTATATTGTATGCAAAAAAAAAAGTGCAAATTATATTATTTTATACTAATACAATTGCTCAGATAGATTTTGTTTAACAAGTAATATTTATTTCTTCTCAAATAGGTGTCAAAATTGTTTGCACCCCTGTTTTCAATACCTCGCTTTGCGAGAATGCCACTGAGCCTTTTTCTTAAATGTTTTATGGGATTGGAGAACACATTGGGAGATCTTAGACCATTCCTCCTTACAGAATTTTTCCAGATCCTTGATATCCGTCATCTGCTCTTCAATTCAAACCACAAGTTTTCAATGGGGTTTAAATCCGGAGACTGAGATGGCCATTGCAAAATGTTGATTTTGTGGTCAATTAATCATTTCTTTGTTGATTTTGATGTGTGCTTGGGGTTATTGTCTTGCTGTAAGATCCACTTGCGGGCAAGTTTCAGCCTCCTGGCAGAGGCAACCGAGGCTAAAATGTCCTGTTACTGGGTAAAGTGCACGAACAAAATCTCTTTCTCTGAGCAATTGTATTAGTATAAAATATAATAAAAACAATTTTTTGCATACAATTTAGCTCAGTATTTGTATTATTTATTTGTCATTTTTATCAAGGGTGCCAATAATTTTGGACCTGACTGTAGGATGATTGGACAGTGATGGCCTTTAATTTTCATCCAATACCTTTAAAATCATGAGGTTTAAAGTTCAATTTGTCATTTAGCAGATGCAGAGCGATTTACAGGAGCAATTAGGGTTAAGTGCCTTGCTCAAGGGCACAACATATTTTTCACCAAGTCTGCTCAGGGATTCGAACCAGTGACCTTTCAGTTACTGGCCCAACGCATTTAACTGCTTTCTCTGTCCAATCTGGGTACTGTATCAGAGATGAAGAGTCAAATCTTGATTGTACTATGGTACTGTATAGGCCATAGCTCTGATTTATAGGGTCAGGGTACTGGTCTATCTAGTTTTGTGTTAAATTAAATAGTTGCTCTCCCATATATTGTTATTCAAAGACATTTGAATAAGTGCATTCTGTCATTCTCCACATGTCCTCTAAGCCTCAAGCAGCCTGCCTTAATTCTGAGCAGAACATCCCTTTGTATTGTAGAAGCCATTGGATGCTTGTAATTTGTGGTATACATAAAGCTAGGTGGAATAAATAAAATAATATTTTATTTAAAAATACCATATTTATTATGACATCGATTCACAAATACATTTTTGCAAAAAAAGAAATTATACATCTTTAAAAATATATATATACATTTATCAATCCACCACAAAAAGTAAATCACATTTCAAGTCAATCAACACATGGTTCAGCTTTAAGCATTTGAATATGGATAGAGTTCCAGAGCCTTGGTTGTTCAACCCACACTGCTGTATACCCATCCCAATCAACCCACAGCCCGTATTGCTTATGCTGATCCAGTCCTTTCAGATCTACACGTGTCTAGGGGTCGATTTGGAGCTGGGCCACATTAAAGTGGTAAGAAGGTGTCTAGGTCGGTCAGTGCAGTGAAAAACACCTGCAGGCCGAGCTCCACTGAGTTCAGGCCGAGCTCCACATTGAGTACTCAAACTGAAAGAACCTAAAAAAAAAAAAAACTGAACCCATATTATCATGACAAAGATTGGGCATCTATAAAGGTCTTATTCGTGCATACATTTAAGCAATGATAAAATATGTCTGTCTGTCTGTACAGTACCAGTCAAAAGTTTGTTCACCTACTCATTCAAGGGTTTTTCTTTATTTTTACTATTTTCTACATTGCAGGATAATAGTGAAGACATCAACACTATGAAATAACACATATGGAATCATGTAGTAACCAAAAAAGTGTTAAATCAAAATATATTTTATATTTGAGATTCTTCAATGTAGCCACCCTTTGCCTTGATGACAGCTTTGCACACTCTTAGCATTCTCTCAACCAGCTTCATGAGGTAGTCACCTAGAATGCGTTTCAATTAACAGGTGTGCCTTGTTAAAAGTACATTTGTGGAATTTCTTTCCTTAATGTGTTTGAGCCAATCAGTGGTGTTGTGAGAAGGTAGGGGTGGTATACAGAAGATAGCCCTATTAGGTAAAATACCAAGTCCATATTATGTCAAGAACAGCTCAAATAAGCAAAGAGAAACAACAGTCCATCATTACTTTAAGACACGAAGTCAGTCAATACGGAACATTTCAAGAACTTTGAACGTTTCTTCAAGTGCAGTCGCAAAAACAATCAAGCGCTATGATGAAACTGGCTCTCATGAGGACCGCCACAGGAAAGGAAGACCCAGAGTTAACTCTGCTGCAGAGGATAAGTTCATTAGAGTTCAAGTAACAGACACATCTCAACATCAACTGTTCAGAGGAGACTGTGTGAATCAGAGCTTCATGGTCGAATTGCTGCAAAGAAACCACCACTAAAGGACACCAATAATAAGAAGAGACTTGCTTGGGCCAAGAAACACAAGCAATGGACATTAGACTGGTGGAAATCTGTCCTTTGGCCTGATGAGTCCAAATGTGAGATTTTTGGTTCCAACCGCAGTGTCTTTGTGAGACGCAGAGTAGGTGAACAGATGATCTCCGCATGTGTGGTTCCCACCGTGAAGCATAGAGGTGGTGTGATGTTGTGGGGGTGCTTTGCTGGTGACACTGTCAGTGATTTATTTAGAATTCAAGGCACACTTAACCAGCATGGCTTCCACACATTCTGCAGCGATATGCCATCCCATCTGGTTTGGGCTTGGTGGGACTATCATTTGTTTTTTAACAGGACAATGACCCAACACACCTCCAGGCTGTGTAAGGGCTATTTGACCAACAAGGAGTGCTGCATCAGATGACATGGCCTCCACAATCCCCCGACCTCAACCCAATTGAGATGGTTTGGGATGAGTTGGACCGCAGAGTGAAGGAAAAGCAGCCAACAAGTGCTCAGCATATGTGGGAACTCCTTCAAGACTGTTGGAAAAAGCATTCCAGGTGAAGCTGGTTGAGACAATGCCAAGAGTGTGAAAAGCTGTCATCAAGGTAAAGGGTGGCTAAAAATAAAGAAAAACCCTTGAATGAGTAGGTGTGTCCAAACTTTTGACTGGTACTGTATATACACACATACAAAATCGGAATTTTTAAAATAAAGAAATCATGGATTGAAATGTGCTTATGTGCAATGTGTGGATGCATTCTACTGTACTGTATAAAAAATTACCATCTTCAGTCTTTTTTCCCTCTTTCCCTAGCTACGTTGTTCATTCAATAACAGTGTCTAGGAATTCTAATTAGATCAGTGCTTTTACATTATATCTACCTCACACACATATCTAGCAGACCATGCAACTACGAACTCTTCTATGAAATAGTGTACTTAAAAAGTAAGTACATTCCAACCAAAGGGAGCCTATGAAGAGCACAAGTGTGCGAGGCCGATCCTGAGGTGTTCATCTTAGGTAGGCACCATGTTTTTGTGTCATCCTGGGTCCTGGGCCCCGACTCCTAGTCAACATAACACATGACCATTGTAGCCCACATTAAAAACAGAGGGTTAAACAATACCAGAGCACGTGGTGAGAAGTCGAGAGGTGTGGCGCACGCATGATCAAATATATCAATTTCTACACAGTTTGACTGGGGCACAGGAGGTTTTTCTGACCACGTGATACAACCAGTAAAATAAACTCCAGACCTAACCGGGGAAAACTCCAGAACCAACCAGCCAAATACACAGAATAGAGAAACATAAATGGGAAAAGCAGGATGGGCAACTGCAACTCATGACAAGCTGCGTCCCAAATGACACCCGATTCTCTATAGTGCACTACCTTTGACCAGAACCCTATGGGCCATGGGCAGAAGTAGTGTACATTTGGGACGCAGGTAAAGCCGTAATCAGGGATAAGAAGATCAACACATCATGCTGTAAAATAAGACCCCCCCCCCCCCCCCCCAAAAAAAAAAAAGAGCGAAAACAGAACAGCTGTGGCTGATCAATCTGTAGCTAGTCATCATTTGTAGTGTTCAAATGGGTCTACTGATACGATCACCCAACACAGACAGGTAGCCAGGTGGGTCTCAGTCATTCTGCTTTTAGGCCGGGATTCAATCCGAAACCGTGCTTTAGCGCTTGACATAGGTCATTTCCAATTGAGCCGAGATCTGCAGCATTTACTTTAACTGCGATCTCCATGAATGCGGTAACATTGCCTTTGAAAGCAGCATTGTCTACAAGCGTGATCGGATTGAATCCCAGACTAAGTCAGCTTGTGCATTGTTGTTGTCGAATGCAGAAACAAGCACCCAGGCTAGTTAGAAGGCCACCGAATGATATGAAGCACCTTCAGAATACCCTGGGATGCTCTAGAACTCGAGGGTATTCTAATCTAGAACACCACTGACAAAACCTTGTCAGCTTGAATAGAGGACAGTCCCTCAGTAGAACTCTGGTGGGAAAACCAGGATGTATGCATGTACACAGGGATCAAACCAGTCTAGGATGATTGATGATTATAAAACAATAAGCCTTTCTTACAGTACATGAGTTTCAAAGTGTCAGGCTAGCACATTCTTCATATACAATTTACCTATAAAAGAGACTAATTCAGTTTTACTTGTTTATAGTAAATTAAATTAATCTTCATTCCTTATTGCATTACAGCAGGATTGCCCTTGGCTTGGGAGTCGGAGCATGTGGGTGAAACAAAGGAAACATTTGTCAGGAAGAAAAATCACATAAGGGATATTCCTCTTGGATCCTGGTTTAGAACATGCCATGTTCATTATCTGGCTAAAAGGCTGGGTTATAAAGAGTAGCCTTGTTAAGAAATCCTTAGTACGGTCAACAGAACCGTTCCGAAACAGGTTGACGTGAATCCACAGACGGTTAGGCCTACGTAGTGTCCTCCAGACATCACCTGACAGCAGGCTTTTAAGGTCTATCAACGCCAATGATTTGACAGCATTAGGGCCAGGACATTGTCCCGGATCAGGCATGTTACTAGATACATCTCTCCTTTCCTTTCAGCCCTGCATGGCATTCAGACATATAGCAGCAAGTGACTGTAATGACAGAGACTACATTCACATTGACGGTGAAGGCAATTGTACTCTACTATGGTATTGGGATTCATGTGAAAGGGGGAGACATGCTGACGTGTAATAATCCCTATGTGAGACAGTATCAGACCAGTGACTGGGAGAAAATCCCCCTTCCCTAAACTCAAGTCGGGGCTACAGTAAAAGATTCCCCATGCCTTAAAAAACATTCCACTATACAATCAATTATTCACATTTTTTGTCTGTCTTTCTTTTAAAAGCAAAAAAGGAAAGAACAATCTTTGGGATTTTCCTTTTTTTTTTTTTTTTACAAACAATGATACAATATAATTTAAAATCAGGATCTTAAAAATAAAAAAGATTGGATTATCGCAGTGATAAACCACCCAGCACGTGTAGCGGTTTGGAGGACCTGCTAGGTGCCAGTGCTAACGGGCTGAGGTGGGTCGAGTACTCCTGGGTTCAGGTCGATGGGCACTGAGGAGGAGTGTGATTCTGGGCTCGAGGTAGAAGTTTCCCCTCAACCACAGATCTAGAATCAGAGGGATGAGAAACCATCTGACCCCGTGTCAGCGGTTAGGGCCAACTTCGACCTACTCCAGATTCTGGTGCCTCATCTCTTCCCCCCGAGGGCTGATTGGTTCACAGCATGCATTGCCCCTCTGTTAATTGTCAATCAGAAGGGAGAGTTCATCCCTAGTTTAGTCTCAAACTGTAGCTTCTGCCTCTTCTGATAGCGTACCCTAACCCTGCAGACAGAAAGGAAAGATCAACATCCGTTTCCCCCCCACATGACATCATCCTCCATCCCACCATCCTCTCATCTTTCATAATCCTCAACTTTCAACCCTTCTGTCTTTTCCACCTTTGTCTCCTTCTCATCATACCACTCCTACTCCTCCTCTCACCCCTTCCCTCCTCCCCCTCTCTCCATCTTACCGTATCTCGTGTAGTTTGACGGCCTCGTTGAGCATCACCACCACCAGGGAGGACAGGGAGACCAGCAGCCAGGCCAGCATGGGGATGTCCTTCAGGTCAAAGGTCAAAGATCCCGACCTGTCCTGCCACAGCTTGTAGTCCACCGTGGCCTGCACCATCTGACCGAACAGGCTGGAGGAAGGGAGGGGGAGACCGAAAGAGGGACAAAAGAGTATCAGTTGATGCCAAAAAAAGTTGAAACTTCTCTATCGCAGCTGCCACTTCATAGTTGTTTGAAATATTTAGGCTACACATGCACACACACACAAAGTAACACAGACAGAGAAACACACACACACTTACACGACAAGGACAGTGAGGCACCACCAGGTGTTGCTGAAGGGGTTCTTCTTCCACAGAGGCTGGGAGCGATGGACGTAACTTAGCGAGATGACCACTGGAAGAGAGGACACAAGGAAGAGAGGACACAAGGAAGAGAGGACACAAGGAAGAGAGGAAGAGAGGACACAAGGAAGAAAGGAAGAGAGGACACAAGGAAAGAGAGGACACAAGGAAGAGAGGACACAAGGAGAGAGAGGAAGAGAGGACACAAGGAAGAGAGGACACAAGGAAGAGAGGACACAGGAAGAGAGGAAGAAGGAAGAGAGGACCAAAGGAAGAGAGGACACAAGGAAGAGAGGACACAAGGAAGAGAGGACACAAGGAAGAGAGGACACAAGGAAGAGAGGAAGAGAGGACACAAGGAAGAGAGGACACAAGGAAGAGAGGACACAAGGAAGAGAGGACACAAGGAAGAGAGGAAGAGAGGACACAAGGAAGAGAGGAAGAGAGGACAAGGAAGAGAGGACACAAGGAAGAGAGGAAGAGAGGACACAAGGAAGAGAGGACACAAGGAAGAGAGGACACAAGGAAGAGAGGAAGAGAGGACACAAGGAAGAGAGGAAGAGAGGACACAAGGAAGAGAGGACACAAGGAAGAGAGGACACAAGGAAGAGAGGAAGAGAGGAAGAGAGGACACAAGGAAGAGAGGACACAAGGAAGAGAGGACACAAGGAAGAGAGGACACAAGGAAGAGAGGACACAAGGAAGAGAGGACACGCACATTACTCTCCAGGAGTAGCATAGAAGTCAGAGGCTGCATCTGAAATGGAAACCTATTCCCTATACAATGCCCTGGTCAAAAGTAGTCCACTATATAGGAAATAGGGTGCCATTTGGGATGCATCCCTGACTTAACAGATGCAGGGGTGAGAGGTCACCGAGAGCTCCTCCTACCCGTGTGCAGGGCCAGGAACCCAGCCATGACCTTCTGAGTGAGCAGCAGGCCGTTGGACAGCTCTCTGAACCAATGGGGAGCATCCCGAGCTGAACTGACACTGAAGATATCACTACAGTTGATGGTGGTGTTCTCTGCCATTGTTAGGTTGTTGGTCCTCAGGCAGACCTCGTGCAGCGTAAAGCCAAAGCCCAGCAGGTAGGCACACACGGTCAGGCCAAACTTCAACAGGAAACAACCCAGGAAGTAGGTCTGCGTCTGCAGGAAGTAGATGTACACAAATCAAGATGTTAAAAGGAATGCCATGGTACACATGTCATGATTAAGATACACTATATATACACACACACAAAAGTATGTGGACACCCCTTCAAATTAGTGGATTTGGCTATTTCAGCTATAATTCGGCTATTAAAATCGAGCACACAGCCCTGTAATCTCCATAGCCAAACATTTGCAGTAGAAGAGATCAGTGACTTTCAACGTGGCATCGTCATAGGATGCCATCTTTCCAACAAGTCAGTTTGTCACATTTCTGCCCTGCTAGAGCTGCCCCGGTCAACTGTAAGTACTGTTATTGTGAAGTAGAAACTTCTAGGAGCAACAACGGCTCAGCCGCGAAGTGGTAGGCCACACAAGCTCACAGAACGGGACTGCCGAGTGCTGAAGTGCGTAGCGCATAAACTTTATTTATTTTTATTTATTTCACCTTTATTTAACCAGGTAAGCCAGTTGAGAACAAGTTCTCATTTACAACTGCGACCTGGCCAAGATAAAGCAAAGCAGTGCGATAAAAACAACAACACAGAGTTACATATGGGGTAAAACAAAACATAAAGTCAAAAATACAACAGAAAATAGAAAATATATATACAGTGTGTGCAAATGTAGCAAGTTATGGAGGTAAGGCAATAAATAGGCCATAGTGCAAAATAATTAAAATTACTATTAACACTGGAATGATGATGTGCAAGAGATGATGTGCAAATAGAGATACTGGGGTGCAAATGAGCAAAATAAATAACAATATGGGGATGAGGTAGTTGGGTGGGCTAATTACAGATGGGCTATGTACAGGTGCAGTGATCGGTAAGCTGCTCTGACAACTGATGCTTAAAGTTAGTGAGGGAGATAAGAGTCTCCAGCTTCAGAGATGTTTGCAGTTCGTTCCAGTCATTGGCAGCAGAGAACTGGTAGGAATGGCGGCCAAAGGAGGTGTTGGCTTTGGGGATGACCAGTGAGATATACCTGCTGGAGCGCATACTACGGGTGGGTATTGCTATGGTGACCAATGAGCTAAGATAAGGCGGGGATTTTCCAAGCAGTGATTTATAGATGGCCTGGAGCCAGTGGGTTTGGCAACGAACATGTAGTGAGGACCAGCCAACAAGAGTGTACAGGTCACAGTGGTGGGTAGTATATGGGGCTTTGGTGACAAAACGGATGGCACTGTGATAGACTACATCCAATTTGCTGAGTAGAGTGTTGGAGGCTATTTTGTAAATGACATCGCCGAAGTCAAGGATCGGTAGGATAGTCAGTTTTACGAGGGCATGTTTGGCAGCATGAGTGAAGGAGGCTTTGTTGCGAAATAGGAAGCCGATTCTAGATTTAACTTTGGATTGGAGATTCTTAATGTGAGTCTGGAAGGAGAGTTTACAGTCTAACCAGACACCTAGGTATTTGTAGTTGTCCACATACTCAAGGTCAGACCTGTCGAGAGTAGTGATTCTAGTCGGGTGGGCGGGTGCCAGCAGCGTTCGTTTGAAGAGCATGCATTTAGTTTTACTTGTGTTTAAGAGCAGTTGGAGGCTATGGAAGGAGTGCTGTATGGCATTGAAGCCAATCATGACAACCCTCATAGCATAGTGTAAAGTAATATGTCTGAAACAGGGCCGGTGCGGGTAAACTACAGTACGTACCTTTCTGGGGATGGCATCTTGGTTCTTCCCTGTGGCCACGTTCATCACAGTACTGTCTGCTGGCTTTCCTAAGAATGACACACTTCCAACACAACACACAGAGACATGGTTAGTATCATGCATTTATACTGTTGTACTATAAAACAGGAATGTGAAACCTATATAGTTAGTAGCAGTGGTACCTGAGCAGCGGACAGCTGAAGCAGGACAGCCAGAGGATGTCAGTGATGTTCATAGGAGGAGGGAGTTGGGCTAGGCAGGCCAGAAACTACACAACGGGAGGGAAAAAAATCAACAATAATGTAATACAATATTCAGGTAAAACTGTTGCATCCTCAGTTGTTTTATTATAGCGGAAATTAATTGGCTGTACAGGTGTGTGCTCTCTCACCTGGATGAGGACCAAGGTCAGCTGACACTGCAAAAGGAACAGGAAGCTCTTGCGGATGCTGTAGGTCGTGTGACGCGCCTGGAAAGGAATCATACATGTAAAATAAATATATTGTATCTTTGTGTGTCTGTGCATGCTTTCATACCTTATCAGGACCAGAATGTCCTGACAAGGTAGAAAAACAAGACATTCGGGAAAAGTCTGGACTTTTTTCAGGTCCTGAATTTGTTAAAATGCTATTTTAGGGTTAAGGGTTAGGTTTGGGTTTAGGGTTAAGGTTAGGTTTGGGTTTAGGGTTAGGTTTGGCTTTAGGGTTAGGTTTGGGTTTGGGTTTAGGGTTAGGTTTGGGTTAGGTTTGGGTTTAGGGTTAAGGTTAGGTTTGGGTTTAGGGTTAGGTTTGGGTTTAAGGTTAGGTTTGGGTTGGGTTGGGTTGGGTTTAGGGTTAGGTTTGGGTTTAAGGTTAGGATTTAGGGTTAGGTTTGGGTTTAAGGTTAGGATTTAGGGTTAAGGTTAGGTAAAGGGTTAGGGAAAATAGGATTTTGAATGGCAATACATTTTGACTCCCCAAAAAGTCCCGAAATCTCATGAGTGTGTGTGAGATATAGCAGTAGGAAATCTCACTCGTCACTCAACATCCTTTCCACCAAAAAAATCAAAAAAATCAAATAATAAATCGCTCAGCACTAAATAAATATTAAATAAATATTAATGCAGCTCCAAATTTGCTCTATTCATTTTTTGTTTAAAAAGATAATTTACCAAACACACCCCATCTAGTTTTGTGACTATGTACCATTTGGTTTTGAAGTAGGCTATCGTAAGAAGCATCAACATTTCAACAACATGTAGTAGGCTATTAAACAAAGATCTACCTGATGACCGGCTGTGCGGCCACCGTGTTAAAAAAACAAATAGCTTTTCTCTAATCTATTGATGATCAGATACTTCAGTTGTAACTGGTTCTGTTGCGCTCACATTTGACAGTTGACAGAAAACTTTAGCACTGTTACAAACGTAGACTTTCATAAAAATACTCATTTTTTATTTTTTTTATAATAGCCTGTATAGAAATAAAAACATCTCTGGTGCTGCTGCATGGGTTCATTCATCGTCTTGCCATCAATTACACAGGCCGTGACCCATTTCCTGGTCGACTCATATCAACATCTCTGTGCATTAGTGGCTAAAGGACAACACTTTTTTAAAATCCTCTCCACACTCCAGCTCCACTTCGCCCCCATCCTCTGGTGTGTGTCTCACCTGCTCTATGAGTTTGACCATGCTGACCGACTCCCCCTGGTGGAAGGTGACAGAACAGGCCAGGGAGTTGAGTTGACCGGACAGACTGAGGGGAGACAGACCTTCCACCTCCCCGTTCAGCCCTGCTCCTGTAGCGTAGCCAAACGTCTCCCACGAACACCGCGACGGGTACAGGGGGTCCAGGGCGATGCTGGGAAGGGGAGGGGGTGGGGGGGCAGGAGGATAAAGGGTGTATGTGTGTGATCTGTATTCCTCTCCATACTGTCATTATGTGCTTGTGAACTTATGGACGCACATCATAGTCTATTTATAAATGAACTAGGCAGCTGCAGCTGCTTTGTGACGTGTGATTGTACCTGAGGTCACTCTGTAGGAAGAGGCAGCTGTTGCGGAAGTTGGCGGAGCTCCCCAGGCAGCACGTCACCTCTCTGTTCTCCTGCATGATCTTGATCATCTCACACATGGCTATATATACACACACACACACACACACACACACAGATTTGGAACACACTAGAACACTCACACATGCGTAGCTGTAACACGCATAACTACATTGCATATATTGTGATAGAATTCACTCCTATACCATGGTCAATTGATTTGTATATTAAATATTAGGAATGTCTCAGTAACAAATACTAAGGTTTTGGAAAAACAGAAAAGGTTGTTTCATGTAAGTGGAGATGTTCTGACTCACTCTCTGGGGTACAGTCGGTGAAGAGAGGCACCAACAGAGGCACGTTGTCAATGTTCTTCAGGTGGGGACGAACCTGGTGGATTCCACGAGGTAGCTTCGCCTGGAAGGAAAGAGAAGGATTAGCACGAGACAGGGGGAAGTGACAGAAGAGGAGCGGAGACTAACAGTATTTGTCCTGTACCCTGTTGCAGTCCTCCAGGAAGCTGGGGACATCAGTGGTTTCCTCCTCTGGTAACAGCAGCCCCTCTGCCTCATCTCTGGAGTCTTGATGGTCATCCTGTACGGAGTACTGGCCGGGGCTGTTGGGGACGCCATCACAAGGACTGTCTCTGTTTGGGGTCAGAGAGATGTGACAGTTCCACCCCGTCTCCAGGCCCATCTTCTCTGCAAACACCTACCACATTCAAAGGACAGACATAAAAATCATCATCGTCGTCATCACATACATCTCAGCAAACACACACACCCACCCACCTTGCTGCGTAGCTCGTCCTCCATAGAGAAGTAGACAAAGCGTATGCAGGCGGTGACCAGAGCGTCTATGAGCCTGACGGTGTCCAGACGAGCCTGGAACTGTGACGACACCATCCCCATGAAGATCTGACCGCTCAGAGCCTGAACACAGTCATCTTTCTCCACACCTCCTATACCCTCTACGGAGAGAGAAAGGCGTGACAATAAATCCAAGCAAGTGTCACGCTAAGGTACAACACAAAACACATCGTGTCAAGTGTAGCTACACCTCCCTTCCCGCATCCTCCTCTCCTCCCACCTCCCTCAATCCCTCGCTTACCATCGGAGCTCCAGGAGTTCCTGCGGGAGATGTGTTTGATAGGGGTGGTGGGGGGCAGTTCTACCCCAGAGAAGAGGTTGGGGCCGGGGGCTAGCTCCACACATTTCCCATGGAGCTGGTTGGACAGGCACACCTGCATGGGCTTATAGGCAAAAGCAGAGCAGTAGCCTGACAGACAGGCCCGCTGGTAGAAGTCCAGAACCTTCTTCCTGTAGGGGGGTAGCCGTATAAAAAGGTTAATGATGGTTGTCATAAGACTTCATAAGGCTGTTATAAGACTTCATAAGGCTGTTATAAGACTTCATAAGGCTGTTATAAGGCTGTTCTGACCTGTCGGAGCCAGAGAGGGGGTAGATGTCGGTTCCGTCCCAGACGTCAGTGCAGGCCTCCAGGATGAGGTCAGCAGAGCCGTGAGACAACATCTGGACGTTATCTAGGGGTGAGAGTTCAGGGGTCACAGACGTGCAACAAAACGATTCCAAGAAAGAGGTCAAGGGTAAAGGAGAGGAGGGTAAGAGATGGAACCAGAGAGATGGAGTGAGCGGGGAGAAAGACAAAGAAAAATAGAGCTATTCTCACTGGAAGAGGAGTCTCTGATGAAGAGGGAGATGAGGTGGCTTATGGGAGGTTGTCTCTTGGTGAAGTTGTGTAGGCGTTGAGGGACAGACTCCTTGGCCTTCTCCCCACAGGGCAGCTGGTACAGAGCTAGGTGGCTCTCCTGTTTAAACAGCTCCCTCGCCCCAGGAGTGAACCCTGAGAGAAACCCAGGAACAAAGAGAATGGAAGAGAAGGGGTCAGTGTGTATGAGTCTGGAGTTCACATAGTCCACATAGTAAGAGTATAGTTGTCTGCGTGTGTGTGTGCGTGCGCGAGTCTCTTCCCCTCCCTCGCCTCACCTATAAGCCTGGCCATCTCACACAGTCCCCAGGGCACGTGGACGGGCAGCACGGCGCCGTGGCTCTCCTGCAGCGCCAGGTTACTGAGGTGGTCGGAGAAGCGGCAGAGCTGCTGGGTGACGCTGGCGTTGCACAGGTTGAGCAGGATGTTGAGGCCCAGGGGCTTGAGGCTGGGCAGGTGGCACTGCCAACCCTGCTCGTCAAACTGGATACTCACCGGGTTCTGCTGGTCCTGAGACAGACTCAGCATCTCCAGGTGGTAGTCACACACATAGTCCTCCGCTTCGTTGTCACAGCAACCCACCATGTCCTGGAGAGAGAGGAGAGAGCAGAGAGAGAGGAGAGAAATGCTGTGTAGTAAGATAGTGATGACAAGAGAATGATCTACAGGACGTGTGTGTGTGTGTGTGTGTGTTACCTGTTCAGGGCCCTGATCCCCTCCATCTGTGCCGTGGCTGAAGCTGACATTAGATCCTGAGGGGTGTTTGGTGCGTGTCTCCCGCGACTGCCGCCGAGGCCGCAATGTGTCCTCGGAACGGCCGGTGTCATGTGACGTCTCGCTGGGCTCATACCCGTCTCTCATCCCATCCATTATTGGCATACACAGCAGAGCATCCCCCTCCTGGGTCTGACGGACAGGATGAACAGCCAATCAGACATCACTCTTCCAATCACTCAAAAAGCACTGGTGTAAAGTACTTAAGTAAAAATACTTTCAAGTACTACTTAAGTCGTTTTTTGTGGCATCTGTACTTTACTATTTATATGTTTGATAACTTTTACCTCACTACATTCCTAAAGAAAATGTCGTTTTTACTCCAGACATTTTCCCTGACACCTAAATGTACTCTTACATTTTGAATGCTTAGCAGAACAGGAAATGGTCCAATTCCCACACTTATCAAGAGAACATCCCTTGTCATCCCTACTGCCTCTGATCTGGCGGACTCACTAAACACAAAATGCTTTGTTTGTAAATGATGTCTGAGTGTTGGAGTAAAACATAAAATCGTGCCATCTGGTTTGCTTAATATAAGGAATTTGAAATTATTTATACTTTTACTTTTGATACCAAGTATATTTTAGCATTTACATTTACATTTTAGTCATTTAGCAGACGCTCTTATCCAGAGCGACTTACAGTTAGTGAGTGCATACATTTTTCATACTTACTTGTGATACTTAAGTATATTAAAACCAAATATTTTCAGACTTTTACTCAAGTAGTATTTCCCTCGGTGACTTTCACTTGAGTTATTTTCTATTAGGGTATCTTTACTTTTATTCAAGTATTACAATTGGATACTTTTCCCACCACTGCTGAAAAGACACTATCACCCATCATACGAATCTCACAGTCAATACCTCAGGTGGTTAAAGGAACTAGATATTTGTCTCACGTCAGACAGCAGGAACTATAGTGCCTTCAGAAAGTATTCACGCCCCTGGACATTTTGTTGTCTCACAAAGTGGGATTCAAATGGATTTAATTGTAATTTTTTGACAACGATTTGCACAAAATATTCTGTAATGTCAAAGTGGAAGAAAGATTATCACATTTGTAAAACATTTAAATAATAATAATAATAATAATAATAATAATAATATACACTATATATACAAAAGTATGTGGACACCCCTTCAAATTAGTGGATTCGGCTATTTAAGCCATACCCGTTGCTGACAGGTGTATAAAATTGAGCACACATCCATGCAATCTCCATAGACACACATTGGCAGTAGAATGGCCTTACTGAAGAGCTCAGTGACTTTCAACGTGGCACCGTCATAGGATGCCACCTTTCCAACAAGTCAGTTCACCTAGAATGTCATTGTATGCTGTAGTGTTAAGATTTTCCTTCACTGGAACTAAGGGGCCTAGCTCGAACCAAGAAAAACAGCCCCAGACCATTATTCCTCATCCACCAAACTTTACAGTTGGCACTATGCATTGGCGCAGGTAGCGTTCTCCTGGCATCCGCCAAACCCAGAATAGTCAGTCGGACAGCCAGATGGTGAAGTGTGATTCATCACTCCAGAGAACGCGTTTCCACTGCTCCAGAGTCCAATGGCGGCGAGCTTTACATCACTCCAGCCGACGTTTGGCATTGCGCATGGCGATCTTCAGCTTGTGTGCAAAAAAAGTGATTGTGCTGACGTTGCTTCCAGAGGCAGATTGGAACTCGGTAGTGAGTGTTGCAACCGAGGACAGACGCGCTATGTGCTTTGGCGGTCCCGTGAGCATGTGTGGCCTACCACTTCGCAGCTGAGCCGTTGTTGCTCCTAGACATTTCCACTTCGCAATAACAGCACTTACAGTTGACAGGGGCAGCTCTAGCAGGGCAGAAATGTGACGATCTGACTTGTTGGAAAGGTGGCATCCTATGACGGTGCCACGTTGAAAGTCACAGAGCTCTTCAGTAAGGCCATTCTACTGCCAATGTTTACCTATGGAGATTGCATGGCTGTGTGCTCGATTTTATACACCTGTCAGCAACAGGAGTGGCTGAAATAGCAGCATCGTTGTCGTCGACATCTTGTTGCATCTGCTGCATTGACCATGCAGACTGAAGAGTGGACGTCAAGCGGTCTCGTGGTTGAGCAACAACTGCGCTCCTTGAGTGACAGGGGGTGGGGCTTGGTGACGCCTCAAGTAGTAAACTATAAAAACGGACGTTACAGCGGAGTGGCGTATCACATTTAACCAAACATTGAAATACTGCTATAGAAGGTAAAGTACCGTTATATAGATACGATACAGCGCCCAGCCCACCCACCCACCTCGTCCCGGTCCTCGTCGGTCTCCATGCGGCAGAACGAGTTGTCTGAGAGGTCGTCTCGCAGGTCTTCTTGACTGTCGTTGTGAGGCGGCTCCACGCGACCACTAAAGAACAGCACTGTCTCTGGACTGGGGTTAGGCCAGGATAGCACACCCTGTTTGTCCACACAACACAACACCTAGAGAGAGAAAGAGAGCGCGTTACACACACACACACACACCAAGAGAGAGACAGAGAGAGAGAGAGAGAGAGAGAGAGAGAGAGAGAGAGACACTTACAGTGACAGAGCCTAGTGTGTGTAGCAGGCTGGAGGTGTAGCAGAGTGTCTGGGACTCTCCCCTCAGCACGTCCACCAGGTGTCTCCACACACACCGCAGCATCTCCTGCACACACACACACAGTTAGGATACATCGCATTATCACATTTTCACCCACTACAGATGGATCAACAACATTGTAGTTTGCTCCACAATACTAACCTAAATGATAGTGAAAAGAAGGAAGCCTGTACATAGTTGACTCAATTTTACGTTTGTCAGACATTAAATCAGACCCCTAATCTGGTCTAAATGTTGAAAGGAGTCCATATCCCTCAACATTGGTTGTGTAGATCTCAAATGAATGGCAAAGATAGGTGCAGTAACATCATATTCCTTCATCAAAAAATGTGCGGAAATTCCAAAAGACCTTGAAGGCCAGGCATTGACACATTGAAATCCATAATATCATCTTCAAAAAGTTTCAAAAGTGAAAAGGCAAGGGGGCCTACTGAGAAACGGGACTTGCAACTAAGATGAGCGAGTAGAGCTGATGCCATAGCATGGGAAGACCCACTGCAGGGCTAGATGAAGCACATTAAAAAGCCTTGATTCTCTGTTGCAGGCAATAGCATCTACAGTACAGTGATCTACAGTGCTTTCAGAAAGTATTCAAACCTCTTGACCTTTTCCACATTTTGTTGTTTTACAGCCTGAATTGAACATGTATTAAATTGAGATTTTGTGTCACTGGCCTAAAACACAATACCCCATAATGTCAAAGTGGAATTATGTTTTTAGAAATGTTTACAAATACATTAAAAATGCACTCTGTGTGCAATAATAGTGTTTAACATGATTTTTTTGAATGACTACCTCATCTTTGTAACCCACACATTTATGTAGGGTCCCCTCAGTCAAGCAGTGAATTTCAAACACAGATTCAACCACAAAGACCAGGGAGGTTTTCCAATGCCTCGTAAAGAAGGGCACCCACTGGTAGATGGGTAAAAAACAACAACATTGAACATCCCTTTGAGCATGGTGAAGTTATTAATTACACTTTGGATGGTGTATCAATACACCCAGTCACTACAAGGATACAAGCATCCTTCCTAACTCAGTTGCCGGAGAGGAAGGAAACCGCTCAGGGATTTCACCATGAGGCCAATGGGGACTTTAAAACAGTTAGTTTAATGGCTGTGATAGGAGAAAACTGAGGATGGATCAACAACATTGTAGTTACTCCACAATACTAACCTAAATGATAGTGAAAAGAAGGAAGCCTGTACAGAATACAAATATTCCAAAACACGCATCCTGTTTGCAATAAGGCACTGAAGTAAAACTGCAAAAAATGTGGCAAAGAAATAGATACAAAACATTATGTTTGGGGCAAATCCAATACAACACATTACTGAGTACCACTCTTCATGATTTCAAGCATAGTGGTGGCTGCATCATGTTATGGGTATACTTGTAATCGTTAATGACTGGGGAGTTTTCAGGATAAAAAAACAAACGGAATGGAGCTAAGCACAGAGAACATCCTAGAGGAAAACCTGGTTTAGTCTGCTTTCCACCAGACACTGGGAGACAAATTCACTTTTCAGCAGGACAATAACCTAAAACACAAGGAAACATCTACACTAGAGTTGCTTACCAAGATGACATTGAATGTTTCTGAGTGGCCTAGTTACAGCTTTGACTTAAATCAGCTTGAAAATCTATGGCAAGACTTGAAAATGGCTGTCTAGCAATGATCAACAACCAACTTGACAAAGTTTGAAGAATTTTTTAAAGAATAATGTGCAAGTATTATACAATCCAGGTGTGCAAAGCTCTTAGAGACTTACCCAGAAAGACTCACAGCTGTAATCACTGCCAAAAGGTGATTCTAACATGTATTGACTCAGGGATGCGAATAGTTATGTAATTGAGATATTTCTGTATTTGATTTTCAATAAATGTGCAAAAAAATTTAAAAAACATGGTTTTCACTTTGTCATTATGAGGTATTGTGTGTAAAAATATATATTTAATCCATTTTGAATTCAGGCTGTAACACAACAAAATGTGGAATAAGTCAAGGGGTATGAATACTTTCTAAGGGCACTGTATATTACTAGTGACAAAGTGGAAAGGAACACCTCAAGAACACCTCCATCTTTCCCAAAAGGGTTGACACCTAAATGCGAGTAGATGATGTCCTTTGATGTCTTCAGTCTGACAATCAGGGACTATGACCCAATACTCCCAGATGCTTCCTTTCCTTCACTCCTTTTCTTATGAAATCATAGTCCTCCCAGGTCCTTTAGATCCTTTCCAGATTAGTGTTCATCAAGTAAGGCATTTGAGGAAAGGACACAAGGAAAGGAAGTCGTTTGAGAGTCAAAGTACACAGTTAGTGGGGCAGAGTTTCCCATCATGCATTGCAAGCAGGAGGGCAGAGGTGGCAGGCACAGGCTCAGGGGAGAGGCCAATCCAGAACCAAGCCCTTTAGCAGGGAGGGGGTTGGGGGTTAGTTCTGGACTGGGCCAATGTGTCAGTAGCGCAGAGGTGGGGGTGGTAAGTGCTGGGGTTCGTCGGGGGACGAAGGGTTACGTGATTAGGTAAAGAAATGGTATGATGAAAAATTGCCAAAACTAGATGAGTCAAATTTGCACTCCCATCAGCGAGGATTGGAGAAAGACTGATTGGCTGACAGAGAGAACCGACAGAAATGCCAAAGAGATCTCATCATGAACAAGAAAATCAACCACATTAGGGATAAACAATGCAAAACCAAATAGATGATTGGTCCTAAACTCAAACAACAAAAGAAGATGCGTGAGCGCTACAGGGTTTCACGGTGGTGGGTGCAGGGGCGAGGGCTGTCAGCGTGTGGACAGGGACGGGGGCGAGGGAGTGAGGGCGGAGGAGTTGAGAAGTTATACCTGGGAGGACACCACTTCAGTGTAGCTGCTTAAAGTGTCCTCAGAGAACTTAGCAAGCTGTGGCGAGAGAAGAGGCCAGTTAAACCACACAGGAGGCACCTCTCTGTCTCTCGTGTGGCACTTGTGCGTCGGTGTGTTTCTCACCAGGCCAGTAGGAGAAGTTCTGCTGGACTCAGCCAGGACGCTAGCCTCTCCATAGGTGTTGACCAGCACCCACATGACAGGAAACAGCAGGGGGAGGATGGGCAGCACTCCCATCAGCTGGAACACAACAATTATTACAAAAGGGATATTTTATCTGTAGGTTTGAAGAGATTCTGTCCCCGCAGGTTAGCCTACCCTGCTATAAATAAGGAGAAGGGGCACGGCCAAGAAGGGCTGTTGAGTCTTCATACCTGCAGCTGGATGAAGTTGAAGCGTCCAGGACTGAGGCTGGGGGCGTCAAAGAAATAACGCACTGTATTCACAACTAAGAACGCCACCTATAGGAGGAGAGAGGAATGACATGAGGGACCACGTCAAGTAGGTTTAATGAAGAAACTGCGTTTGTGTTGTTTGCTTGTCTCACCAGTACGATAGGGCAGGCAAACTTGGCCATGCTGGACTGAACGGTGAACCTCTCGTTATCCAGGGCTGTGATTGGTCGAGACAGAGCCAGGTCCAGACTGTTCCTGTAAAGCACAGAGGAGAATTCAGCCAGGGCGGGGGTCAGTCATTTTAGATAACTTCATAGGACGGTTTACTGGACCCATGCAGATTAAGCCTAATCCTGGACAAAAAACTAACAAACATGCAGTTTAGACCAATATTAGACTTAATCTGGGTCTGGGAAACCTGCCCTGTATTTTTAAGCTGCTTAAAAATGACACACTGAGCCGTCACAATCACAAGTGACAATTTCAGGTTTCCTTTGACTCTAGTCTGTAGATGATCATTTATGATTTGCGCAAACTTCCTCCTCGAGTTGAATTCTTGGACCTCCCCCTCCGCAATTGTTGGATAGCAAACTAGCTAGTGGTAAATTATTACCTCAAACTCGTTCACCTCACAATCAAAGTTTGTCAGACTGTCCAGCTTCAAAGGTGGACTTTAGTGGATGCATTTCCCACCTGACGCTGTCGAGGATGGGCGTGCGGACCACCCTGAAGAGGCGGTGCTGCTGGGGGCTCTGGGGACCCCTCTTCTGGTCCCCCCGGGGGGAGGGAGGGGGGGAGCGAGGTGGGAACAGGTCACCCGGCTCCAGAACTATATGATCGTCATCCTGGAGAAGGGAGATGTTGAAGATACAGGTGAGCCATTCACATAAGCAGTATCCACCTCCTCTCTCCCTTTACCATCTACCTCTCTCCATACCTTGATGCCTCTGAGAGAAGCAAACGTCTCCTGTCCTGGCCGTAAAGCTATGACATCTCCCTCCACCAGTAGGGACACAGGCAGGTTGACCAGCGTGGAGTCGCGGTAGGTCCAGTGGAGCGACCAGGAGGGGGAGGAGGGAGTGTACAGGTCAGGGTAAAGGGAGGGAGACCACCTCACCCCCTCACCCAAATCTGCCCAGCCCGACAGGTAGCCTGGAGGAGGGAGAGAGAGGGTGGAAGAGGAAATAAAAAGATAGGATCACAAAACAAGAACGGTGGAAACTTGCCAACCTCAAGTAAAATAGTGTTTATTTCTTAATGTTTTCCCTCCATTTAAATCTCCAACTGTCCTAATGTCAACGCTCATCCCCAGTCCTCTCATTCTAGCTCCATCCCCCTCTTCTCTCTTCCTCTCACCGTTGAGCTGATTGATGATGCTGTTGAGCCGGTGCACCATCTCAGTTCTCCTCAGCCTCTGCTGTCGACAAACCAGCATGAAGCTCAGTGTGAAGAGCATGAGAAGGGTTGCAGCATTCACCACCTCTATCCCAGAACTACAGAGAGAGGGGGAGGGGGGGGGGGGGGGGAGGAGGGGGAGGAGGAGGGGGGGGAGGAGGGGGGGAGGGGGAGGAGGGGGAGGAGGAGGGGGAGGGGGAGGAGGGGGAGGAGTAGGGGGAGGAGGGGGGAGGAGTAGGGGGAGGAGGAGTAGGAGGGGGTAGGAGGAGGAGGAGGAGGAGGAGGGGGGAGGAGTAGGGGGAGGAGGGGGAGGAGTAGGGGGAGGAGGAGTAGGAGGGGGAGGAGGAGGAGGGGGAGGAGGAGGAGGAGGGGGAGGAGGAGGATGAGGGGGAGGGGGAGGATGAGGGGGAGGAGGAGTAGGAGGGGGAGGAGGAGTAGGAGGGGGAGGGGGAGGGGGAGGAGTAGGGGGAGGAGTGGGAGGAGGAGTAGGAGGAGGAGGAGTGGGAAGGAGAGGAGTAGGAGGAGGGGGAGGGGGAGGAGGAGGGGGAGGAGTGGGAGGAGGAGGAGGAGGGGGAGGGGGAGGAGGAAGGAGAGGAGTAGGAGGAGGAGGGGGAGGGGGAGGAGGAGGAGGAGGGGGAGGAGGAGGAGGGGGAGGAGTAAGAGGAGGAGGGGGAGGAGGAGGGGGAGGGGAGGGGGAGGAGGAGGGGGAGGAGGAGGGGGAGGAGGAGGGGGAGGAGTAAGAGGAGGAAGGAGAGGAGTAGGAGGAGGAGGAGGGGGAGGGGGAGGGGAGGGGGAGGAGGAGGAGGAGGGGGAGGAGGAGGAGAGGAGAGATGTGGTCGTTTTCAGACTGTTGGGTCTTCCTGTGTTTCACAACCTTATTTCACCGCGAGGTAGCTCTGATAGGAACATTTGGGTTGAAATTCCAGTCTAAATAATACACACGTTACAGAGCAACATTCTAAATAATACACACAATCAAATAAAACTAGACCATATGGACACAAATCCATACTGCGATAAATTGCCTGAATTTATGCCACAACAATAAATAGAACGATAAGTTTACCACAGTTTTTTCAAATGATCCTTTAAAACTACTACCACTAGTTCGATGGTTGTAGCCACCAATTGTCCCATTAACAATCACCCATATTAGCAAACTTATTTCATTTCAAACTTATTTCACATTTCTCTAGTATAGGCTACTTATGGTAATGAAGGATATCAGCAGAATGCCTGTGGTAAGTGATCGGTGTGGATAATTGGTCTATTGTCCCAGCGCTACAGTCAAACACACCTGCCCTGTGGCTGGTCGCCATAACAACAGAGAAGTCCCACCACCACCAGCAGCGTGAGGGCGGCTCCCGGCCAATGGAGACAAGAGTGGCGGTTGCCATGGTGAAGGAAGCTCTTCACCCACTGCTCCTAAAATAACATCAAACAAACAAAACATCTTGTTACACTCTACAAATCAAATCAAATTTTATTGGTCACATGCGCCGAATACAACAGGTGCAGACATTACAGTGAAATGCTTACTTACAGCCCTTAACCAACAGTGCATTTATTTTTAACGAAAAAAGTAAAAATAAAACAACAACAAAAAAAGTGTTGAGAAAAAAAGAGCAGAAGTAAAATAAAATAACAGTAGGGAGGCTATATATACAGGGGTACCGGTGCAGAGTTAATGTGCGGGGGCACCGGCTGTGCAGTGCGGGGGTACCTACCTGTGCAGTGGGTTGTTTGCCACGGCCTGTGATCTGGTGCTGGTCAAGCAGGGTGGTGAGCTGGTCCCTCAGTTTACCCAGAGCCTGACCAGTAGACAAGCCCAGGGTCCCCACTCCCTCCTCCTGAAACACACACATATTCAATATATACATTTGAATCCACAAATCACATTACAGTCAAGAAGGATTCAAACATTTCAAAGGTCACAGATTCAGGGACACTTATGGTACAAAAAGCACCTTGTCCACACAGCTAGGCTGCCCACGACAGCTGAAACAGAGCAGTACCTTGTTAGCTGCTTTGCCTTGGTCCTATGCACAGGTGCACTGCCACACGCAGTTAAACACATTCAAATAACAGATTTGCATTAAATCAACCATTTCCCCTAGTTCACATTTGTTGCCCCAAGTTTTTCTGCGCTTCCGTTTTATGGTTTTAATAAGCAAAAACTCAAACGATTTGTTAGATCATTAGTAAGCTAAACTGAATTGTACTTTCACTCTAATGAGCCAAACTAACTGATGCCAATAGGATGATATGGTTTTAATGAGCAGAGATACAGCAGAGATTATGTTCTGCCATACATTTCATCATTCATCTACACTGAACAAAAATATAAAACGCAACATGTAAAGTGTTGGTCCCATGTTTCATGAGCTGAAATAAAAAGATACCAGACATTTTCCTTAGGCACAAAAAGCGTATTTCTCTAAAATGTTGTGCACAATTTTTTTACATCCCTGTTAGTGAGCATTTCTCCTTTGCCAAGATAAATCCATCCACCTGACAAGTGTGGCATATCAAGAAGCTGATTAAACAGCATGATCATTACACAGGTGCACCTTGTGCTAGGGACAATAAAAGGCCACTCTAAAATGTGCAGTTTTGTCACACAACACAATACCATAGACGTCTCAAGTTTTGAGGGAGCGTGCAATTGGCAAGCTGACTGCAAGAATGTTCATTTCTCTACCATAAGCCTCAAACGTTGTTTTAGAGAATTTGGCAGTACATCCAACCGGCCTCACAACCGCAGACCACGTGTATGGCGTCGTGTGGGCAAGCGGTTTGCTGATGTCAACGTTGTGAACAGAGTGCCCCATGGTGGCAGTGGGGTTATGGTACGGGCAGGCATAAGCTACGGATAACAAACACAATTGCATTTTATCTATGACAATTTGAATGCACAGAGACACCGTGACGAGATCCTGAGGCCCATTGTCGTGCCATTCATCCGCCGCCATCCCCTCATGTTTCAGCATGATAATGCACGGCCCCATGTCGCAAGGATCTGTACACTATTCCTGGAAGCTGAAAATATCCCAGTTCTTCCATGGCCTGCATACTCAGACATGTCACCCATTGAGCATGTTTGGGATGCTCTGGATCGACGGGTACAACAGTGTGTTCCAGTTCCCGCCAATATCCAGCAACTTCACACAGCCATTGAAGAGGAGTGGGTTAACATTCCACAGGCCAAAATCAACAGCCTGATCAACTCTATGCTAAGGAGATGTGTCGTGCTGCATGAGGCAAATGGTGGTCACATCAGATACTGACTGGTTTTCCTTTTTATTAAGGTATCTGTATGCCCAGTCATATGAAATCCATAGATTAGGGCCTAATGAATTTCCTTCCTGATATGAACTGTAATTCAGTGAAATCTTTGAAGTTGTTGCATTTCAATTTTTTTCAGTATAGTTATTCACAACAGAAGTGAAGCAAGCTGCAAACAAACCTAAATGTCAGTGGTTTAGGGTTACAATGGAGGTGAAGCCAGCTGCAGAGAAACAACCATATCTAATGTTAGTGGGAACCCAATCTTTTCCCACACTCCCCCACTCTACAGACACACACACACACACACACACACACACACACACCCCATTTCAGCTCAGCGCCATTTTATTTCTCCACATCCCACACAGCTATAAATAACTGACAATTCTCCATAGTCAGGAAGCAGAAAATTCTCTAGACATGGATAAACACAAACACACCCGGACGTCAGAGCCTGGGCTCATCTCTCTCTGCCCGTAAAGTCTGCCCTACACTGAATCTTCGTCTAGCTCAGCCCAGCCACAGCCCAGTGCCAGCTGGATTAGCTCTGACTGTATGTGTCTCTGCAGTGTCTGGCTAGACGATACAGGAGAGTGATCAAGCGGAGAGGAGAGAGAGAGAGAGAGAGAGTTTAAAAAAGAGAGTGGAGGCATATGAAAGCTGAAAGAACAGAAGACAGAGAGTGCAAGAAGAAAGAGAAGGAGAGAGACAACCTGTATTGAGGGTTGTGCTTTGCTTTCCAGTGTTTCCGCTGCAGTCGTTTAGCTGTGCTGATGCGCCACGAGAAAAACATTGCCGCCACACAATTGTATTTTACAGTCCACATTTACTTTTCCTCTGCAAACATAACGAGTAATGAATAGAGAAACTATTCTACTCTGGGGTTGTCAGATATATCTATTTACCTAGTCGGCTTGTTGTTGTGTTTAATGCCAGAATATTCCTCGAGGCACATTCAAGTTACGAGTGCCATGGTGAGGGAAACGCGCATTCTGACAAGCAGCCAACGCACAAGAATTCTTGCAATTGCGGGGAAAACATCAGTTTTAATTACTTTTGTTAAAAAGAGGGGGATCCCATTCGTACTTTATTTATCAACTCTTAAATATGCGCAAACCTCAACATTGTAAACCCAGAGTTTTTAGCAGTGGCATGGAAAAGCAAGTTACCACTCTGCTATTACCTGTGAGTGCATAGGGGAGAGTGGGGCAAAAATGTAACACAGGTCAATCGTAGGGTAACTTGGGGTAAAATGCCACCTCAAAATATTTTTTTTGTGATGAGACAGATTACATTTTTAGTTGAGCCAGAGTAGTGGTCACCAGTAAAAGTGTTGGGGGGGGGGGGGGTTTCTGTGAAAAGTACAGGTAGGGGCATGTTACCCAAGGTGGTACGTTACCCTAAGAGATAGGACTACATTATATTCACAGTGTTTATGCACGTTTTTTGGGACATAAAATGCATCAATAGGATGCTAACTAGTTGAAAGATCACATTTGGGATCTAGCTAATGATTAGCCCAATAGGGTAAATGCAGAAGGGCAACCCTCTGCTTCAGCCTATTTATTTCTAGCCACTATGCTGCATCAGTTGGGCTACAGGTGATAATGCTTATTGCTAATAGCATACCTGATAATATGGACCATGCATTGGCTATGTTAAAACTAATTTAACAAATAATTTTACCGATATGCTATTGGCTCATTTCTGGAGATGGAAATTATATTTTAGGTTCGGCATAAAATTATTTTCCTTTTAAAAAGTCAGCCGAACTGAGCTTAGTCCTTCTACATAACCCATTGCAATGTTAGTCTTATTCTAAAATTGATTCGTTTTTTCCCCCTTAATCTACAAACATAACCCCATAATGACAAAGCAAAAAAAAAGGTTTTTAGATTTTTTAACAAATGTATAAAAAAAACTAAATGAAATATCATTTTTACATAAGTATTCAGACCCTTTACACAGTACTTTGTTGAAGCACCTTTGGCAGTGATTACAGCCTCAGGTCTTCTTGGGTATGACCCTACAAGCTTGGCACACCTGTATTTGAGGAGTTTCTCCCATTCTTCTCTGCAGATACTCTCAAGCTCTGTCAGGTTTGGATTTTCAGGTCTCTCCAGAGATGTTCAATCGGGTTCAAGTCCGGGCTCTGGCTGTGCCACTCAAGGACATTCAGAGACTTGTCCCGAAGCCACTCCTGCATTGTCTTGGCTGTGTGCTTAGGGTTGTAGTCCTGTTGGAAGGTGAACCTTCACCCCAGTCTGAGGTCCTGAGCGCTCTGGAGCAGGTTTTCATCAAGGATCTCTCTGTATTTTGCTCCGTTCATCTTTCCCTCGATCCTGACTTGTCTCCCAGTCCCTGCCGCTGAAAAACATCCCCCCCAAAAAATGTCATCGAGCACAACCCTCTCTCGGAGCTCTACAGACAATTCCTTCCACCTCATGGCTTGGTTTATACTCTGACATGCACTGTCAACTGTGGGACCTTATACACAGTTGAAGTCGGAAGTTTACATACACCTTCGCCAAATACATTTAAACTCAGTTTTTCACAATTCCTGACATTTAATCCTAGTAAAAATTCCCTGTCTTAGGTCAGTTAGGATCACCACTTTATTTTAAGAATGTGAAATGTCAGAATAATAGTAGAAATAATGATTTATTTCAGCTTTTATTTATTTAATCACATTCCCATTGGGTCAGAAATGTACATACACTCAATTAGTATTTGGTAGCATTGCCTTTAAATTGTTTAACTTGGGTCAAACGTTTTGGGTAGCATTCCACAAGCTTCCCACAATAAGTTGGGTGAATTTTGGCCCATTCCTCCTGACAGAGCTGGTGTAACGGAGTCAGGTTTGTAGGCCTCCTTGCTCGCACATGCTTTTTCAGTTCTGCCCACACATTTTCTATAAGATTGAGGTCAGGGCTTTGTGATGGCCACTCCAATACTTTGACTTTGTTGTCTTTAAGCCATTTTGCCACAACTTTGGAAGTATGCTTGGGGTCATTGTCCATTTGGAAGACCCATTTGTGACCAAGCTTTAACTTCCTGACTGATGTCTTGAGATGTTGCTTCAATATATCCACATAATTTTCCTTCCTCATGATGCCATCTATTTTGTGAAGTGCACCAGTCCCTCCTGCAGCAAAGCACTCCCACAGCATGATGCGGCCACCCCCGTGCTTCACAGTTGGGATGGTGTTCTTCAGCTTGCAAGCATCCCCCTTTTTCCTCCAAACATAACAATGGTCATTATAGCCAAACAGCTCTATTTCTGTTTCATCAGACCAGAGGACATTTCTCCAAAAAGTACGATCTTTGTGCCCATGTGCAGTTGCAAACCGTAGTCTGACTTTTTTATGGTGGTTTTGGAGCAGTGGCTTCTTCCTTGCTGAGCGGCCTTTCAGGTTATGTCGATATAGGACTTGTTTTACTGTGGATATAGATACTTTTGTACCTATTTCCTCCAGCATCGTCACAAGGTCCTTTGCTGTTGTTCTGGGATTGATTTGCACTTTTCGCACCAAAGTACGTTCATCTCTAGGAGACAGAACGCGTCTCCTTCCTGAGCGGTATGACAGCTGAGTGGTCCCATGGTGTTTATACTTGCGTATTATTGTTTGTACAGATGAACGTGGTACCTTCAGGCGTTTGGAAATTGCTCCCAAGGATGAACCAGACTTGTGGAGGTCTACAATTTTTTTCTGAGGTCTTGGCTGATTTCTTTTGATTTTCCAAGCTGTTTAAAGGCACAGTCAACGTAGTGTATGTAAACTTCAATGGGAAAGTTCTTTTTTTTATGGAGCATTGTTGTCACAGTTGCTTCTTGTTGAAGAGGCTGGCAAAATAAGTGAGCTATATGTTGTTTGTGTACTACCATATGTTGATAACATAGCCAAGTTTGTCACTGGTATGGGTTAGTAAATATCCTAAATTTACCCAGCTAGACAGTAATAGCCGCAAGCTAAAACCGGGGAGAGAGGAGGAGAGAATTCACTTCATGTTTCATCTGCTGCTGGCTTGATAATGTTCCCTCAAATACATTTTTACAGATGTCATTTTACAGACTATAATTGTTCAATATGTTGTGAATATTGTAGAAAAATACTCACAGACGTTTTCCATACTAAAACGTGAAGTACAACTTGGTGCGCACCAGCTTATCATGTACAGTAGCCATCTTGCTTTCCGGATCTTTCCGGCAATCTTCGTGGTTTTTATATGCAGTGAGAATAAATTGTACAAAAAAGTTGTAAACTAAAAAGTTAGAATCCATGTATATTCATACATTTACATTTTATATTTTAGTCATTTAGCAGACGTTCTTATCCAGAGCGACTTACAGTTAGTGAGTACATACATTATTTTTTATTTTATTTATTTTTTCATACTGGCCCCCCATGGGAATCAAACCCACAACCCTGGCGTTGCAAATGCCATGCTCTACCAACTGAGCTACAGCCCTGCCGGCCATTCCTTCCCCTACCCTGGACGACGCTGGGCCAATTGTGCGCCGCCCCATGGGTCTCCCGGTCGCGGCCGGCTACGACAGAGCCTGGATTCGAACCAGGATCTCTAGTGGCACAGCTAGCACTGCAATGCAGTGCCTTAGACCACTGCGCCACTCGAGGGAAGTAGGGGTCCTGATAAATCATAATACAATTAAAATAAATGTGTTTAACACTATTAACTAATATACACTAAGCCTTTATTACTCCTGTATGAGCGGCGAAAAATACCCTTCAGCAGAGCAGGGTGAGAGAAAAGGAGGAGGGTGAGAATGAGAGCTCGAGAGTGGATGGTGTGGTTGCTGACACCTGTCAACTTTCAGCTCGAGAGTGGATGGTGTGGTTGCTGACACCTGTCAACCTTCAGCTCACTGCTTTTAAAGTACAAGCTCATGATAACGAGTTGACAGGCCAGTTCCTCTTTTGTGACACCAGACCAAAAAACAGTTTCAATGTGTCTGTCATTTTTTTTATTTTATTTTTTTATTTTTATTTCACCTTTATTTAACCAGGTAAGCCAGTTGAGAACAGGTTCTCATTTACAACTGCGACCTGGCCAAGACAAAGCAAAGTAGTGCAACAAAAACAACACAGAGTTACATATGGGGTAAAAAAAACATAAAGTCAGAAATACAACAGAAAATATATATACAGTGTGTGCAAATGTAGCAAGTTATGGAGGTAAGGCAATAAATAGGCTATAGTGCAGAATAATTACAATAGTATTAACACTGGAATGCTAGATGTGCAAGAGATTATGTGCAAATAGAGATACTGGGGTGCAAAAGAGCAAATTAAATAACAATATAGGGATGAGGTTGTTGGGTGGGCTAATTTCAGATGGGCTGTGTACAGGTGCAGTGATCGGTAAGGTGCTCTGACAACTGATGCTTAAAGTTATTGAGGGAGATAAGAGTCTCCAGCTTCAGAGATTTTTGCAATTCGTTCCAGTCATTGGCAGCAGAGAACTGGAAGGAATGGCGGCCAAAGGAGGTGTTGGCTTTGGGAATGACCAGTGAGATATACCTGCTGGAGCGCAGACTACGGGTGGGTGCTGCTATGGTGACCAATGAGCTAAGATAAGGCGGGGATTTGCCTAGCAGTGATTTATAGATGGCCTGGAGCCAGTGGGTTTGACGACGAACATGTAGTGAGGACCAGCCAACAAGAGCGTACAGGTCACAGTGGTGGGTAGTGTATGGGGCTTTGGAGACAAAACGGATGGCACTGTGATAGACTACATCCAATTTGCTGAGTAGAGTGTTGGAGGCTATTTTATAAATGACATCGCCGAAGTCAAGGATCGGTAGGATAGTCAGTTTTACGAGGGCATGTTTGGCAGCATGAGTGAAGGAGGCTTTGTTGCGAAATAGGAAGCCAATTCTAGATTTAACTTTGGATTGGAGATTCTTTATGTGAGTCTGGAAGTTGAGTTTACAGTCTAACCAGACACCTAGATATTTGTAGTTGTCCACATACTCTAGGTCAGACCCGTCGAGAGTCATGAATAGCTTACATCTACTGACCAACTTCAAAAACCTAGGAAGAGCGGTCTACGGGGATCAGTCAACAAACACACACAAGCGCACACACACAAACGTCCCAAGGAGTCTCTGTTTCACAAACAGACCACTTTAGGGAGCCAGCTGACGTCGCTGGGCGCTAGGCAACTCACCTGCTTCTTATCCTGTAGCTCCATGGCAACCAGCGCAGCCTCTCACCATGCTCCGAGGCTCACACACACCAGAGGAGCCTAAGCAGAGCCTTCACCCTCCGGATGTCCCCTCGATGTTCCTTCAATGTCCCCTCGATCCCCAACTTCGGCTGGAGGACAATGTCACCCACTGGCCCCCTCCCGGCGCCGCTATGCCAGCCTGCTCTGCCAGTCTGAGGGGATGACCACGCACACCCACAGGGACTCACTTCAGGGTATGCTGGGAGATATCGTTTTTGGCGGCTAGTTACTGTAGTCAAAGCCGTGGTGAGGATGTCGTCCACACTACATGAATGGCTGGGTAGATCTGTGTTGGGAAGAGATCAATAAAAGGGAGAGATATATGATTATGGTATTGGCATGGCATAAAGCAGTCAGATTTCATACCCTAGCTATAGGTCGGTAGGCTTTAGGTTAGTAGGTCTGTGGGCTACATGACTGCAGCGGGAAAGAGGCAAAGAGACAGGGGTGTCTTTCAGACAGTTTCAGCTGAACAGGTACAGGAACCACACCCAACTTGTATGATCATTTCCTGTCCATGTATGCATGGTGTAATAAGGCACTCCAATAAGCAACTGGTGCAAGCTACTGTATACATACGGAAACACGTCATCAACTTATCAGTGGTGTAAATACTTAAGTAAAAATACTTTAAAGTACTACTTAAGTAGTTTTTGGGGGTATCTGTACCTTACTATTTATATTTTTTTACAACTTTTACCTCACTACATTCCTAAAGAAAATTATGTACTTTTTACTTCATACATTTTCCCTGACACCCAAAAGTACTCGTTACATTTTGAATGCTTGGCAGGACAGAAATGGTCCAATTCACGCACTTATCAAGAGAACATCCATGGTCATCTCTACTGCCTCTGATCTGGCGACTCACTAAACACAAATGCTTTGTTTCTGAATTATGTCTGAGTGTTGGAGTGTGCCCCTGGCTATCAGTGAATAAAAAAAAAAATCATGAACCATCTGGTTTGCTTAATATAAGGAATTTGAAATGATTTATACTTTCACTTTTACTTAAGTATATTTAAAACCAAAAACTTTTAGACTTTTACTCAAGTAAGTAGTATTTTACTGGGTGACTTTCACTTTTACTTGAGTCATTTCCTCTTAAGGCATCTTTACTTATACTCAAGTATGACAATTGGGTACCTTTTCCACCACTGCAACTTATATAGCCAGCCCATTCACAACAATAGCCTACGTCAGAAACAGAACTATTCATGGCCCATGTCGGTCTACCGCTAAATCCACCTGGCTGACAGACGTAACATAGATTACCTGTACTTACACTGTCGTCTTTGGGTTAGAGAGGCAAGGAGCGACAGCCCACATATCATGATGCTTTTATATTTGTATTTTGTATTTATTAGGGATCCCCATTAGCTACTCTTCCTGGGGCCAAACATATTAAAGCACTTACATTACATATAAAACAAAAGATAAAACAGTACATCATTTAACATTTTTACACCACTACATATCTAAAACACAAAATGTTTAATACCACCATACAACAATATCACAATGTGTGCGTATGCATGTCCGTACCTTTGTGTGTGTCTCTTCACAGTCCCCGTTGTTCCATAAGGTGTATTTTTACCTGTTTTCTTTTAATCTGACTATTGACTTCCGGCTTTAGTGTGCGTAGATACAATGCTATCTAACTAACTGGGAGTCAATTGTGGTGTCCGTAGATTCTGCCATGGAAAAACAAGAATGCAATGCACCTAGCTAAAACTTCGCACAATCAATGCTATGTATGACACGAACAAGTGTCACTGTTGCCAGCTAAAGCACTGTTTCCGACTCATCGCCAGCTAGCTAATACGAGCTAAGCTAGCTAGCTAGCGTTGCCATTTGCAACGTCAAGGTTCGTTTTCTTTAAAGAAGACGCCTGCGATAACTGGCGATAAGCACTTTACAGAGCAAATGACACCACTGTCAATGCACCAAATATATCCGCATATCTGTCATACTCACGTTCAGGTTGCAACGAGGTCTGTCTCTCGTCACACCATTTAAACCTACATTGTATCTCGAATATCCAGTGTACAGTCCACTAGTGAAACGCCATGTCAGAAATTATGGAAGGAGAGCTTTTTTTTGGGGGGGGAAGCGGTGAAGTCCTCTCTCTTTTGTTGAAAAGGGTTTTGATTGGCGTGTGTGGGAGGGGCGGCTGGTGCAAGTCCTATTTTTTACGGTCTATACACAAATCGACCATTCTATTTTGAAATACGATACCTACCCTTCATTCTCTCTGTAATCTGTTTCAAAGGTGAGTAGGTTACTGCGTAGTGCGGTTAACCAGAGAGGAAGAGGCGAAGCGAGAGGTTGTACTCCGCACAAAAAATGTGCATGAAAATAAGTCCAGGAAGTAAGGATTTTTTTTGTATGGAGGTCAATGAGAGCTTGTCGAATTTGGTCAACAAAACATTGAATTGTTAATTTGCTACGTGAGGCTTCTTTTTTTGATCGAATAGATGTTTCGTAATGGTTAGGTTGTTACCAACGCACTGATATAAAAGTGGACGCACGTTGCATTCTGTCAACTTTGAAAAAATGACTTTAAATCAGAGTTGTGCCTGTTGTAATAGAGATAGAAGACTCATCATGGATACAACCCGTTTTAGCATGGACATTGCCATTGAGGGATTCCACCATTTTTAAGTATTCAACTGGGTGGGGATTCCTATGAGTTGGGAGCAATCAGCCAAATAATAATAATAAATTGTACTACTTTAAAAAGGAGATTGCCTCAATGGTGCTGCCCATGCTGTCACAGACCGGCCACATCATCATGATGATGCAAAATGTTTGTATCATCATGATGATGTGGCCGGTGACACTTTGCTTATTCCAAATGATTCATAACTGTAATGGCTGCCAAAAGTGCTTCCACCAATGATAGGGCAACATTTTAATTTCCACCTAAATAGACATATCCAAACGTAATTATTTTTCATGAGATGGCCATAAACAATAACTGGTAATGTTGCATAGTTTTAGAAAGGTCTGGAACTCACCTTTCTGGTAAAAATAGTTATAAATTGCTGAGGTTTTCTCCTAAACGTCCACTGAGCAGCGCAGGTACCATTCAAATGTGTGCAGACTAGTTACAACTTCAGCTTAAAGCACAAAGTGATTTCGTCCTTCTGTGACCAAGGGAAAGTACTCTTCTTTAAATTCTATGAAATTATGTAGTATTTTTTCATGTTGAGAGCTCAAAATCCGGCTGAGAATATCACAGTGAGATTCAATGACAATGGCTGGACTGTCATCGTTCATTTGCTGTCTCCCAAGCTGGGCTCACTCGCTCAGAGGAAGAGATAATCAATTATTTGTCTGGATAGAAGACCTGGGATAACTATAGTTTTAACTATGCTTTGTGGAAAGTACCTATTTTCTCGAGGAACTAATATTTACTTTGGAGGTGACTACAAATATTTGAATACATATCCCAAAAAAGTACTACTTTTTAAAACTATTTGAATACAGATCTTAGAAAGTAACTACTTTTAAAAAATGTTTGAATACAGAGCTTATTGGATTGGCTGCCGTCAACTAATGGCAGGGCTGTATCTGGAACTGCATGTTGAAGCTAGAAATAGAATGAAGAGAGCACACACAATCTCCTATACTATTTCAATCCATCTGCCAGTCATATTTGATCTACACAATACATTTCTATCTGAAAATGTTGTAAATGTCCATTCTCCTCAATGTCAATTGCCCCAGGTGTACATAATGAAGTCAAACCAATTAAATTATGTACAGATAAGTATAAATAAGTTGTGATGCTCAACTACTGTATGACTCTTTCAACATGCCACTGAAAAGGTCGAAAGCTGCAAATACTTTTAGGATGCCTGAAAATACTGCAGAGTAATTCAAAGCCTTTTGCAAACGTTGCAAACAGCAAGTTGGATGCTTAGCAAAAACAACTTCAAACCACTTTGTCCATCTGAGGGTAAGTGTCCTTGTTTCAAACACACACTATAGTAGTTGATTCAAGAAGGCCGTTTTTTAAATATTTAGTGTCCTTGCAACACTTGTGTTAGCATTTTCAGTAACACTTAACATTAAACTGTTCCCGTGCCTGTGTAATAAAATTGTAATCACTTTTGGAGCAACCTTTTATTTGCATGTTGTTACGTAATACTGTGGTAATTGTATTTTAATTGTGTAGCAATGAGCTGAGAGTTTTTGTAACTACTGTACAAGAGAGGTATAGTGAATGTTTCTTAATCAACTTCTGTAATAACTCCATTATTATGCAATTATAAATGAATTTACAGAGTCCTATGTAACAACAATGTTGCTATTGTAATAATCACTAAGTTACTACACATGTATAAGAACTTGATGTAAAGTGTTACTGTATCACCTTATATCTCACTCATTATGACAATATATTCATTTTGAAGCTGCAAAAGTAATCTACTCTAATGTAGATGTGATTCATGTCCCTCATGTATTTAACTCTAGGTTGTAGGCTATATTAAAGGGAAACTTTGGGATTTTGGCAATGAGGCCTTTATCTACTTCCCCAGTGTCAGATGAGCTTGTGGACACCATTTTTCTGTCTCTGTGTCCAGTATGAAGGAAGTTAGAGGTAGTTTCGTGAGTCAATGCTAACTAGCGTTAGCGCAATGACTGAAAGTCTATGGGTATCTGCTAGCATGCCTTATTGACAAAATCCTGAAGTATCCCTTTTAAGATATACACTGCTCAAAAAAGGGAACACTTAAACAACACATCCTAGATCTGAATGAATGAAATAATCTTATTAAATACTATTTTCTTTACATAGTTGAATGTGCTGACAACAAAATCACACAAAAATTATCAATGGAAATCAAATGTATCAACCCATGGAGGTCTGGATTTGGAGTCACCCTCAAAATTAAAGTGGAAAACCACACCACAGGCTGATCCAACTTTGATGTAATGTCCTTAAAACAAGTCAAAATGAGGCTCAGTAGTGTGTGTGGCCTCCACGTGCCTGTATGACCTCCCTACAACACCTGGGCATGCTCCTGATGAGGTGGCGGATGGTCTCCTGAGGGATCTCCTCCCGGACCTGGACTAAAGCATCCGCCAACTCCTGGACAGTCTGTAGTGCAACGTGGCGTTGGTGGATGGAGCGAGACATGATGTCCCAGATGTGCTCAATTGGATTCAGGTCTGGGGAACGGGCGAGCCAGTCCATAGCATCAATGCCTTCCTCTTGCAGGAACTGCTGACACACTCCAGCCACATTAGGTCTAGCATTGTCTTGCATTAGGAGGAACCCAGGGCCAACCGCACCAGCATATGGTCTCACAAGGGGTCTGAGGATCTCATCTCGGTACCTAATGGCAGTCAGGCTACCTCTGGCGAGCACATGGAGGGCTGTGCGACCCCCCCCCCCCCCCAAAGAAATGCCACCCCACACCATGACTGACCCACTGCCAAACCGGTCATGCTGAAGGATTTTGCAGGCAGCAGAACGTTCTCCACGGCATCTCCAGACTCTGTCACGTCTGTCACATGTGCTCAGTGTGAACCTGCTTTCATCTGTGAAGAGCACAGGGCGCCAGTGGCAAATTTGCCAATCTTGGTGTTCTCTGGCAAATGCCAAACGTCCTGCACGGTGTTGGGCTGTAAGCACAACCCCCAACTGTGGACGTCAGGCCCTCATACCACCCTCATGGAGTCTGTTTCTGACCGTTTGAGCAGACACATGCACATTTGTGGCCTGCTGGAGGTCATTTTGCAGGGCTCTGGCAGTAGTGATGGGTCATGCGCACAAGCATCGGCTCTGAGAGCCGGCTCTTTGTAGTGAATCAGAAGAGCCGGCTCGCATCGAGTGAGAGCCGGCTCCCAGTTTTTTGCCCATTCGCTGCTTAGGTTTCACTTTCACAGAGGTCTGTTATGATTGGCCAGCATGGCGACCAGCATGCGGCATTCACGTGAGAATTAAGGATGTGTAAACAGAGAGGGGGCGGGGCAGACACACCACTTGACTCCACTGCAAGTGAAGAGAGAGACAGAGCGGACTGAGGAGCGTGTGTGCGTCTTGCATTGTCGTGTCGTTTAACTATGAGTGACACTAGAAAGCGAAGCAGCATCTGGCTGCAGTTTAAAGATATTGGGAACAAGAAAGCAGAGTGCCTTCACTGCAAAACGAAGGTCACTATAAGAGCAGGTTCCACCACAAACCTGCATAGACATACAAGAACTGTCCATCCTACAGTGCAGTTAGAGGAGAGAGGGCAAGCCAGCTCACCATCTACTGATCCTGGTGTGTCTCATACCAGAACAACAGCTGCTGTAACGTCTACTGCCATCCCCATGCGTGCAAGTATAACCTCTCCTACTGCAACTCAAAGCAAAATAAGTCAGTTTTTACCTAAACTGATGACCCCAGCCAAACAGCACAGTATTGATGATGAGTTGGCTAAAATGGTAGCTTCTGATTTTCAACCCTTTTCCATTGTGGAGGACAAAGGAATGAAAAACTTTGTCAAAGCCCTAAATCCCACATACACTCTACCCAGTAGAAAAACACTTTCCCAAACAATGATCCCAAAACTATATGACACAGAACGTGCATTATGGCAAGAAAGGGTGACAAAAGCTCCATCAGTTTGCCTGACAACTGACTGCTGGACCTCCAGAACAACCTGCTCTTTCATGTCTGTCACTTGCCACTTTATTGAAGATTACAAGATGACATCTTGCCTTCTGGACTGCTTCGAGTTCACCGACAGACACACTGCAGAAAACTTGGCAGTGGAGCTACTAAGAGTGGCAAAAGAGTGGCAAGTAGAGGACAAAGTGGTGTGCTGTGTGAGTGATAATGCTGCAAACATCACCAAAGCCATAAAAGTTTTGAAGTGGACCCATCACCCATGTCTGGCGCATACACTAAACCTGGTGGTTAGAGATGCTCTGAAGGTGATCAAAACAACCGTGGATAAGGTGAAGGCTGTTGTGGAGTTTTTCCACAAAAGCACAGTAGCAGCACAGAAGCTAAAGTCCACACAGCGCCAAATGGGGATTCCTGAACTGAGGCCCAAACAAGAGTGTGCCACCAGGTGGAACTCAACATTTGATATGTTGAAACGAATGCTTGAAATAAAAGATGCCATCATCTCCACCCTGGCCCTCATCAACGCATCTATTGAGCCATTAAGCCAAGAGGAATGGGAGCTGGTGAAAGAGGTCTGCGCCGTCCTGGAGGTGAGGAGCTACCTTGAGGAGCCCCTCATCCAGAGAGCAGAAGACCCACTGAGCTGGTGGCAGGCCAAGGCCTCAGTCTTTCCACTCCTGGTGAAGGTGATGGAGGGGAGACTATGTATTGTTGCCACATCAGTTCCTTCTGAGAGAATCTTCTCCAAAACAGGGCAGATACTCACGGAGAGGCGAAATCGTATCAGGCCTATCAGCCCATCCAAGCTGAGGCATCTGATCTTCCTGAATGCCAACCTGCCCTGAGGACTAATGCTGTTTGCTGGAGTTTGGTTCTGGTTTTGATTCTGTTCTGTGGATTTGTTTGAAGTTTATTGTTAATTTGTGCAATAAAAAAGTTTAATTGAAATAAACAAATGTAAGAGTGGTTTTGTCACAGAATAAATGCACAGAATTAGGCATTATAAGGTCTCTCATAAAAACACTGAAAGCAAAAGGGTTTTCAACACATAAACCATGATTTTTTTTCAAAGTTAAGGTAAAATATAGGCTACAAAAGATCCTAAATAAAGAGCCGTTCGGGAGTCGAAAGAGCCGGCTCTTCTTTGGGAGCCGAGTCAAAAGAGCCGGCTCTCAGAAAAGAGCCGAACTTCCCATCATTATCTGGCAGTGCTCCTCCTGCTCCTCCTTGCACAAAGGCGGAGGTAGCGGTCCTGCTGCTTAGTTGTTGCCCTCCTACGGCCTCCTCCACGTCTCCTGATGTACTGGCCTGTCTCCTGGTAGTGCCTCCATGCTCTGGACACTACGCTGACAGACACAGCAAACCTTCTTGCCACAGCTCGCATTGATGTGCCATCCTGGATGAGCTGCACTACCTGAGCCACTTGTGTGGGTTGTAGACTCCGTCTCATGCTACCACTAGAGTGAAAGCACCGGCAGCATTCAAAAGTGACCAAAACATCAGCCAGGAAGCATAGGAACTGAGAAGTGGTCTGTGGTCACCACCTGCAAAACCAGTCCTTTATTGGGGGTGTCTTGCTAATTGCCTATAATTTCCACCTGTTGTCTATTCCATTTGCACTACAGCATGTGAAATTTATTGTAAATCAGTGTTGCTTCCTAAGTGGACAGTTTTTGATTTCACAGAAATGTGATTGACTTGGAGTTACATTGTGTTGTTTAAGTGTTCCCTTTATTTTTTTGAGCAGTGTATATCTAAGAGCCCTCCGAACCATTTATTTAGCCTTTATTTATACAGGTTTTTTCTCATAGATAAAATCTATTTTTCAAGAGAGACCTGGTCCAACAGCAGCAGGGGGACAAAGTTTCAGACAAAACACAACATACACTAACACAACACTGAACAACACTATAGAAAAAAATGTATGCACTCACTAACTAGTGTCTGCTAAATGACTAAAATGTAAAATGTAGACACACATACAGTACAACAATTACATATTATGTAAAGAAACACGAATGTCATAACTAAAAAAAACAGCTGTCCTAAAGACAATTACACTCTTCTATGATATTTACATCGATCAAGTGTTTCAACTCCACCAATTCTACTACCTGTTGTAGTATTTGGTTCTTCATTAAATATTTGGCAGCCATCAAATAAATATTTTTTTGTTTTCAAACAACTTGTATATATTCAAATACCTTCAAATATTATTTGGTTTTCTGAGAGGTATTCAAAATACTTTCAGATATTATTTGGTTTTCTGAGACCTGTATTTGAAAATCAAAAGAAAATAGTTGCCTTTTAGTTGAAACTCTATAGAAATTATATTCGACTATCTCAACTTTTTGAAAAGTTGGTATTTTCAAATAAACTACAAAATACAACTATTTTCTGTTCCCAGGTGGGGTGTGAAACCTGACACTTCAAATCAACCCCGCTTAGGGAGTTAAAGGGGAGAGCAGAATTAGGCCGATACCCGCTAATGATTAAAATCCAGAAAAGAGCCGTAAAATTCTACAACGACCTAAAAGGAAACGATTCCCAACCTTCCATAACAAAGCCATCACCTACAGAGAGATGAACCTGGAGAAGAGTCCCCTAAGCAAACTGGTCCTGGGGCTCTGTTCACAAACACAAACAGACCCCACAGAGCCCCAGGACAGAAACACAATTAGACCCAACCAAATCATGAGAAAACAAAAAGATAATTACTTGACACATTGGAAAGAATTAACAAAAAAACTGAGCAAACTAGAATGCTATTTGGCTCTAAACAGAGATTACACAGCGGCAGAATACCTGACCACTGTGACTAACCCAAAATTAAGGAAAGCTTTGACTATGTACAGACTCAGTGAGCATAACATTGCTATTGAGAAAGGCAGACCTGGCTCTCAAGAGAAGACAGGCTATGTGCACACTGCCCACAAAATGAGGTGGAAACTGAGCTGCACTTCCTAACCTCCTGCCAAATGAATAACCATATTAGAGACACATATTTCCCTCAGATTACACAGACACAAAAATAATTAGAAAACAAATCCAATTTTGATAAACTCCCATATCTATTGGGTGAAATACCACAGTATGCAATCACAGCAGCAAGATTTGTGATCTGTTGCCACAATTTTCTTGGCAACCAGTGAAGAACAAACACCATTGTAAATATAACCCATATTTATGTTGATTTATTTTCCCTTTTTTACTTTAACTATTTGCACATCGTTACAACACTGTATATAGACATAATGACATTTGAAATGTCTTTACTCATCTGGAACTTGTGTGAGTGAAATATTTACTGTTCACTTTTTATTGTTTATTTCACTTTTGTTTATCCATTTCACTTGCTTTGGCAATGTAAACATATGTTTCCCATGCCAATAAAGCCCCTTGAATTGAATTGAGTAGACCAATTGGGCTTTTTGGCATTGTAAGGCATGGGACCCTACAGGGTTCACAGAGCGCTTTGTACACAAATGTCATTCGGAACCAGAACCGCTCAAATTCCCCCATATGGGGCACTTAACATCTAAGAGGTTTTTAACTCTGAGGTGTGACGACATACGTGATCAAAAGATCTTAGTCTTTTATTAATTTGGAAAATGTTCTATAATTTTCTTTCACTTAAAAAATGTCAAGTAGATCTGTGGGGGGGGGGGGGGGGGGGGGGGTGGAATCAAACTGAAACCCTTGTTAGATTGAATGTTAAGGCAGCAAAATGTGAAGACTGTGAAAGGTGTGTGAACTTTCACTAGGCACTGTATCAGGATAGAGATGCAGCCTGACCCATCCTCAATGGACCCACCACAGCACCAACTTTACATACACACACACACCAGGCCTGTATTCCCAAAGTGTCTTTGAGTAGGAGAGCTGACCAAGGATCAGCCCCCACCTATGTGCATTGTATTTGTAGCAGTAGTAATTATCGTGTTATGGGTTAGATGGAATGCTCTATGTGCATTGTATTTGTAGCAGTAGTAATTATCGTGTTGTGGGTTAGATGGAATGCTCTATGTGCATTGTATTTGGGCAGAGGGAAATGGGGCCTGTCGCTGAGTGCCAGAATGATTCTATAAGGGTTGGATAGGAGCCATGTGTCTGGGGTTAGCGCTGATAGATCGTAATTACTGTTCTATAACACCGTCTTATATCTTCACTGTTTTATATTGTTACATACTCTTAGTATGAATATACCGTTTTATATATATCCATAGAGATTGAAAGTAGTGTTAGGTTTAAGCTCTTTGTGTATGAGAAGTGTAATTATCTAGTGGACTGCAGTAGATTGTAGGACTGTGTACTCTCCATCACTCAAGGCCTCTCCTAACTGATAAGGAGACCTGTGAAAAGCACGGAGGAGTGCGAAGGATCTGGACTCAGACTGGGACACGATAACACCAAGAGGAACGGAGTCCGTTTCTGCTCAGCAACAGAGACTGGTTGTTCATCCTATACATACTGTAGGGTGGGCCTAGTCGGAAAGGTATAAATCAATGTGCTTGTGTGACCTGTAGATTGTCTTCTGCAGCTGCAACACCCAGTGTGGTGAATAAATCTTAACAGCTTTTCCATTAGCAATAAATATTCACATAGAATTTAAAAACAACAATACCTTATTCATCAAGCTTTTTCATACTTAAACACAAAGTAAACAAGAACATCCATCCAAATTATATAGTTTAAGGCCAGGACAGGCTGAAATTACATTTTTGCTTCTACCTGTACATTTTGAGATTTGTTGGTATTTTATAATGTGAGCATTTTCAAAAAACGAAGCATAACCTTTTTTTTTACTTGATGAAAATCTATATTTTCTTTAGTTTATCATACTACCATCAACATTTTAATGAATTTTTATCACTTTAAAATTGACATATATCAATCATTTCAAAGCTCACTACATTAAATTACACATAATTTAAAAGACCATGGCATAGATAGTGTTACAAACTGGATTATATTCAGTAACTTACTTCGAAGAGATGGTGATTGGGTCTAAAAAGGCGGCTGGCCTCCAAATTAACTGCCATTTCCTGAAAGTCAGACTTTTAACACACGCCAACTCGTTTTTTCTCAGCTTTAGAAGCATCTGCATTCACCACATATTGTGTGGTTATCCTTAGATATATTCTCCAATCTTTCCCTGAAGGGATTGTTGATACACTATATTACCAAAAGTATGTGGACACCTGCTCGTCAAACATCTCATTCCAAAATCATGGGTATTAATATGGAGTTTGTCTCTCATTTGCTGCTATAACAGCCTCCACTCTTCTGGGAAGGTTTTCCACTAGATGTTGGAACATTGCGGCGGGGACTTGATTCCATTCAGACACAAGAGCATTAGTGAGGTCGGCACTGATGTTGGGCGATTAGGCCTGGCTTGCAGTCGGTGTTCCAATTCAACCCAAAGGTGTTCGATGGGGTTGAAGTCAGGGCTCTGTGCAGGCCAGTCCAGTTCTTCCACACCGATCTCGACAAACCATTTCTGTATGGACCTCGCTTTGTGCACGGGGGAATTGTCATGCTGAAACAAGAAAGGGCCTTCCCCAAACTGTTGCCACAAAGTTGGAAGCACAGAATTGTCTAGAATGTCATTGTATGCTGTGGTGTTAAGATTTCCCTTCACTGGAACTAAGGGGCCTAGCCCGAACCATGAGAAACAGCCCTGCACCATTATTCCTCCTCCACCAAACTTTACAGTTGGCACTATGCATTGGGGCAGGTAGCATTCTCCTGGAATCTGCCAAACCCAGATGAGTCCGTCGGACTGCTAGATGGTGAAGTGTGATTCATCACTCCAGAGAACGCGTTTCCACTGCTCCAGAGTCCAATGGCGCTGAGCTTTACACCCCTCCAGCCGACGCTTGGCATTGCGCATGGTGATCTTAGGCTGCTCGGCCATGGAAACCCATTTAATGAAGCTCCCGATGAACAGTTATTGTGCTGACATTGCTTCCAGAGGCAGTTTGGAACTCTGTAGTGAGTGTTGCAACTGAGGACAGACGATTTTTATGCGCTACGTGCTTCAGCCCTTGGCGATCCCGTTCTGTGAGCTTGTGTGGCCTACCGCTTCACAGCTGAGCCGTTGTTGCTCCTAGACGTTTCCACTTCACAATAACAGCACTTACAGTTGACCAGGGCAGCTGTAGCAGGTTATACAATTTGACGAATCACTGAGCTCGTCAGTAAGGCCATTCTACTGCCAATGTTTGTCTATGGAGATTGCATGCTTGTATGCTCGATTTTATACACCTATCAGCAACGGGTGTCGCTGAAATAGCCAAATCCACTCATTTGAAGGGGTGCCCACATACCTTTGTATATATATTGTAAGTTGTTAATTTTTTATTCTAGATAACATTTTTATTCGAAAAATGTGCCAAAAATGCATTTTACGTGCATGTCTTTAGTATTTCACAGATAGAAAGATAAAAAGTATTTATCCACAATCTGCTCTGGACAAGTCCGGTCCTGGAGCGTCTTAACAAAATGAAACCCAAATATTCAGACTGACTTCATCCAGTGTCCAGAAAAATGGATTTGCATGATATGCATATATTTAATGAGATATCGCCTCATAATACAAAAAAGTATATATATATATATATATTTGTGTCTACATTAAACTGGTAAAAGTTGATTGTGATATGATTAAGGGAACAACATTACCCTGTGAGGGTGATTGGCCTTAAATTACACAGATATTTACTGCAAATAAATATTCACATTGATACATTGGTTATATAAAGGTTTATTGCACAGAAATCTAACATGTACAAAGGAATATTCAAATTTGGACATTCTTTGGTATTGAAAACTATAATATGTAGTTTTTTTTTTAAATAACTAAACGTTGTTGATAAAAATATGAAGGCATTGACTTGTTTTGATAATCATCAGTGCAGGCCCGCTTATCAATAGGCTGATCCTGAGCCATCTAGGCTGATCGTATCAGCAGGCTCCCTCTCTCAGAGTGTGTGTGTGTGTGCTTGTTTGCGTGTGTGTGTGTGTGCTTGTTTGTGTGTGTGTGTGAGTGTGCTTGTTTGTGTGTGTGTGTGTGTGTGTGTGTGTGAGCGTGTGTGTATGCTTGTTGTTGTGTGTGTGTGTGTGTGTGTGTGTGCTTGTTTGTGTGTGTGTGTGAGCGTGTGTGTGTGTGGTGCTTGTTTGTGTGTGTGTGTGTGTGTGAGAGCGTGTGTGTGTGTGTGTGTGCTTGTTTGTATGTGTGTGTGTGTGTGAGCGTGTGTGTGTGTGTGCTTGTTTGTGTGTGTGTGTGTGTGTGTGAGCGTGTGTGTGTGTGGTGCTTGTTTTGTGTGTGTGTGTGTGTGTGTGTGTGAGCGTGTGTGTGTGCTTGTTTGTGTGTGTGTGTGTGTGTGTGTGTGTGTGAGCGTGTGTGTGTGCTTGTTTGTGTGTGTGTGTGTGTGTGTGTGTGTGTGTGTGTGTGTGTGTGTGAGCGTGTGTGTGTGTGTTGGCTTGTTTGTGTGTGTGTGTGAGCGTGTGTTGTGTGTTCTTGTGTTTGTGTGTGGTGTGTGTGTGTGTGGTGTGTGTGTGTGTGTGTGTGTGTGTGTGTGTGGTGTGTGTGGTGTGGTGTGTGTGTGTCTACTAGTTGCTATTGATGGGTGGTTGCACCAGCTCCTCCATAATGACAGCAGTGATGTGGCACAGCTCCTTGGCCTGTAGGGCAGAGAACACACACACACACTATTGTGAAGGTAGCATTCAGGTTGCGTCTCTAATGTGCCCTTAGTTCCCATATCCCTTCCACTGTGTAACCTCACAGTTTACAGAACTAACCCATATACCAATGGTCACCAACCTTTGGTCCTGGAAAGCGCCAGCTAAAGCCTGCCCTCCCTGTATCTGGGGTTAGTGACCACCGCACCGCCATAGTCTACTGTGTACTACGTTGTACTTCACCTGTTTGAGGTGGATGGTGATGGTTTTTGGGCGTCCTGGGTTGCCATAGTTGATCTCCACTCCTGGCACCTTCTTGTGTTTCTTGGGTTTGACCAAGCACAGTGACTGCACTTCCACCAACGGGATCACAAATGCCCGCTCCTGAATAACACAGGAACATTATTGTAAAGCATTAGTAGATGTGAACTACAAATGAATAAAACATGAATAATAGCAGACATCTTTCAAAGCCATAGTTCTATAAAATCTGTCATGATCGATCAGTTCACTCATAATTCGGGAAACACTGTACCTATATTATGCATGGTTGGGGTGTCCCTCCCTACAAAACAGTGTGTTTGGGGTGTCCCTCCCTACAAAACAGTGTGTTTGGGGTGTCCCTCCCTACACAACAGTGTGTTTGGGGTGTCCCTCCCTACAAAACAGTGTTTTTGGGGTGTCCCTCCCTACACAACAGTGTTTTTGGGGTGTCCCTCCCTACATAACAGTGTTTTTGGGGTGTCCCTCCCTATACAACAGTGTGTTTGGGGTGTCCCTCCCTACACAACAGTGTTTTTGGGGTGTCCCTCCCTACACAACAGTGTGTTTGGGGTGTCCCTCCCTACACAACAGTGTTTTTGGGGTGACCCTCCCTACACAACAGTGTTTTTGGGGTGTCCCTCCCTACACAACAGTGTTTTTGGGGTGTCCCTCCCTACACAAGTGTTTTGGGGTGTCCCTCCCTACACAACAGTGTTTTTGGGGTGTCCCTCCCTACACAACAGTGTGTTTGGGGTGTCCCTCCCTACACAACATTGTGTTTGGGGTGTCCCTCCCTACACAACAGTGTTTTTGGGGTGACCCTCCCTACACAACAGTGTTTTTGGGGTGTCCCTACCTACACAACAGTGTTTTTGGGGTGTCCCTCCCTACACAACAGTGTTTTTGGGGTGACCCTCCCTACACAACAGTGTTTTTGGGGTGTCCCTCCCTACACAACAGTGTTTTTGGGGTGTCCCTCCCTACACAAGTGTTTTGGGGTGTCCCTCCCTACACAACAGTGTTTTTGGGGTGTCCCTCCCTACACAACAGTGTGTTTGGGGTGTCCCTCCCTACACAACAGTGTGTTTGGGGTGTCCCTCCCTACACAACAGTGTTTTTGGGGTGTCCCTCCCTACACAACAGTGTGTTTGGGGTGTCCCTCCCTACACACCAGTGTGTTTGGGATGTCCCTCCCTACACAACAGTGTGTTTGGGGTGTCCCTCCCTACACAACAGTGTGTTTGGGGTGTGCCTCCCTACACAACAGTGTGTTTGGGGTGTCCCTACCTACACAACAGTGTTTTTGGGGTGTCCCTCCCTACACAACAGTGTGTTTGGGGTGTCCCTCCCTACACAACATTGTGTTTGGGGTGTCCCTCCCTACACAACAGTGTTTTTGGGGTGTCCCTCCCTACACAACAGTGTGTTTGGGGTGTCCCTCCCTACACAACAGTGTTTTTGGGGTGTCCCTCCCTACACAACAGTGTGTTTGGGGTGTCCCTCCCTACACACCAGTGTGTTTGGGGTGTCCCTCCCTACACAACAGTGTATTTGGGGTGTCCCTCCCTACACAACCGTGTGTTTGGGGTGTCCCTCCCTACACAACAGTGTGTTTGGGGTGTCCCTCCCTACACAACAGTGTTTTTGGGGTGTCCCTCCCTACACAACAGTGTGTTTGGGGTGTCCCTCCCTACACAACATTGTGTTTGGGGTGTCCCTCCCTACACAACAGTGTTTTTGGGGTGTCCCTCCCTACACAACAGTGTTTTTGGGGTGTCCCTCCCTACACAACAGTGTGTTTGGGGTGTCCCTCCCTACACAACTGTTTTTGGGGTGTCCCTCCCTACACAAGTGTTTTGGGGTGTCCCTCCCTACACAACAGTGTTTTTGGGGTGTCCCTCCCTACACAACAGTGTTTTTGGGGTGTCCCTCCCTACACAACAGAGTTTTTGGGGTGTCCCTCCCTACACAACAGTGTGTTTGGGGTGTCCCTCCCTACACAACAGTGTTTTTGGGGTGTAAATGTGGTACCTGTGTATTGGGATGGCAGAACAACACTCCCTCTTGGTTGACAGCCACCAGGCAGGGCGAGGGGCAGCTGCGATGGCTGACCTTCTGGGCCAGGAAGATGTTAGAGCCGAACAGAGGCAGGGAGCTCAGGCACTCTGGGGATAGAGGCAGCAAATCAATCAATGCAGTAAATCTAAATATATTTACAAATACATTTTATCGCAAAGTGCTTAACACAACCAAGGCAAATGTGTGTGTGTGTGTGTGTGCGTGTGCGTGTGCGTGTGCGTGTGTGTGTGTGAGTGCCTCACCGAGGAAGCGTGCTTTGGCGTCGTGGGGGCTGAGGGACAGCATGGTGGTTATCTCTCTGAGAGAGATAGAGTGGATCTGCTCCAGGTTGGTGCTGCCCCCTTCCTGTCGGGGGAGGTACTCCTTCAGTTCAGGCCTGACAGGGACAGAAGAGAGAGAACTATCTGTAACTCTTAACATCGGACAGAGAGACCAATCACTTATGTCCGGTCTGAAAACAACAGTATGGCTCACAGTGAGGGCTGCTGGGTGTAGGGGCTAAAGGCTAGGGGTCAGGGGTAGTACTCACATAGAGGGCTCTTGAATACGGCCCTGTGCCAAATGCTGCAGGACCGCCAGCTCTGCCATCTGCTGGACAACATTGGCACCACTGCTTGGCAGCAGCAGTTTGCCATCCAGGTAATCACCCAGGACCTGCAGGCAACAGACAGGGACAGATGGAGTTCATTCAACTACAGGGACAGAAGGAGTTAATTAGTCTACAGGGACAGAAGGGTTTTCACCAGGGCCTGACATAACTGGAGGTGGTTTCTATGGTAATAACACAACTAGGGGTCGTTACTATGGTACCTGTTGGAAGTGGAACTCCAGGTAGAGGTCATTGTCGAAGTGAAGGGGGTGTGTCCACATGATACGGTGGAAGGACAGGAAGATGGAGCCGTCATCCAATAGGAAGTCAAACAGGTACTCATCAGGGTGGATTGGGCGCACCATCCCCTCTGAAAGAAGAGAAGGAGAGAGACGGAAAAACCACATGTATATCACGTGATCACATGCTTCGGGGTGTGCCTGGGACTTGAACTCACAACCTTTGGGGTATGCTGATCTTTCTGCTGTGCCACCAAGTCTGTAATAATCTCAGAAGTCACCTACACATTCATTACCTATAATACATCTCTGTACTTAGCAAAAGAGTGCCATCTGCACTGCTGTTAATCTGACTAATGTTGGTGGGATATTTATTCTGTTTTAATGTTACGACTGAATCACTATGATAAATATAATCATTTTTCTTGAGTGTATTATACAAAGCTGATTTACTTTGAAGTCCAAAGTGTAGGAATACAGGTGAAATCAGTTATTGACAGAGACATGGTGGCGTAACAGGAAGATCGGACTGCCGTGAACCAAGAAGTTGTGAGTTCAAATCCCAGGTGAGGACATGTTGAATAATAATTACTGTATAAATAAACACACAATGTAATTACAGTGGGGAGAACAAGTATTTGATACACTGCCGATTTTGCAGGTTTTCCTACTTACAAAGCATGTAGAGGTCTGTAATTTTTTATCATAGGTACACTTCAACTGTGAGAGACGGAATCTAAAACAAAAATCCAGAAAATCACATTGTATGATTTTTAAGTAATTAATTTACATTTTATTGCATGACATAAGTATTTGATACATCAGAAAAGCAGAACTTAATATATGGTACAGAAACCTTTGTTTGCAATTACAGAGATCATACGTTTCCTGTAGGTCTTGACCAGGTTTGCACACACTGCAACAGGGATTTTGGCCCACTCCTCCATACAGACCTTCTCCAGATCCTTCAGGTTTCGGTGCTGTCGCTGGGCAATACGGACTTTCAGCTCCCTCCAAAGATGTTCTATTGGGTTCAGGTCTGGAGACTGGCTAGGCCACTCCAGGACCTTGAGATGCTTCTTACGGAGCCACTCCTTAGTTGCCCTGGCTGTGTGTTTCGGGTCGTTGTCATGCTGGAAGGCCCCATCCATCCTCCCCTCAATACGGTGCAAAGAATGATGTTTCCACCTCCATGCTTCACGGTTGGGATGGTGTTCTTGGGGTTGTACTCTTCCTTCTTCTTCCTCCAAACACGGCGAGTGGAGTTTAGACCAAAAAGCTCTATTTTTGTCTCATCAGACCACATGACATTCTCCCATTCCTCCTCTGGATCATCCAGATGGTCATTGGCAAACTTCAGACGGGCCTGGACATGCGCTGGCTTGAGCAGGGGGACCTTGCGTGCGCTGCAGGATTTTAATCCATGACGGCGTAGTGTGTTACTAAAGGTTTTCTTTGAGACTGTGGTCCCAGCTCTCTTCAGATCATTGATCAGGTCCTGCTGTGTAGTTCTGGGCTGATCCCTCACCTTCCTCATGATCATTGATGCCACACAAGGTGAGATCTTGCATGGAGCCCCAGACCGAGGGTGATTGACCGTCATCTTGAACTTCTTCCATTTTCTAATAATTGCGCCAACAGTTGTTGCCTTCTCACCAAGCTGCTTGCCTATTGTCCTGTAGCCCATCCCAGCCTTGTGCAGGTCTACAATTGTATCCCTGATGTCCTTACACAGCTCTCTGGTCTTGGCCATCGTGGAGAGGTTGGAGTCTGTTTGATTGAGTGTGTGGACAGGTGTCTTTTATACAGGTAACGAGTTCAAACAGGTGCAGTTAATACAGGTAATGAGTGGAGAACAGGAGGGCTTCTTAAAGAAAAACTAACAGGTCTGTGAGAGCCGGAATTCTTACTGGTTGGTAGGTGATCAAATACTTATGTCATGCAATAAAATGCAAATTAATTACTTAATTACTTATCATACAATGTGATTTTCTGGATTTTTGTTTTAGATTCCGTCTCTCACAGTTGAAGTGTACCTATGATAAAAAATGACAGACCTCTACATGCTTTGTAAGTAAGAAAACCTGCAAAATCGGCAGTGTATCAAATACTTGTTCTCCCCACTGTATGTGTGTCAAAGTGTGTCAAATATGTAAGTTGAAAACACTGTGTCTATATTGTGACATTCTACAGACTTCCTAAAGACTCATTTTTGATTGCAGGGCATCATGTGACAATTTGAATCAACATGTGAAAGGTTATGTGATCACGTGAAAATCCACATGTGAAATATCTTCACATGTAAACTGTTCCAAAAGAATGTGCAAAACGTTGAGAACATTTTTTTTCTGTAAGGGAAACCTCTAGGATTCTCTTAGTTTTGCTGTCACAAAATGAATGTCTAACAATCTTTTGTCATTTGCAGTTTTGGGTTATATTAGCTACAGCACGTCGTTTTGTCCTCCTACCCTGGTCCCGGTTGGCATGGATGGAGAACTCGTTGACTTCTGAAGGGTCCTGGATGCCCATCTCGGTACACAGCTCTTCAACCACCTCCAGAGCCACCTGGGTACACAGAGTCAATATTCTACATATACATAATATATATAATCTTTATCATAATGATAATTAAAGCGAGGCAGTGGAAAGGAGAGCAGGAAAGAGAAGGAGACTTGACTTACGCTGAAGCTGCGTATCTTACAGGGGAAGTCTACTCCACCTGGCAGCTTGATGGGGAACCGGCGAGAGCTTCTGCCAGCCTACAGAGAACAACACACACCAAGCGGTGACGGTACTGCTGGTCACGCAATCAAATCAAAAATGTATCCACACTCATGTCTCACCAGTATGGCTTCCATCTCTACGTGAGAGGGGACGTGTCTGCGTCCTCCGTGGATCAGAGACCGGAACAGGTTCTCGTTGCAGTATTGAGACAGCTCTGAGATGGAGAGGAAACAGACACACACACACACACACACACACACACCTGCATTAGATACAGAAGAGCTCTGGGGTAGCAGACACAGCTTCAGACTTTTAAAGGGATCTCTTTGGGGGCATCGCCAGTGTGTGAGGGGTGCAGGGCTGTGTGTGTACCTTGGTAAGGGTGTTTGGGGTCTTGGCTGATGTTTTTTAGGTGGTGTGTGACGTAGGGGTTGAGAACGCCAGAGCAGGGGAAGAACCCTGTTACCAGGTTCAATAAACGCCAACCTCTGGTACAGCTCTGCCTGTATAACACACACACAAACACAAAACACACACAAAACACACACACGAGTTAGGAATTGACCCTCTGTACACTATTCACAGGTAAAGGTTTATACACACTCTGCCAGCCTCTCACTTGTGAGTGTTGTTAGTGGTCTGTTTGATGACCTGGCAGTAGATCTCATCTCTCAGGAACTCCTTCTCCTTCCCCAGCTGAACACACAAACACAATGGACAGATATTACTACATGTTCAAGCAGCTGTAGCGATGGTGTGTGTGTGTGTGTGTGTGTGTGTGTATATATGTCTCACCAGCAAGACATGGCTGACACAGTCTTCCTCAGACTTGTGATTCCCAAGAGGCTGGTCTCCCATGAACTGCATCACACCTTCAGAGAGAGCAGTGATATTGATATGCAATGTACACATAAAGAGTGTGTGTGCAGGTGTGTGTGTGTGTGTGTCGACTCACTCATGAAGGTCTGGACAGCCATGTTATTGAGATCAGGATCAGAGTACAGGATGAGGGATTCCTGGACGGGAACCTCGGTGTACTGAACCATCTCGGAGAAGTTTCTACCTCCATCAAGAAGACCTCTAGCCTCCATTCTGTGATAGAGAGACAAGAGGAGGAGGAGAAAGAGGAAGGAGGGGGGGGGGGGGGGTGATAAAAGAGGAATGACATAGGGAGAAAAAAAGAAGAGATGATTGTGTAGTTAAGGAAGACAGTTGTAACACTCGCGAAAACATAGGATTACATACTGTACATCATACAACACTATTATCCCCCATTACCTCGTGGCAGCGTCTCTGAAGTATTTCATGGCAAACTTTGTCATCAGGAACGTCTGTACGTCACCCAGCTCACTACCCTCTCGGCTGGGCTGTACTGAGCCAGTATGGGAGGTGGGTCTGGGGGCTGCTGGGAGTCCTCTCATGGACTTCCTCCTCTCGTCGAGGCGGTCAAGGTGGACGTTGTGGTAGTCAGGAGGGGCAGACGGCTGAGTGATGTCCGTGGGGAAGAGACCAGAGCGCCCCCCAATGGAACCGAAACACCAACCTGTGAGTGAGAGGGAGAGAGAAGGGATAGGACTGTCAGAAAGAGAGAGAGAGAGAGAGAGAGACAGACAGACAGAGGTCAAAGGTCACTGTGATGACCTCACCTGGTTTGAGGCCATCTATGGGCAGCAGTTTGATGATGTCACCATTGCGGAAGTTGAGCAGGCTCTTGTCGTCCGTCTCAAAGCTCTTCAGGGCGATCACATGATCCGAGCCCTGAGAAGGTTTGGCAGGAGGTTATACACAACAAAGATACCATATAGTATGATGTACCAGGAAACATACACTATATATACACAAGTATGTGGACAACCCTTCAAATTTGTGGATTCAGCTATTTCAGCCACACCCGTTGCTGACAGGTGTATAAAATCGAGCACACAGCAATGCAATCTCCATAGACACACATTGGCAGTAAACTGAAGAGCTTTTTGACTTTCAACGCGGCACCGTCATATGATTTCACCTTTCCAACAGGTCAGTTTGACAAATTTCTGCCCTGCTAGAGCTGCCCCGGTCAACTGTAAGTGATGTTATTGTGAGGTGGAAACGTCTAGGAGCAACAACGGCTCAGCCGCGAGGTGGTAGGCCACACAAGATCACCAAACGGGACCGCCGAGTGCTGAAGCGCGTAGCGTGTAAAAATAATCTGTCTTCGGTTGCAACACTCACTACCGAGTTCCAAACTGCCTCTGGAAGCAACATCAGCACAATAACTGTTCGTCAAGAGCTTCATGAAATGTGTTTCCATGGCCGAGCAGCCGCACACAAGCCGAAGATCACCATGTGCCATGCCAAGTGTAGGAGTGGTGTAAAGCTCGCCGCCATTGGATTCTGGAGCGGTGGAAACACGCTCTCTGGAGTGATGAATTACGCTTCACCATCTGGCAGTCCGACGGACGAGTCTGGGTTTGGCGGATGCCAGGAGAACACTATCTGCCTGAATGCATAGTGCCAACTGTAAAGTTTGGTGGAGGAGGAATAATGGTCTGGGGCTGTTTTTCATGGTTAGGGCTAGGCCCCTTAGTTCCAGTGAAGGGAAATCTTAACGCTACAGTATACAATGATATTCTAGACGATTCTGTGCTTCCACCATTGTGGCAACAGTTTGGGGAAGGCCCTTTCCTGTTTCCTGTTTCAGCATGACAATGTCCCTGTGCACAAAGCGAGGTCCATACAGAAATGGTTTGTCGAGATAGGTGTGGAACTTGACTGGCCTGCACAGAGCCCTGACCTCAACCCCGTCGAACACCTTTGGGATGAATTGGAATGCCGACTGCGAGCCAGGCCTAATCGCCCAACATCAGTGCCCGACCTCACTAATGCTCTTGTGGCTGAATGGAAGCAAGTCCCCGCAGCAATGTTCCAACATCTAGTGGAAAGCCTTCCCAGAAGGATGGAGGCTGTTATAGCAGCAAAAGGGGAACCAACTCCATATTAATGCCCATGATTTTGGAATGTGATGTTAGACGAGCAGGTGTCCACATACTTTTGGTCATGTAGTGTATATATACAACTATTTTCATGATATAAGATGAGGAAGAGGGTGGTGGTTACCTCGATGAGTTCTTGGTGGAACAGCCTGACCATGGCAGTAATCTGAACAGCTCTGTTGCTCTGCAGTTGCAGCTGTTCTCCTTTCAGACTGAATTCTACCATGTCTGCAGACCGCAGCTCCACCGACAGCAGCTCTGCATAGCTACACAGAGAAAACCACAGCACTTATCGTACACACACAGGGAGAACATACACGGGCATCACATATTAGATGTACACTGCTTCAAAAAAATTAAGGGAACACTAAAATAACACATCCTAGATCTGAATGAATGAAATAATCTTATTAAATACTTTTTTCTTTACATAGTTGAATGTGCTGACAACAAAATCACACAAAAATTATCAATGGAAATCAAATGTATCAACCCATGGAGGTCTGGATTTGGAGTCACCCTCAAAATTAAAGTGGATAACCACACTACAGGCTGATCCAACTTTGATGTAATGTCCTTAAAACAAGTCAAAATGAGGCTCAGTAGTGTGTGTGGCCTCCACGTGCCTGTATGACCTGCCTCCAACGCCTGGGCATGCTCCTGATGAGGTGGCGGATGGTCTCCTGAGGGATCTCCTCCCAGACCTGGACTAAAGCATCCGCCAACTCCTGGACAGTCTGTGGTGCAACGTGGCGTTGGTGGATGGAGCGAGACATGATGTCCCAGATGTGCTCAATTGGATTCAGGTCTGGGGAACGGGCGGGCCAGTCCATAGCATCAATGCCTTCCTCTTGCAGGAACTGCTGACACACTCCAGCCACATGAGGTCTAGCATTGTCTTGCATTAGGAGGAACCCAGGGCCAACCGCACCAGCATATGGTCTCACAAGGGGTCTGAGGATCTCATCTCGGTACCTAATGGCAGTCAGGCTACCTCTGGCGAGCACATGGAGGGCTGTGCGGCCCCCCAAAGAAATGCCACCCCACACCATTACTGACCCACCGCCAAACCGGTCATGCTGGAGGATGTTGCAGGCAGCAGAACGTTCTCCACGGCGTCTCCAGACTCTGTCACGTCTGTCACATGTGCTCAGTGTGAACCTGCTTTAATCTATGAAGAGCACAGGGCGCCAGTGGCGAATTTGCCAATCTTGGTGTTCTCTGGCAAATGCCAAACGTCCTGCACGGTGTTGGGCTGTAAGCACAACCCCAACTGTGGACGTCGGGCCCTCATACCACCCTCATGGAGTCTGTTTCTGACCGTTTGAGCAGACATATGCACATTTGTGGCCTGCTGGAGGTCATTTTGCAGGGCTCTGGCAGTGCTCCTCCTGCTCCTCCTTGCACAAAGGCGGAGGTAGCGGTCCTGCTGCTGGGTTGTTGCCCTCCTACGGCCTCCTCCACGTCTTCTGATGTACTGGCCTGTCTCCTGGTAGCGCCTCCATGCTCTGGACACTACGCTGACAGACACAGCAAACCTTCTTGCCACAGCTCGCATTGATGTGCCATCCTGGATGAGCTGCACTACCTGAGCCACTTGTGTGGGTTGTAGACTCCGTCTCATGCTACCACTAGAGTGAAAGCACCGCCAGCATTCAAAAGTGACCAAAACATCAGCCAGGAAGCATAGGAACTGAGAAGTGGTCTGTGGTCACCACCTGCAAAACCAGTCCTTTATTGGGGGTGTCTTGTAATTGCCTATAATTTCCACCTGTTGTCTATTCCATTTGCACAACAGCATGTGAAATGTATTGTCAATCAGTGTTGCTTCCTAAGTGGACAGTTTGATTTCACAGAAGTGTGATTGACTTGGAGTTACATTGTGTTGTTTAAGTATTCCCTTTATTTTTTTGAGCAGTGTATATTCTCCCCTAATCATTCATAGTTCATACATCTTTTCCATTTTTTGTGATTGTAGGATAGGCGTACCTATAGCTGCGTAGCAGGCGCAGGTGTTTGGGGTTGATGCCTGATGCTCTGGCCACCTTCAGCAGACGAATACCACGATGAGACACACCTAATACCTGGGTGTCCCCGCTGGTATCACTCTACAACACACACACACACACAAAAACACACACAGGTACAGGTTTATACACACTCTGCCAGCCTCTCACACACAGGGAAGAGATAATATGAGTGTGTGTGTGTGTGTGTCTGTGAGAGAGAGAGAGAGAGAGAGAGAGAGAGAGAGAGAGAGAGAGAGAGAAAGAGAAAGAGAAAGCTAACTCACTTTGACAGGGAACAGCCTTGTGAAGTAGTTTTCCCAGTTGTCTCTGGCAGCCATCACTATCCTCTTCTTCTTTGTGTCGTCCTGGACCAAGCTGACACTGGTACCCACATGGAAACTGGCTGGAATAGACAGAGGACAGAGAGAGGACGGAGAGAGAGAGAGAGAGAGAGAGAGAGAGAGAGAGAGAGAGAGAGAGAGAGCGAGAGAGAGAGAGAGAGAGAGAGAGAGGGAGAGGGAGAGGGAATAGAGAGAGAGAAGGAGAGAATAGAGAGAGAATAGAGAGGATAGACTCCCCTGGTAAAAAAACAACTAGACTCCCCTGGTAAAAAAAACAACTAGACTCCCCTGGTAAAAAAACAACTAGACTCCCCTGGTAAAAAAACAACTAGACTCCCCTGGTAAAAAAACAACTAGACTCACCTGGTAAAAACAACTAGACTCACCTGGTAAAAAACAACTAGACTCACCTGGTAATAACAACTAGACTCACCTGGTAAAAAACAACTAGACTCACCTGGTAATAACAACTAGACTCACCTGGTAATAACAACTAGACTCACCTGGTAAAAACAACTAGACTCACCTGGTAATAACAACTAGACTCACCTGGTAATAACAACTAGACTCACCTGGTAATAACAACTAGACTCACCTGGTAAAAAACAACTAGACTCACCTGGTAATAACAACTAGACTCACCTGGTAATAACAACTAGACTCACCTGGTAAAAACAACTAGACTCACCTGGTAAAAACAACTAGACTCACCTGGTAAAAAACAATTAGACTCACCTGGTAATAACAACTAGACTCACCTGGTAATAACAACTAGACTCACCTGGTAATAACAACTCACCTGGTAATAACAACTAGACTCACCTGGTAATAACAACTAGACTCACCTAGTAGGTCCTTCATTTTCCTCCTCTCCTCTTTGGAGATCCTCACACAGGTGTCACTGTACGTGTCTCTCATGATCTGACAGGGAAACAGAAACAGGGATTTATATTCATATATATATATATAAGGTGTGATATGTAGAAGGTAGTGAATAAAAAGGGTCACAGGGAAACAATCAACACTGACCTGCTCACAGAGGAGATTGAGGATGTAGGGGTGGTTGAACTTCTCTCTGGGGTAAAACACCTGAACAAACACAGGGGAATGATCGTGATTCACCTACAGTATAAGGCAAACACATTGTAGAACAATACAGACAATTCCATTTTTCTCGCCTGCAGTTCCAGCTCACCTCTTTGCGTAGGAACAGTTTGCCAGGCATGACCGAGTAGGAGAAATAGACACTGGCAGAGAACCTGTAGAGCTGGGAGCGGACACTCCCCTCCCCAGACAGCAGATCTATGGACAATGTGTTACTTTACTTCTCTGTGGAGTTATTAACATTTTAAAGCTATGGCTGTACCGCTGAAGTAGCTTTACTTACTGAGTGTGGGGGCAGCCTTGGGGGGAGGGTCTAGCAATCTGTCATAGATGGGTTGGACTGGGGGAGGAGGAGGGGCGGACTCGGGGGGAGAAGGCGGAGGGTTCTTGGAGCGACTCTGCGTGCAGAACAGGTCGGCAAGGGAGCGCTGTTTCTGCTTCATGTTGTTGGAAATGGAGCAAGGCCCTCTAGTGGAGGGAGGAGAGAGCTGCCGTGCGGGGGGAGACTCTCTCTGACAGGGGAGGGTAGGGGGAGTATTACTATAGGCTAGGCAAGATAACTTGTAAGTCGCTCTGGATAAGAGCGTCTGCTAAATGACGTAAATGTAAATGTAAATGTAAATAACTGAATGGATATGTTAGCTCCAACACTCCTCACCAACATGTCTAGGGCTAGGCAAATAACGACATGGATATGTTTAGCTCCAATCACTGCTCCCAACTCGTCTAGGGCTAGGCAAGATAACTGAATGGATATGTTAGCTCCAACACTCCTCACCAACATGTCTAGGGCTAGGCAAGATAACTGAATGGATATGTTAGCTCCAACACTCCTCCCACACACATGTCTAGGGCTAGCAATAACTGAATGGAGATGTTAGAACTCTCACACTCCTCACCAACATGTCTAGGGCTAGGCAAGATAACTGAATGGATATGTTAGCTCCAACACTCCTCACCAACATGTCTAGGGCTAGCCAAGATAACTGAATGGATATGTTAGCTCCAACACTCCTCACCAACATGTCTAGGGCTAGGCAAGATAACATAATGGTACTCTTAGCTCCAACACTCCTCAACCAACTGTCTAGGGCTAGTCAAGATACTGAATGGATATGTTAGCCTCCAACACTCCTCACCAACATGTCTAGGGCTAGCCAAGATAACTGAATGGATATGTTAGCTCCAACACTCCTCACCAACATGTCTAGGGCTAGGCAAGATAACTGAATGGATATGTTAGCTCCAACACTCCTCACCAACATGTCTAGGGCTAGCCAAGATAACTGAATGGATATGTTAGCTCCAACACTCTCACCAACATGTTAGGGCTAGCCAAGATAACTGAATGGATATGTTAGCTCCAACACTCCTCACCAACATGTCTAGGGCTAGCAAGATAACTGAATGATATGTTAGCTCCAAAACACTCCTCACCCACATGTCTAGGGCTAGCCAGATAACTGAATGGATATGTTAGCTCCAACACTCCTCACCAACATGTCTAGGGCTAGCCAAGATAACTGAATGGATATGTTAGCTCCAACACTCCTCACCAACATGTCTAGGGCTAGGCAAGATAACTGAATGGATATGTTAGCTCCAACACTCCTCACCAACATGTCTAGGGCTAGGCAAGATAACTGAATGGATATGTTAGCTCCAACACTCCTCACCAACATGTCTAGGTCTAGGCAAGATAACTGAATGGATATGTTAGCTCCAACACTCCTCACCAACATGTCTAGGGCTAGGCAAGATAACTGAATGGATATGTTAGTTCCAACACACTAACCTTCTGCTGTTGTCCAGGTCCGTTGTTTCTAAGGATAGCCAGGGCCTCCTCTTTGGGATCATTCTTCTTCACAAACGACCGTGCTGGAACCCTGGAGAGGGGATAGGGAGTTAGATTTCCACTAATGCATGCAGCGGGATCTACACAACAGATTACATGGGATTTACTTAAAAGATATGGGATGGATCCACTGTCCCACTGACCTGACTGGTTGGAAGGGTTTGGGATCGTTGACAGGGCGGTTCTGGTACTGTTTAATGATGTCACGGATTCTGGTGCTGGGAGGGGGTGGGGAGGCAGGGGGGCTGGGGCGGTCTGGTTCTCTGGCAGGAGGAGACGGGGGACGTTGCCAAGTCCTGGGTGCTGGGGGTGGGGAGGGGGAGCGGGGAAGGGTCTGTTTGGGGGGGCTCCCTCCGGGACGTTGCGAAGTGCTGGGTGCTGGGGGTGGGGAGGGGGAGCGGGGTCGGGTCTGTTTGGGGGGGCTACTGGGAGTACCGTGAGGCGTTGGCGGTTTGGCTGCTGGCTTCGGCAGAGAACCTGACAGAGTGAATGACAGCACAGGCAGTTGGGTGTAAGGTAAGACATGTGGTACTCATTTTATCCTGTGGTATGAAAACTACAGATTATCTGAAGTTGAATAGGTAGATGTGTTCAACTCTACTCACCATTCTTCTGGAAGAACTCTCTCTTCTCCTTGAAAGACTCCAGCTGGTCTGGACTGACAAAGTCCACATCTCTCGCTGGCTGGAAAGATACAGTTGAAGTCGGAAGTTTACATACACCTTAGCCAAATACGTTTAAACTCAGTTTTTTTTTCCTGATATTTAATCCTAGTAAAAATTCCCTGTTTTAGGTCAGTTAGGATCACCACTTTATTTTAAGAATGTGAAATGTCAGAATAATAGTAGAGAGAATGATTTATTTCAGCTTTTACTTCTTTCATCACATTCCCAGTGGGTCAGAAGTTTACATACACTCAATTAGTATTTGGTAGCATTGCCTTTAAATTGTTTAACTTGGGTCAAACGTTTCAGGTAGCCTTCCACAAGCTTCCCACAGTAAGTTGGGTGAATTGTGGCCCACTCCTCCTGACAGAGCTGGTGTAACTGAGTCAGGTTTGTAGGCCTCCTTGCTTGCACACGCCTTTTCAGTTTTGCCCACACATTTTCTATAGGATTGAGGTCAGGGCTTTGTGATGGCCACTCCAATTCCTTGACTTTGTTGTCCTTAAGCCATTTTGCCACAACTTTGGAAGTATGCTTGGGGTCATTGTCCATTTGGAAGACCCATTTGCGACCAAGCTTTAACTTCCTGACTGATGTCTTGAGATGTTGCTTCAATATATCCACATAATTTTTCTTCCTCATGATGCCATCTATTTTGTGAAGTGCACCAGTCCCTCCTGCAGCAAAGCACCCCCACAGCATGATGCTGCCACCCCGTGCTTCACGGTTGGGATGGTGTTCTTCAGCTTGCAAGCACACCCTTTTTCCTCCAAACATAATGATGGTCATTATGGCCAAACAGTTCTATTTTTGTTTCATCAGACCAGAGGACATTTCTCCAAAAAGTATGATCTTTGTCCCCATGTGCAGTTGCAAACCGTAGTCTGGCTTTTTTATGGCGGTTTTGGAGCAGTGGCTTCTTCCTTGCTGAGCGGCCTTTCAGGTTATGTCGATATAGGACTTGTTTTACTGTGGATATAGATACTGTTGTACCTGTTTCCTCCAGCATCTTCACAAGGTCGTGTGCTGTTTTTCTGGGATTGATTTGCACTTTTCGCACCAAAGTACGTTCATCTCTAGGAGACAGAACGCGTCTCCTTCCTGAGCGGTATGACGGCTGCGTGGTCCCATAGTGTTTATACTTGCGTACTATTGTTTGTACAGATGAACGTGGTACCTTCAGGCGTTTGGAAATTGCTCCCCAGGATGAACCAGACTTGTGGAGGTCTACAATTTTCTTTCTGAGGTCTTGGCTGATTTCTTTTTATTTTCCCATGATGTCAAGCAAAGAGGCACTGAGTTTGAAGGTAGGCCTTGAAATACATCCACAGGTACACCTCCAATTGACTCAAATGATGTGGATTAGCCTATCAGAAGCTTCTAAAGTCATGACATCATTTTCTGGAATTTTCCAAGCTGTTTAAAGGCACAGTCAACTTAGTGTATGTAAACTTCTGACCCACTGGAATTGTGATACAGTGAATTATAAGTGAAATAATCTGTCCATAAACAATTGTTGGAAACATTTCTAAGTGAATGTAAACTTCTGACTTCAATTGTACATACAGGTCTTGTGGAAAAAAGCCTGGATTAAAGATGTGGGCTAAAGCCAGCTTATAGCTGTATAATTAATATAAAGGCACAATTAACTTAGTGAATGTAAACTTCTGACTTCAACTGTAAATACACTGATGAAGACAGAGACACTTTACATCTGACTTTGTTTACAAGTTAATATTGTTTTATGTGTTTCTTTTGTAATGAAATGACACATTTTTGCAATGGCTAAGTACATAAAAGATTTTCAAAATCAAGTAGAACTGCACACAAACAGACTATCGTCACACCCCTCCCCCGCCACACACACCTCAGATATGTAGTGCTGTAGCTGTGGTTTCCTCTGGCTGGGTGTGGTTAGCGGAGGAGGGCGGGGGGGTGGGGGTGTGTCTGGGGCCGGGGGTGATGGGGTGCGGGGGGGGGTGACGGTGCGGAGGTTAGCCTGCCGCCTGCTGCTGCTGCCTCTGCTTCTCCTGAGTCTGCTGCTGGGACAAAGTCATCGCCTGCATTGTCATCTGCTGGGCCTAGAGAGAGAGAGAGAGAGAGAGAGTGATGGAGAGAGGAAGTGTAGTCATGTTAGAACAGAAATGGTTATTTCATGAGAACACGAGTATAGGATAGGATTATGGTTTGTTTGTTTTCTTGGCACGTGGGTCCCAGTTTTCCACCAGTGTCTCCAAGTGCTTACCATGACCAGGGCCTGTTGGTTGATGAAAGCCTGCTGCTGTACTGCCATCTGCTGGGGGTCCAGGCCTGGTGCAGCTGGCTGGGGTGCCATCATGGTTGGCATCATAGGCATGGGGGCAGCTGGCATCATATTTGGCATCATACTTGGCATCATACTTGGCATCATCGGAACGCTGTAGCCTTGCATGGCAGGGTTCACTGGCATTCCTGGGAGACAAAATAATAATAATTGGGAATTGTAGTTAGAATAAAGCAGGATAGAGAAATAAGATTAGAATGTTTGTGTAATTAAATGACTCCCCTCACTCACCCATAGAATAGCCTGGCATTGTCATTGGAACACCTGCAACACAGGTATTGTATTTAACATTACACTTAAAATAATGAGAGAAACTGAGAGAGAGAGAAAGAGAGAGAGAGAGAGAGACAAGAGTCAAATTAGCTTTTCCAAATTACCATACGACAGACCACGTATTCACCGTGCACACCCAAATTGCCATCTCAGTAAGACAAAAATAATGGTGTTCCAAAAAAGGTCCAGTTGCCAGGACCACAAATACAAATTCCATCTAGACACCGTTGCCCTAGAGCACACAAAAAATGATACATAACTTCGGCCTAAACATCAGCGCCACAGGTAACTTCCACAAAGCTCTGAGAGACAAGGCAAGAAGGGCCTTCTACACCATCAAAAGGAACATAACATTTGACATACCAATAAGGATCTGGCTAAAAATACTTGAATCAGTTATAGAACCCATTGCCCTTTATGGTTGTGAGGTCTGGGGTCCGCTCACCAACCAAGAATTGACTAAATGGGACAAACACCAAATTGAGACTTTGCACGCATAATTCTGCAAAAATATCCTCTGTGTACAACGTAAAACACCAAATAATGCATGCAGAGCAGAATTAGGCCGATACCCGCTAATGATCAAAATCCAGAAAAGAGCCGTTTAATTTCTCCAACCGCTAAAGGAAGCGATTCCCAAACATTCCTAAACAAGCCATCACCTACAGAGAGATGAACCTGGAGAAGAGTCTCCTAAGCAGCTGGTCCTGGGGCTCTGTTCACAAATACAAACAGACCCCACAGAGCCCCAGGACAGCAACACAATTAGACCCAACCAATCATGAGGAAAACAAAATATAATTACTTGACACATTGGAAAGAATTAACAAAAAAACTGAGCAAACTAGAATGCTATTTGGCCCTAAACAGAGAGTACAACACAGCGGCAAATACCTGACCACTGTGACTGACCCCCAAATTAAGGAAATCTTTGACTATGTACAGACGCAGTGAGCATAGCCTTGCTATTGAGAAAGGCCGCCGTAGGCAGAACCTGGCTCTCATGAAATACAGGCTATGTTGCACACTGCCCACAAAATGAGATGGAAACTGAGCTGCACTTCCTAACATTCTGCCAAATGTATGACCATATTAGAGACATATTTCCCTCAGATTACACAGATCCACAAAGAATTAGAAAACAAATCCAATTTTGATAAACTCCTTTATCTACTGGGTGAAATACCACGATGTGCCATCACAGCAGCAAGATTTGTGACCTGTTGCCACAAGAAAAGGGCAACCAGTGAAGAACAAACAACATTATAAATATAACCTATATTTATGTTTATTTATTTTCCCTTCTGTACTTTAACTATTTTCACATCATTACAACACTGTATATAGACATAATTTGAAATGTCTTTATTCTTTTGGAACTTTTGTGAATGTAATGTTTACTGTTCATTTTTTATTGTTTATTTCACTTTTGTTTACTATCTACTTCACTTCCTTTGGCAATGTAAACAAATGTTTCCCATGCCATAAAGCTCTTAAATTGAAAATTGAAATGAGAGAGAGAGAGAGAGAGAGAGAGATAGAGAGAGAGAGAGAGAGGAGAGTAGAGAGAGAGAGAGAGAGAGAGGGAGAGCGGAAGAGAAGAGAGAGAGAGAGAGATAGAGATCTATTCTATAGACGAGATAGAGCTACTCTATGAGAGGCGATATAGCTCATTCATCTTCGATCTATCCTCTCCGCCTCTCGCGCTCTAGCATCGCTCGATATCGTCTAGTCTCTACTCTCGCTCGCTCTCTCTCAGTCGCTCTCTCTCTCGCTGTATAGGAATCTCTCTATCTTACTCTTCTCTCCTCTCTCCTCCTCTCTCTCTCTCTCCTCTCTCCTCTCCATAATCCTCTCTTCCCTCTTCCTCTCTCTCAATACTCTCTCTCTCCCCTCCCCCCCTTTCCCGCTCCACTCCTCCTCCTCCTCCGTCCTCGCTTTCAACATGGCCATACGCTCCCGGTCCCGTACACCCACCCCACACCACACAACACGCCCCCCCACACACACACACACCCACACAACACACACACCACACACACACCCACACACACCACACACACACACACACACCACACACAGACAGTAGAATGTTTTGTGTTAATCTACACACCACATGCAGTAATATAATCACAGTAAAACCATCCAAGAGAAAGGAAAAGAAAACACAATTCAACCAGTAACAGTTAAACACAGTCACAGACACCTCCTATTGAACGGTGTTGTGAAAAGAGTGTCTCAGGTAAAATACCGACCCCTGGTCCCTGGTCCAGCATTGGGTCAAAGAGGTCATCCAGATAGGCAATCCATCTGACGAGAACCCTCTGATGGCTGGTAGTCTGTCCGGTCCCATGGGGCCCCTCCCTGCTGGGGGAGAACCAGGGGCCCGAATGGAGGGGGCCGGGGGGATGAAGCCATCTAGATCTGTTGTGATCATCCTAATGGAGAGAGAGAGAGAGAGAGAGAGAGAGAGAGAGAGAGAGAGAGAGAGAGAGAGAGAGAGAGAGAGAGAGAGAGAGAGAGGAGAGCGAGAGAGAGAGAGAGAGAGAGAGAGAGAGAGAGAGAGAGAGAGAGAGAGAGAGAGAGAGTGAGTGAAGTTGGGGTCCCTGTGTGTGTGTGTGTGTGCCTCTGAGTGTGCACCCCCCAGCCTCACCCATCTCCCTCGTTGTTGAACAGGTAGTCAGGGTGTGGGTGTGCGGTCCCCAGAGTAGCATCAGTCTCTGCTCCAGCCAACAGGTCCAAGACAAAGTCACATCCAGCCAGATCAGACCAGCCGTCATCAGCTAGCAGAGACACAGACCATCCCCGAGCCTCAGATAACCCTCTGAAGTGGAGCAGCCACGAGGCTAGCTGCTCCCCTGTGGTCCAGGACTCTACCTCAGCTGTCATCTTCTCCTCTGGAAGAGACGGAGAGAGAGAGAGGGGGAATGTAGTGGTGCTGCAAACACCAACACTCCAGCTAAGTGAGGCATCAGAATCACACTGAGCAAATGGAACCACAACACAAAAAAAGACAAAGCGACATAGATATGATATAGACATTACATACACATGTTATAACCCCTCTCTCTCTCTTGCTCTCACCGTTGAAGGTGTGAACGTCCAGTACCATATTTCCTCTCCTCTGATTGATTGTCCACTCCAGCTGGGAGGGGGGGTGGAGGCGAGAGGCGGGGGAGGGTAGCTTGAGGGAGGTGAGGAGTTTGTGCTGGCACAGAGAACGATATTCACCTGGACCCTCGTCAGACACATACCTGTTCACAGGTGAGACAGAGAAACACAGACTTACAATAACATAATGGTTGACAAAGAGATTACATATTTTTATGGTTGCTAAAAAGTACCTTTTCTTTTTCTAGCACTACACAAAACACATTTTCAATCAAAAGACATCTTTACAAATGATTTTGCTCACTGGGCTACTTACTTGAGCAGGGGTTTGTCCAGGGCTGGGGAGGGGGTGAAGGCACTTAGGCAGTAGGCCAGTAACAACCAGCCCCGCAGGGCCCCCTCCTCTGACTCCCTTCCCCAGGTGGTGTGGGCTATCTGGGCTAGGATCTCATCCCTCAGGGCGGGTCTGGTCTGGCCCTGCTCCACGATGTAGTTCCCCAACAGGTGCTCCTGCCAGCCACTCAGATCACTGTCCCCTACAAAGCGCAGGATCTGGGGACGGAATGATGGGGATATAGGGAGGTGACATCGAGTTAAGGGGATAACACCAGCGCCATACTGTACACATCTGTGTTCTTGTCTCTATATGTGTGTGTGTGTGTGTGTGTGTGTGTGTGTGTGTGTGTGTGTGTGTGCGTGCGCGTCCAGCACGGACCAGTTTGTAGATCTCCAGAGCGGTTTGAGCGTCCTCAGGCTCCAGAGCAGTCAGAGGTCGCTGGAGGGAGTATCCCTGTGGCTGACACCAGCCATCCTTCAGTGTAGTGTTGGCGTATCGTGAGAAGGGGTAGCTGTCGATATCGAGGGGCAGGATGAGGGTGTTTTCTGCCTTCACCTGTGGAGGCGCCACCTCTGTCACCCCTGATACATGCTGCCGCCCTGGTGGAGGGACACAGAACTATAATCACACACAGAGAAAAGGCAACAGATAACAATGGCAGCCATGGGTCCAGTCCAGCAACAACCTACCATTTACCTGTTGTGTTCACATAGAAGGAGGAGTCAGATAAAAGCATTTTGTTCTACATAAATGTTTTAGCCAATCCCAGCCCTCCTCAACCGATCTCGTCCATTCCCAGCGCTGCTCCCACTCACCTGCTGCGCTGCGTAGTCTGGCCGATAGCTCAGCCGGAATCTCCAACATTCCCACATCCTGGAAAAGGGAATTATCAGGAAGGAATACTTTATTGGACCAGAGGCTCCTTTTAAATATACGGCTCTGAATTCTATGTCTAATAACAGCTGTTCAGTTGGAATACATTTTGTACAGGTGTTAAGAAACAAACTGTAGTTAGCTCCCACCATTTCCTGTGGAGGACGAGTCCTGGGTCTTAGTGGTGGTGGTGACCTTCACTCTGCTTCGCTCATTCCTCTCTTGTTCCTGAGAGCAAACACACACACACAGCTTCCACTGAGTTGAGCCCCGAGCTATCTATATCACGTTAACTAGTGTTCATACAATCAGGGGAGGCTGAGCACTGATAGGCAGTGAGTACCCCTCCTGTCAATAAGACAGGAACCAAACTGACAACGCATGAACACACACCTGTCAAACCTTCACACAAAACAGGAGGCAGCAATTCATTTAATCCGTTCAGTTATATCCGTCCTTTTCTCAATTATTTCCCAGCTTGTGAATGAACCTTCCACAGTTTTTCTCCTGTACCTGTCATCAGGTGTGCTTGTTCTACCTGCTCAGGACAGGCGTGTAGAGGTCTGTCAGGTAAACAGACAATGGACAGAGAGAGAGTCCAGTCCTATTCTTAGTAACACAGCCTGTTATATGCCCCAGCTGCCTTTGTTCCGCCCACAATACAAGTCACACGGATACTAGAGTCCAGAATCTTATGATTTACAGCCTGAGCTCGATACAGCTAAAGGTGTTTCCCTCATATCACCGGAAATGTATCATACTGTATTCTTGTGATATGATGTCCGTAGATCCCTTGTTAATGGATTTACTGAGGTGTATTGATGGGTGTGGGTGGGTTACACAAAAACATTATGTAGCTTTATGCTGAGTTGCATGGGTGCACACACACAGACAAACTAATTTCCTGATTAAGAGATTTGCTGACGTGGTGGTTGATGGGTGTTGTCAGTTTAATAAACGTGTGTCAGCTACATCTGGTGTAATTAAAAGCGATAGTCCACTAGATCTGTATCGTAATCCTTTGATTAATCCACCATATTTGGTATGATGGGGACAATATCTACACAGAGTATAAATTCAACATTACTTATCAAGTGCCTTCAGAAAGTATTCCCACCCCTTGACATGTACAGTTGAAGTCGGAAGTTTACATACACTTAAGTTGGAGTCATTAAAACTCGTCTTTCAACCACTCCACAAATTTCTTGTTAACAAACTATAGTTTTGGCAAGTCGGTTAGGACATCTACTTTGTGCATGACACAAGAAATGTTTCCAACAATTGTTTACAGACAGATTATTTCACTTATAATTCCCTGTATCACAATTCCAGTGGGTCAGAAGTTTACATACATTAAGTTGACTGTGCCTTTAAACAGCTTGGAAAATTCCAGAAAATGATGTCATGGCTTTAGAAGCTTCTGATAGGCTAATTGTAATCATTTGAGTCAATTGGAGGTGTACCTGTGGATATATTTCAAGGCCTACCTTCAAACTCAGTGCCTCTTTGCTTGACATCATGGGAAAATCAAAAGAAATCAGCCAAGACCTCAGAAAAAAAATTGTAGACCTCCACAAGTCTGGTTCATCCTTGGGAGCAATTTCCAAACACCTGAAGGTACCAAGTTAATCTGTACAAACAATAGTACGCAAGTATAAACACCATGGGACCACGCAGCCGCCATACCGCGTCTCCTAGAGATGAACGTACTTTGGTGCGAAAAGTGCAAATCAATCCCAGAACAACAGCAAACGACCTTGTGAAGATGCTGGAGGAAACAGGTACAACAGTATCTATATCCACAGTAAAACGAGTCCTATATCGACATAACCTGAAAGGCCGCTCAGCAAGGAAGAAGCCACTGCTCCAAAACCGCCATAAAAAAGCCAGACTACGGTTTGCAACTGCACAGGGGGACAAAGATCGTACTTTTTGGAGAAATGTTCTCTGGTCTGATGAAACAAAAATAGAACTGGCCATAATGATCATTGTTATGTTTGGAGGAAAAAGGGGGTCGCTTGCAAGCCCGAAGAACACCATCCTAACCGTGAAGAACGGGGGTGGCAGCATCATGCTGTGGGGGTGCTTTGCTGCAGGAGGGACTGGTGCACTTCACAAAATAGATGGCATCATGAGGAAGGAAAATTATGTGGATATATTGAAGCAACATCTCAAGACATCAGTCAGGAAGTTAAAGCTTGGTTGCAAATGGGTCTTCCAAATGGACAATGACCCCAAGCCTACTTCCAAAGTTGTGGCAAAATGGTTTAAGGACAACAAAGTCAAGGTATTGGAGTGGCCATCACAAAGCCCTGACCTCAATCCTATAGAACATTTGTGGGCAGAACTGAAAAGGCGTGTGCGAGCAATGAGGCCTACAAACCTGACTCAGTTACACCAGCTCTGTCAGAAGGAATGGGCCAAGATTCACCCAACTTATTGTGGGAAGCTTGTGGAAGGCTACCTGAAACGTTTGACCCAAGTTAAACAATTTAAAGGCAATGCTACCAAATACTAATTGAGTGTATGTAAACATCTGACCCACTGGGAATGTGATGAAAGAAATAAAAGCTTAAATAAATCATTCTCTCTACTATTATTCTGACATTTCACATTCTTAAAATAAAGTGGTGATCCTAACTGACCTAAAACAGGGCATTTTTACTAGGATTAAATATCAGGAATTGTGAAAAACTGAGTTTAAACGTGTTTGGCTAAGGTGTATATTTTTTTTACATTGAGATTTTGTGTCACTGCCTTCCACACAGTACCCCATAATGTCAAAGTGGAAAATGAAAAGCTGAAATGTCAATAACTATTCAACCTCGTTATGGCAAGCAGCAATAAATTCAGGAGTAAATATGTGCTTAACATTGAATATCCCTTTGAGCATGGTGAAGTTATTAATTACAATTTGGATGGTGTATCAATACACCCAGTCACTACAAAGATACAGGCGTCCTTCCTAACTCAGTTGCCGGAAAGGAAGGAAACCGCTCAGGGATTTCACCAAGAGGCCAATGATGACTTTAAAACAGTTACAGAGTACAATGGCTGTAATAGGAGAAAACTGAGGATGGATCAATAACATTGTAGTTACTCCACAATACTAACCTAAACGACAGAGTGAAAAGAAGGAAGACTGTACAGAATACAAATATTCCAAAACATGCATCCTGTTTGCAATAAGTCACTGAAGTAAAATTGCTAAAGAAATGTGGGAAAGAAATTAAACTTTATGTCCTGATTACAATGCGTTATGTTTGGGGCAAATCCAACACAACACATCACTGAGTACCACTCTTGATATTTTCAAGCATGGTGGTGGCTGCATCATGTTATGGGTAGATTAGATTAGATCGAATGCTTATTTAGTCACATGCACAGGGTCACAGCTGTAGTTGCAGTGAAATACTTAAGCTCCAACAGTGCTGGTGTGAATGAAACAATAAAATAAATACAAAACTATAATAATATATACATATTTACATCTGTGACAGTGATCAAAAATAAATATCCATTCGGATGTGGGCAGGGTAATTGTCCATTGACAAATATACACTGGAGTTGCCTACCAAGACGACATTGAACGTTTCTGAGTGGCCTAGTTACAGTTTTGACTTAAATCTGCTTTAAAATCACTGGCAAAAATGTATAAAAACACGTTTTCACTTTGTCATTATGGGGTATTGTGTGTAGATGGGTGAGATTTTTTTTCAATATTTAATCAATTTTGAATTCAGGCTGTAATAACAAAACGTGGAATAAGTCAAGGGGTCTGAGTGCTTTCTGAAGGCACTGTACATGGTACTAAGTAACAGGTGAGAAGTGTTCAGACCAGCTGATGGACAGCCTCTTTCTTTCTCCCTGGCCTGTCGTGATGACAACAGCATCCATAGTCCAAGTCCCATAAAACAATAACACCAAATGAGAGTAATTCAACGACCAGCAGCCAAAGCGGAAATGAAAAGAAACTAAACTAAACCTAAGAACGTGCAGAAATCTAGATTAATAAATTAGATGAACACTAATAGATTAGAGAAATATAAATGTGAGAAAGATGACAGACAAATCATCCACCTTAACAGCAAGCAAAACCTTTACATAGGCAATAGTATCCTCTGTCTTTCTTCTTCTCACTCTTCCTCCCTCTTTCTCGCTTTCACCCTCTCCATCCATCTCTCTCTTCCTCCTCTAAACTCTCAAAATGTCAATACAGCCCTGAAGATGCAGTATTATAAAGTATTAAAAAGCCAAGCGATAAAAGAAGCAATACCTACCTGTTAATAATGCTGTATTAGTCCAGAGAGGGAGGCAGAACTGACAAGCGGAAGGAGCGATGCTGCAGCCTCTTATTTCAGTAATAGGGGTTAAAGTCCAAGATAGGAGGTGTGTGTGTGTGTGTGTGTGTGTGTGTGTGTATATGAGGAACAAGAAACAGAGAGAGAATGGGTGTGGAAAGAAGATAGAAGCTGGTAAGTGTAGGTAAATTGGAGGAGGACAGGAGGTAGCTAAAATATTTATAAGGGTGACAATGACCTTTTTACATCACATTACACTATATTGTTGTTGTTGCATGCATTCGGTCAAGGTTTGGTTGTTGATGCTGGGTTATTGAGATTTTGAGATGTGACCGAGCGGGTCAGATCAGAAGACTGGAGGTGTGGCTTAGTAGTGGCATGGCTTTCAGGACGTTAATTTTGGCCACCCGTGAGAGTAAATATAATTCCGGTTAATCTGTTCTGTTGTACTGTTATCACGTTTGTGGCTTTAATGAGGTTTACACAAGTGTATATGTCCCTTTAGAGTTTAAGAGCATATCGTCATTTGGGGATAGATACTACTTTGTCACAATATGTAAATAATAATGTTATTAATTTAGTTTAAGAATATGTAATGTGCAAAAATATTCAAGGAACATTTTAATTTGCAGTGTACAAACTTGAAAAAGAGAAGTGTACAAACGTAACACGATGAACAGGATAGGTCAA